TTTAAGAGACTAATACTAGAACTGATGCTTATAATACCTCTCTACCTCCTAGATAAAGAAAGGGTAGGAAAAGACCTATTACTATAGAGGAATTATTTAAGATTAAGAAGATATTAATCTATAGATTAGCTTTTCAAGTACTATTAAGAAGTCCAGGCCTTATACCCTTACAAGGAAGTCTTTCGTTAGTATCTATTACAAAGCAAGAAGGATTGTTACTAGTTTAATTAAGGCCTAAAATATCAATTTTTTGGATACGCCTACTAACTTACTAGACTTATAACTAATTAAAACCCTCTATAGAGATAAAAAGCGCTTATTCAAGCTATCTATAATAGTCGTTGTTAGCTTAGGCAACGATGTTTAAGAATTAGTAGAGTATAAAGTTTCTTATATTTAGTAGTAGGATTCTGAGTTTAGTAATTGTATTACAAGGAAGGGCTCTCTCTTATATTTCTAAGGTCTATATAATAAAGCAAAGCACGCAGAATAGAGTAATTCGTTGAGCCGGGAATTAGTCCAGGGAGCTGCGTATAAGCGTAAAGCATTTTTTCTCTATAGCATATTAGATTCTAGAGTATTGATTACAAAATCAGTAGGCTTAAAATTGATGAAGCTTTCATAGACTCTAATTGAATGTGAGCTATCTTGAATGTGAGCTATCTCAATGACTTCTATATCCTTATATCATTCAGGTAGCGTAGCCCGCGTGTTACGTCGAGATAATACCTAATAATTCCTGTCGCGTCCCGGCCTAGTTGTCCGTAGACTGGTAAATCATATCGAAACTAAATTCATTTTGTTCTAAGAATATTGTTATCTTATATCTCGGGTTCTATGGATTTGTAATCAGCTTCCAAAGCTGCTAGTACGCCCGGTATCTAGAGTTTTATAATCTTTCTTAACAAGTTCTTGCTACTGACAGTATAATCCCCTACTGAGATTTTAATACGTACCTTAGGATGGATTGTACAGTCTCTAGTTTAGACTATCTAGAACACCATCTAATATAACTAATCTTCAGTAATTACGCCTTTGTAAACTTAACTTATCTCCTTGTTCTTAATAGGCTTCAGTAATAGCTTAGCTCTTAGTATATCTTATTCTAGATTCTAAGCCTAGTCGATACACTATAGAGAACTAGAACATCGCGGATTTGTAGGTATTTCCTCGTTATAAAGTATTCTGAATTCTGATAATCTCTCTGAATAGTATAGGGCTTAGAGCCTTTTAGCTCGGAATTCTAGAACCTAAAGTAGACTATAATTGGTAATATCTCTTTATCGTAAATGTTATAATTAATCTTGGTTTAGCAAAGCTTTTTCGAGTAGAGTCTAATTAGCCGAAGGACTCTGCCCTTTTCTTTATAGAAGTAATACACCTCGAAGTATGAATCTACTATAATTAGTCTCTAGGAACGTAGAAAGCTAGGGACTCTAAGAGACAAGGACACTCCCTTTCTATCGAAATATATAATGAAATATAAGCACTTAACTTTCTTTTCAGCGGTTAAGAAAACGGCCTCTATCCTAAAGTTTCTAGAGTACTAGGTGGACTTTCTAGAAACAATACCCTCTAGTCCTCAACTTTTATATTATATACCGAAGCGAAATCGGTACTCCCTTAATAAAGTGTTGATATACTGTTGAAAAGTATCTAGTACCCTAGAAAGACTAGAGGGATCTACTTAGCTATTGAAAGAGTTTGAAGCGAATATAGAAGGTGGTCTTATATTTGTATCTACGAGCTATATAAATATAGTAAAAAGCTACAACTACATCCACTTGTACAATCTATTTGGCTTTCTCTATATACTAGGTATACGCCTATTACCTTTAGAGGACGAGAAGTTTTTGATTAAATATTCTATATATAGTCTCTAGAGTAAATTATATAGTACTCTATCTGGTTCCGTCTAGACTTCGATTTTATAGTTAATTCTTTCTAGTGCAGGGCTAGCATACAGGATATTTAGGTATTAGTAGGGGACACAGTTCTATATATATAATAGCATAGTTTTCAGCTTAGTAACTCCTTCTAGGGTCTATATAAATAAGCAAAAACTATCCTATGGTAATAGATGCAAAGATACCTTCTGATTATATATATATATATATATATATATATATATCTATCTATCTATCTATCTATCTATCTATATATCTATATATCTATATATCTATATAGAAAGTTAGTATAATAGGTGTTTGTTATTACTAAAAAGACGGACTTTCGGAACCACGAAGGTAGTATCCCTTACGTGTTTTCCTACTTTGTAGGCTCCTTTAACTCTCTTCTCTTTATTACTAGTATATAGCAACCCGAGACCTCTAGCGAATTCTGTACTATATATAGTATACTACTAATATCCCTTATTAATAAAAAAAGATATTCCGAGGTTCAGGTTATCCTCTATTTAGTATTTCCTTAGCGCCCGGCTTCTCATTTTAAAAGAGAGCTACTCTTTTCCCTCTTCTTCTAGCTCTTCTAGTATAGCTTCTATAATAGCTAGATTTATCTATATTGGTTATACTGTAAGTATATAAGGATAGTCCTAGATATAGTATCCCCTCGCTCTATACTAGAAGTAGAGTCTTACTCTTTAGCGTCCCCTTCTTTCGGCTAAATCTATCTATTTTACTCTTTATTTACCGCCGTTACTATCTTAGTGCTTTCGGTCGGGGTCCGCCGAAGCGAATAGATATTGTAGCTATATCTCTATTAGTATTAACCTCATTCAAAGGCTTTATATAGGATCGAGCTAGAGCTAGGACATTATTAGTCAAGTTGTTATTTCTTGCTTCCTACTTCTAGTTTGATATATTAAACTAATTAGGTTCCTTTTGATTAGTTGTAATTTGTTTATAGTAGTCTATATACTTTAGTATAGCTACTATGTATAATTTAGCTAGATTAGAAAAGGCATTTTCTAGATATACTATCTTAGCCTTATAAGAGAAGTTCTCTCTATCTAGTATAAGTAGGAGTCTATCGAATTCTGGCTAGTAGTTATACTAAGGTTACTCCTAAGAGTATTTTGGATAGGAAAGCTTAGTATTAAGTTATATTAAAAATGTCTTGGGGTCGTTAGGCTTCCTATCGCTATTTTCCTAGAAGTAGCGTGTTTTAGCTTTCTTTTTTACTAGGAGAGTATTATAGATAGTATCCTAGTAGAAGTTAACCGAGAGCGAGGGTTTTAAGGAAGAGTATATAGAATACGAGCTCCTTGAATATATTAAGTACTCGTAAAAAGGAATTGTACTCCTATAAGGTAGGAGCTAAAGCAGAAGGAGCAGACTATACGCTATAGTATTAATTATACTTATTATTATAACAAAAGAATTCTTATAGTATTAATATAGCAAGTATTATATACAAAGGAAGGCTAACTACTTAGAGCATACTATAAAGGAAAATCGACGGAGTACGATTACCCTAGCTAGGAGAAGTATTATACTACTGTATTCCATCTGACTATATAATCTAAGGTATATAATAATAGACCTACTAGAGTACTACCTAGGGGCTTGCCCTTTACAATAATACATATTAAATAAACTAGTAATATAGGCATTGATAAATAGTAGGCCTAAGAATTCTAGAACATATATATATAAAGGTAGGTATACGGATGTTCTGCCTTACGTATATTGTAACTAAGGCAACTTTAGGCTCGACGTTTAAAATTTATTAGTCCAACGTTTATAATAATCTAGCTCCTAGGTAACACAATAAATGGATTATACTGTAATGTTTCTATTAAACAACTCACTCTCAACAGGTAATATAGATCCCTAAAAGCTTACTAGGACACCTACTAAGAAAAATATCAAAGGAGCTGTTGAGAATTCTTCAATTAGTATGAAAACAATAGAGTTACAAGGACCCCTACTAATCGAAAACTCGCTACTGCTTTTGAGAGAGGTATTACAACTATTTCTCGAATCCTTAACTTAGAATAAGCGCGAGGAAAAAACTAATTTATAAGAAGAAGAAGGATAAGCTAGAATTATCTATCTAGTATAATAGATATAAAGGACATAATCACAAGCTAGATAGGCTAAGGTATAAGTATAAGCTACCCTCCTATAAGTATAATAATAGAACAATTATAAGAGCTCTAAAGGAGAGAAAGATTAGTTTCTTTATTATAGCCTTAGAGCAAGAGATATGTAATAGTCTAGCATTATAGAGAGTAGAGTTCTATAAGGAGAAATTGCTAGATAAAGACAAGAGCATGTTATATAAGACTCGCTTGTTAGATAAGATATACTACAGTTAGGGATATAAAGAGAATAAATACTGAATTCATCGCGAGACGCAAGCTTTAGATATACTATAGGGACTATATTAGACAAGAAGAAGAAAGACCCCCTAATAGGGCAGATAAGGAGGGTAGAATCGTCTATTTCTAGTAGTATATTAGTTACAACTCTAAGAGCCCTCTCTTCTTCTACTCTATACTAACTAACTCTAATAGGAAGATAAATTCAAAAACATATATCAACTAGACCAAGTGTCAAGCGGGAGGACGATCTAAAAGGACACTCGGAATAACTAAGCATCTCGGCGCGGATCAACCGACGTTCCGGCTGACCTTACCTGCTTACTAAACATATATATCTATATACTATCTATACGTATTACCGTTTAAAACTATACAATCTACTACTTTACGACCGGTATTCCGCGTTTGACGACCCTCCGTAGGCTCTATAGGCTCCGTAGGCTCCGCTATACTAATCTCGACTGTATTATATAACGCCGAGGCATTAGATTGCTGTATAGTACTATAAGTAGTACCGTAGCTACGGCTACGGCTACGACTACGAGGACGAGGACGACTACGTCTGCGGCTATACGCTAGTTCGGTACTAATATATACCTCGGCTGTTGCTACTACGTCTGCCTTAATAGCGCGTTACTAAGCCGCGAATTCCGAGCGTAACGTAACTATAACAGCCCTCTCGGCCGCTGCTACGTCGTTACTAGCTACCTCTATGCTCGTTATTAGCCTATTAGTTGTCTTAGTACCGCGCTTCGGTAGCTATAGATACTAAGCCGGCTTCGTAGGTATAGCAAATAGAACGGCCTTAGGTATTAAACAGTCGAGTTAAGTAGCCTATAGGCCTATTAAATTTACGGCTTTAAAGGTTTCTAGCTTATCCGCGTAACTGTTATAATCCGCCGGTCGTAGCGATAGTAAATACTTTAATTACTATAGTATAGAAGCCTAGATTTAGCTATAACTGTCCGTATATTATAGTAGTACATCTTATAATCTATCTATCGCTATGTCGTATAGGCCCTACTATTATAGCGTCTACTGAATTATATTACTAGTATATACGCTTCGGTTACTCGTAAAGTAATAGAGATATAATAACCCCCGAGCAATCGGCTTCCGTTTAATTACTATAGGTAGTAGTATATAAGTGTACGGCAGGCCGTATTGTTTAACCTTACTATATTCTATATAGTAATTAAGTACTAAATATAGCTCTGCCGTTACTGCCGAGCGCGTATAATTAGCCTTATTAACTGTACGTTTAATACTAAGAGCGTTATACTATAACGTTAGTAGTCTGTCGATTGTCTATATAGTATATTAGCTATTGAGTTGTACAAAATAACCGAGATTATTAGCCGCTACGGCCTGTAATAGTAAGCTAATATACGTGTTTTCCTCTATTCGTTCTAGGTTATCAAAAAGCTTATCTAGATACTAGCCAATACCTTTAATATACTATTCTAGTAATAAGTATAGTAGTAGATACTCCTTTATACCGCAATTGCCGCCTTCTACGCGCTATAATAAGCGAGCCCTATTATTTAGTAGATGCTTAATATAATACGTAACTAGTCGCTACCTAATAACGATATAGGTATTACAGAAGTATTCGGTATCTTCCGCTATTAATCCGTCGATAATAGCTACCTCGAGTTTATTAGCGGCCTCGGTTGATTCTGCCTATAACTACGGCTATATAAGCGCTTCTAATTCTATCTTCTACTCGGTAGTATACCCTAGTTTACGAGCTCGTATACGTCTTAGTACGTCGGTTCGTATAGTCGATTCCGTCGGTACGGTCGATTTGTCGGCGTTAGTAGCTATAATAGTAGCTTAGCGTACTTTACTATCGGCTGCCTCGGTACGTACTATACGTATAGTACCCCTATTAATATACTTATAAATATTCTAAGTAGTATACTACTAGCAGAATTACTAAATATAGCGCTAAAATAGTAATTCCGGAATAGCCGCGATAAGGCCGGCGCCGGCGTCGGATATAATAACCTTATTAAGCTTATAGGTGCGTAGATAGTTGTTAAATACTACTAGTAGTATAAACAACTAATCCTCCTTACTCTCTAACTTTATTAGTAAATAGTATATCGGAAACGAACGTCCGGTATTTGTAACCCCTATAAATACGCTAAGTAATAGGCTAGCGCGGTTAGTACTAAATGTAGTATTAATCTAAAAGCTAAAATCCGGGACGAAGCGTATAGTAAAGCGTACTATATATAGCTACTAATATACTAACTGCTTAAGTAATACCCGTATAGTACTACTAGTCTATAGATTAGTAGTAAATAACTAACGGCCCTTATATTCAAATCCGAGTATAACAAGTATACCGAGTAGTATATTAATAATAGTCTCGGCGTTACCGGTACTATAGAAGGTATTACCCTTAGCTAGGTTATAGTAATGCTTACGATTAAGTTAGAGTTTATATAGCAAGAGCTATCGGTATATAGTATTATATAATTTATTTATAAGTCGATACTACGCAGCCTATACGATAGCCTTACTAAAGCTAGGTATTTGTATCTCGTAGACTATATAAACGGACGGATTTAGTACTAATTTATATAAATAGTTAAGTAAATTAACGGTTAACTACTACTACTTAATTACTATACCCTACCTTACCTATATATAACTTAACCGACAGTTCTAGCTATACCCCTTATATCGGATATTCTTCGCGTAGCGTACGCGTAGAGTAAGTAATTTATCGTCGCTGTCGCCTATATAATCGTCGAATCCGTCGGTATTCTTAGTAGCGACACTATAGTAAATATACTTATATATCGCTCGGCTAATATTACTAGACGTATAGACGATAGTAAAGCCTTTACTAAATGTATAATCTTATAGCCTAGCCTTTATAATAGTCCGGATTTCGGAATATCTCGCCGGTATATAGATACTCGTAATAGTATAGATCTATAGTATCGATAAACTTGCAGACAGCCGGTATATAGCTCTCGGCGAGTAGTAAATACGGAATCTACGTCGGACGTAGCCGTAGTGCCGGCAGTTCTACGTAGAAGACGGATAGTAACTAAATCTTAACCTTCTTGCCGGTATGTCCTTTGCTAACGGTTACTACTACAGCAGCCGGCTGCTACTACTATAAGGCAGGGTGTTTAGGTAACAAGAACTCGTTGCCGGCGTTGTCGTCGCTAGCGTTGTCGTCGCCGGCGTTGTCGTCGACTATAGAATCGACCGTAGAATTATCGATTGTAATAGTATTAGAGGCATGCTTGCCTTAGTACGGTTTTGGACTAATCGGATCGTCCGGCGCAGGTAGTTTATTTAGTATACTAGTGTTATTCTACGCTAGATCGTAACTATCCTTCTCTTAATTAGTTGATACTAGCTCCTAATTAGTTCGTATTATCTCTTCTAATAGCCTAATACGGCGGAAGCCGCTCGGTAGTACTTTAAACAGTAAAGATAGGTCTAGTAGCCGGTAGCTTATATTAGTATCGTTAACGAATAGGCTGTTATTCGGGCCGTTCGGATCGTTCGTATTAGCGTCTATAGTGCTTAATTAAACTAAGCCGAATTAGTACTATATCTCGCGTATTTGTAGTCCGAATCTAGTAATTACCGTAGTGTAGTATTAGTATAAGTATATAGAAGCGATTAGAGAGGTATATATATACGTGTCGGTGCGTATAAGTAAAGATATCTAGTGTTGTAGGTATCGTAGGTATTGTAGGAAAACTCTTTATAGCAAGTAAGGTCAACCGGAGCTATATTAATCCGCGCCGAGCTATAACTTACATATCCCCTTAGTTATTCCGAGTGTCCTTTTAGATCGTCCTTCCGCTTAACACTTAGTCAACTAGATACTATTAAAGTATATAAAAGAATAGATTTCTAGGAGAGATAATTTTACTTAGCCTAGAGTATTACTATATCCTAGGAGCGAGTCCTAACCTTATAGCAATAGAGACAATTGCTCTTATATTCAAGACAAAGTATAGAGCTTAGCAAAGATATACTAAAGAAGAGTATATTAATATAGCTACTTAGGAGAAGATTAACTATATAATTGAGAAGACATATGCAATATATTAGAAGTATATAGAGTTAGATAGGCAAATTACTGCTTTTTGAAGAGATAGTATATAGTAGTATATTATGAAGTTATTACGACTAAGCACAGTATGATCTATTGATTTTGTTACCTAGGAGTATAGAAGGTACTATAGTTCCGGCTACTAAGATACCTTCTATACTTATAAGACTTATATAGTTGTCCGCTACTAGAAGGAAGTTGCTATAGTATAAGTATTATTATATAAGAACCATCTATCTAGTAGTTATACTAATTTATAATCTAGTGTCGTAGGGAGTGCCTTACCAAGCTAGAGCCGTACTATATCTAATGTCCCTCGCTCTCGCGCCTTGTCCTACTATCGCCTTGTCTTACTATCGCTCTCCTTGTCTCGCTATCGCTGTCGCTCTCCTTATCTCGCTATCGCTCTCGCGCCTTGTCTTGCTGTCGCTGTCAATACAGCCTTAGGCTTTGGCTTGGCAAGGCCCTCCTGCCTTTTAAAATTCATGCTCCCGCCGTCTATAATTCCCTATTTAAAAGTATAGTACGACACTTAGTATATATTCGTATATTATAGAACTTAGTAAACTACTACTCAATATCGCTAATATTATATATAGCCGACTATAACGCATCTAATAGTATAGTCCTTCTCTTAACTTACTCTAAATAACATACTAGCTATCTTGATGCCTATATAGTACTTACTATATAGGTAGCGTGTTGCTACTAACGTAATACGATAAGTGAACAAATATATATACTAACTCTAATATTACTATAGTATTCGAGATATTAAACTAGTATCCCCTTATATATATATTACTAAGCCTAGAGTATGTCGCTATGTATATGTATGTTTATCTGTTGCTTTTACTCGAAACATCTATAATTTAGTTCTAGAGATGCTATCAAAGAATCTAGTATTCTTTATTATGATTAGGTAGTTAGGGGTTCTAGCTATCTACTCTATTGCTTCCGTAGTACAATATTCTTTTTCTACGTACCTAGGTTACTATATCAATTTACTATCCAATATACGAAACAATATATATAAAGTAGGTAGATCAGTAGTATATTAAGTCGGTATGTTATTAGGATACAACTTTTCCTAAGCTGTATACTACCGCTTATAGGAATGTTGGAATATAGCAGTATAGAATTATTTGCACTATTATATAAGTACTAGAAATACGATAGTAATCCCTTCCCTATAGAACTTTTCGAGTTTTCTTACCAAGTAGTATTAGACTAATAGAGTATAGCTTCCTATTATCATCGCTAAAGCCTTCTCTGAATATCAATTTTATGCTTATCTAGGCTCTTAATAAAAGGCAGATTGTCTTAGGTAGTTTGATGTAAAGAATTTAGTGATAGGCTTAGGAAAGCTATCTGAATATCAATCTAGATGCTTTTCTATCAATAATTACTAATGTATAGAAATTGAAGATATTCTAAGTTATAAAGGGATTTCTATTACTTGTAAGTAGCTTCTTCCTGTAACGTAGTGTTATATCTATTTAGTATTTACTGTATAGTAGTAGAGTCTCTATATAGTCCACTATCTTTAACTTAGCTCTTAATATAGGCTAAGGTTATTATCCTAGCTATAGCTACTAGCTTGTATATCTTTCTAGTAGAGCTATTATTAGTATTGCTCTTCCTCCTAGATTTAACCAACAGTATAACTCTCTTCTTAGTTCTAGCTCTAAATTGAGCGGGGTATTAGTGTATATCGATAGTTATAGTTTCTTAGGGCTCTAGAATAATAGGGTAGGCCTACTACTATCTTAGTTTAGGATGTAATATTAGACCTCTTTCACTACTTGTATAATCTAAAGCTTAGATTATAGTTGAGGGAGGTAAATCTGCTCCTAATATTATAGAGGCACCTTTCAATAATATTAGGCCTTTCTTAAGGCGTTTCTCAAGTTTATAGACTCTCTTTCTAATCTTCTAGATAGGGATAGAAATTCTAGGCACATATTTCTATAAGTTCTATTATAACAACAGCTCTTCTTAGACTAGAAGAATATTACTTAATAGAATTAAGCTAGAGTTTATTCCTTAAGACCTATTTCTAGCTAGATTAGTTGAAATACCCCCTTTAGAGTAGGTACTAAAATCTAATATACTAGTGAGTATTAGGAAGCCTCTTGTTATACTTATAAGACTTATATCTAAACTAGCTGATCTTAGTTAGGTTCAAAAAAGAGTTTCTATTATAAGGAACCTAGAGAGTAATCTTATTTCTAGTAAAATACTTTATAAAGTTTGATAGGAAGGCTATAGGTAAGAATTATAGGCTTCATCTTAGAGAAGGTAACTTTATTAGAAGATTTAGAAATACTACTCTATATAGGAGTATATAGTATAGAAATATCCTATCTAGAGAGGCTACTAGCTCTTCTTATATACTATAGACTTAGTACGTGTATAGGGATATTATATAATAGTTCTGTAAGCGTAAGGGTATAGGTAACAGAGGTCCGAGGTGTAAAAGGTATAAACAATGTACGGCTTACTATCTGAGGCACAAACAAGCCGAATAGCCGCAGTACTTAGACTAATATCGTAGGTCCCCTAAACGTACTAGGCACAGAGACTTATCTTGAGCGAAGGTAGAACAATGTACGACGTCTTACTCGCTCTAGAGCTACATGCGGGACGACTAAGGCGTACTTAGAATTTGTATAGTACAGTCTCGTACAGATATAATTGAATTTAATAGAAATTGAGTATTGAAATACTATTATCGTGCATTAGCTTTCGGGCGTTTTTTTAAGTTAGAATACTCTAGGAAGGGCCCTATCGATATTTCTAGAGGTTTAAAGAGTTTTGTCTAGAATCCTGTTTCTTAGCCTAACGTTTTAGGCTTACCTAGTAGCAACTAATGTAGACTATAAGCCGTATAATAGAGAACGTACAGAAGACTATTAATACCGAGCGCTATACGATACCTAAGCCTTAGCGAATTATGTTTATATTAAAAACCGCTAGTCCAAAGTATATTAGTAGTTATAGTTGGAAATAATGCTTTATATAGATAGAAAACAGTAGTAAGAAGAATAAGGATAGTACTATAGTTGAAGTACAGTTAAACATACTGAAATTAATTATAGAACTCTAAATTTGATGTTCTCTAAAACTCTACCGCTAGGAAGAACTGCTATTAAAGGTAGACAGGTCTATAGAACTAAAAGAGACCTATATAGTAAGAATATTAAGGAAAAGAGCAGGTTAGTTGCTAAGGTTTTTAGTAAGTACTTCGCTTAGACTACGAAAACATATAGCTAGCAGCTTATAGGGGACTATAGAACAAAGTAAATAATATATGTAACTTGCTAGTTATAGTTTAAGAATATAGAGTCGGCAGACTAAAGATTACCTTAAATAGTATTCAAAATACTAGGATTAGGGCTATCCTCGAAGGACGTACAGATCTATATTATATATAATATAAATAATATATAAATAACTTTTTTGGTATACTATTAAACAAGTTTAAGTCCAATGTAAAGAGAAAGGGTTAGCAAATTACAGATTGAGAATTGGTACATACTTATCTAGAGATAGAGCTATCTAGAAATCGTTCGAGTAAGAGGACTACTCTTTTGTAGAAAATGTCTTATAGAATACTCTAAGGAGATACAATTGCTTCTACGCCTACAGAAGTCGAAGTAAACCAGGTAAAAACAGTAGGCATACTTATCCCCTTAGGGGTCGACGATTTCGTAGCGACGACAACAACAAAACTGCTCTATACTATACGTTTCGCTACTATTTCTAGTATTAGCTTACTATAGACTAGAGGGTAGCTATTAACTTTAGTAATTTAATTTTTAGTAACCGAATAGTAGCCTCTAGCTCTTACACATCTTATAGGAGGGAGGGAAGGAAGTATACAACCGTTAGCAAGAGTAACAATCTACGCTAATATAGCCGCTTATTCTTCTAGTAGCTACGCTAGTTAATAGTTTGTTATAATAGCTAGTATACTCGTAGTCGGAGCCTCTACTAGTATTGCTTATATTATTGCTTATAGTATTGCTTATAATATTGCTATTACTAGACGCTCTACTATAGTACTAGAACTATTGTATATATCTTGCCTTTATACTTATACAAAGGTATATATATATACCTATTTAGTAGCTAGGCAATTATACTTACTATATCTATACCCCTTAGTATAGTTATACTAAATATACTACTATTAGTAACTCGACGTCTAGGTTGTTCTTAAATTGGCCTTTAAGACCCCTTAGTATAGTTATACTAAATATACTACTATTAGTAACTCGACGTCTAGGTTGTTCTTAAATTGGCCTCTAAGCCTTACTATTATAGTAAGCTAGTACTATATAATCGAGTTTAGCTATCTTATCTAGTAGTGTCGTATTCCGGTTAGTAAGATTAGTATACTCTAATAGTAACTCTATAAGTAGAGGGTTGTACTAAGATATTAGTACTAATAGCGTACGATCGCTATATACAAGTACTATAGTACTCATTATAAGATAGTAGTTCTAGTAGTTGCTACTATATCCGGAGTATACCTAAAAGTTATCAAATAAGTTAGGCCTAATAGCTTAGACGTTAAAAAAAGGCGGATACGTATATATCTACTTTCCTACCTTCCTTAGGTACCTACCTACCTACTAGCCTGCCTGCCTGCCTGCCTGCCTACCTACCTGCCTGCCTACCTGTCTATCCCTATAGGCTACCTTGCCTAAAATTAAGAAGAGAAGAACAAGAAGAAGGGAAGAACAAGATTAAGATAAGAACTAAAGAGAAGAGAGGAACTAAAGAGAAGAGAGGAACTAAAGAGAAGAGAGGAACTAAAGAGAAGAGAAGAAAAAAATAAGAACGAGGACGAGGAGATAGAGATAGAGATAGAGATAGAGATAGAGATAGAGATATATATACGAAAATTAAGATCAGTATATATTTTATACTACTAACGGGCAGGCCTATAGGATATATTAGATTTAGCACGCCCTTCTATATAGGATATACTAATTAGAACGTACGCTTTTAAGGGATAGCTATAGCTATTATATATACTCTATCTCTAATTTAGTAGGCCTCTACTCCTTCCTTTACCTAATCTATACTATACTTCGGAAGGCTCGGAGGTCGTTCCGTACTAATTAAAATCCTGTTTTTTCTCTCTATCGCCTTAGGCGATAAACGCTCTCGAAGTTGTACGATAGCTCGTATATCTTTCTATCGCTTCTGTTTGCTAGGCTAACTAATAGCGCGGTTATTTAGCGTATTTCTTTACTAAGTTATAGAATTTCTCGTGTCTAGCATTATAGACTAGCTTACTGTTATAACGAAGTAACCGTGCTATGCCCTAACCTAGGCCCCGAGAGATAGAATTACGAAAACATACCCAAATTAGTAGTAAAAGGCGGCATTCCGTCTATTAGAGATTGAATTATAATATACTATTGTCTCTATGTCGAAATATGCTCGTATAGGTATTGCTAGGAGGTAGCGGTAACGCTGATATAGATAGTCAATTAAGGCTCTAGGTACTTACGTACTGACGTAATATTGTTTGCTTCGATTAATAAACAGCGCGACAGCGACAGCAACATCAACACTTTGAATTTCGATATAGAGATAGCGGTATATTAGAAGATACACAACACTTTGAATTTCGATATAGAGATAGCGGTATATTAGAAGATACACTCTAAGAGACAGAATATCGCTTTCTACTACTGATTTGGGTATGTTGTCGTAATTCTATCTTATTGGATTTGCGTACGTAGCATGGCACGGTTACTTCGTTATCGCAATATGCAGACTAGAATGTACTGTTAGAACCTATTTCCGTTACCCAGACGCTCTCCCCCTTAAGTAGGACCTCTCTTTGACTTTGTCTTTTCAGATGCTGATTACCTACCTAACAGTGAAAGAAGAAGTCGAACAGGTTTGCGGAACTTTCTTCGCACTTCCGAACCAACGTAGTCCCTCCATCGGGCGACACAAAGAGAGAGAATACAAGAGACATGCCCAACCATCGTCATTGCTGTGTGGAGGTGCCAATTCTGGTGCCTGACAGGGAATGGTCAAGCGAGCAGGAAAGATGCTGCCAGTCAAGGGAGCGACGATGTGTCCATAAATCGTCCTTTCTCCCACGCCACGCACAGTCGATACCTCCGCCACATACCAGGTACATGTATCCTTCGACCACCACTGTACCATTCGCCGGACCTAAGACCCTTTATGGCCCACACCATCGTTGAGCCCACATCCTCAGTCACTACGGACGCCGACTAGGAGGTGGCACTCGACGCTTCCAAGCGTAATGCTTCTCTGGAAGCACACCCGGATTTCAGCGAGGATCTGCCCGCACAGTACCGACCGAGCCACTCCAGCCTTTTGTCGAGCCTTTACGACGCCGACAGGCCAGCGCCTCCACCCGAGGGCTCTGTATTGTCGGCATGGGGACCACTCCTGGGTGGCAGAGGCGGCATTGTCATTCCGACTGCTTCTGAATTCAATCGCAGCAGGAATGGCCTGCTCTTTCTGGCATCTCTCGCCTCCAGTCACGAATGCCCATTGATTACCCTCCAGAGCCATGCAGCCTGCAGCGCCGACTACCACAGCGTCAGCGACCAGCTTGGCGACAAGGCCTCCCTCGTTCGTGTCGACATGCACCACGTGCACTCATCTGTACGTACGGCGCGGTGGTGCGTTCTACTTGGTTCCTCGAATATATATATGTGTGTGTGTGTGTGTGCTAACTTGCGTGACTACTGCAAGTGGCAACCAGATCTGGAGTCGGCCAAAGACGAACTCACGTTGGCTCACCAGAGCAGCGATCTCGGTTGGAAGCACACGCTCGGCGTCATGCTTGCAGTGCGGCTCGGGTGGGAGTATGTCTTCTTCGTGGACGATGACATTACTCCTTACACCGATGGGCGGAGAACGTTGTCGGCAGCACACTTGGCGCACGCAATGCGAGCCATGCGAGCCGACTCGGATCTTCAGGCAATCAGTTGGCCATCCATTTGCATGGCTGACAACGGTGTCGTGGGACATGCGCGGCCCCTGGTCGGCCTCAGACAGGACGTCTTCATAAGCGGTTCGGCAATCCTGCTCCGCGTGACCAACCACATGTCCTTTTTTCCTCTCAACATGTACAATGAAGATTGGCTCATGATGGTCCAGCTGGCGGTGGGAGCTTCAAGCCATACCCGTGTGCTTGCTCAGGCAGGCGGCGTCCAACAAAAACCGTACGATGCATTCTGTCAGGAGCGTGCCCAACGCGAAGAGCCGGGCGAGCTGCTAGGCGAGGGGATGATGAGTCTGCTGGAAGACGAGGGTCCGCGGCTATACAGCATGTCAGATGTCCACTTCTGGGCGCGCGTGATGAAACACCGCCGGGAATTGCTCCATTGGATTATCCGCAAGCGCTGCCATGGATATCTCATTACGTGGGAAGAAACGGAGACGCCACTCTCCCATGATCCTATCGTTGGTGCCATGAACGCCGCCCTCTGGGCGCAGGACAAGGTCAGGCCCGAGCACTTGCAGAGATGGGCGCAAAAATGGTGGCAGGATCAAGTCCATTGGCGCGCGATGTTGCTTTCCCTCTCCCGAGACGCAGTTCAAAAGACCTCGGAGACGTCTATCGTTGACTTGCTCCAGCAGCCTCGGAGAGCTGGTTCCCCGCGAGCAGCGGCCGGTGCATGCGGCCACCAAGCTCATCTGTGAGTCTTCTGGACACATCTCCATTAAGTGACACTGATCGAGCCCATTCTGCAAACGGAACATTAGCCGGGACACACAAGACAATTACGAGGGATGGCAGGCAGCTTGGCGATGGAGGCGATGAGCAGTTTCAGTGTTGTCAAGAGCATATTCCTATACTCAAGGGCCTATGATATACAGACTATTCCTCGCCTCCAAGTATCTTGTAATTTGAATCAAATGTTCCGTCCAAACCTATCGCTTTCATGGCACAGTAATGTCTTCACCATACCAGGATCGGTTTAATGGTCTTTCCAGTATGCATGTCCTAAGACGGTCGTCAGCTGAGCTACACATTGTGGGAAATGAACTCACGAGTAAAGCCACTTTGAAGTCCTCAGCAGGGTAGTACTTCACCATCTTGTCAACAGGCAGCTTGCCGGCCCGATAATGCTCGATGAGCTGCGGAATAAAGTCTTCTGGGACACTGTCGCCCTCAACGCATCCGAACAGCTTGATACCACGAAAGAGCATATCCACAAGGTCTGTCGACATCCTATAGCTGGGATCCGCAGGTCCTCCAACCTGTACGAAAGAGCCCTTAGTGTCAACAGCATGGAAAGCCGCTTCCAGCACCGGCGGAAATCCCGTGGTTTCAATGACGACGGATGGACCACGTCCACCAGAGACCTCACGCATCGCTGCTGTAAGATCTGCGAGGCCCGTGGTGTTGAGACCATGCGTGGCACCGAAGACTTCCTTCGCCAGATCGATCCTCGACTGTACCTTGTCAACGGCCACGATTCTTCTGCAGCCAGCGATGCGGGCCCCCTAAGGAACGTCAGCGTCGTCGATTGCATTGCAGATCTACTTCCAGTATGTATACACGTACCATGACCGCGCTCAGACCGACTCCTCCGAGCCCAAGGACCATGACGACGTCGTCAGCCCCAGGCTTCACCAGATTCAAGATTGACCCGGCTCCAGTCTGTATTCCACAGCCCAAAGGAGCAAACAACTTGAGATCGTCTTCGTTTCGGATGAGGTCTTTAGCAGGAAGAACTGTCGTCTCTTTCACGACACTCAATTTTGCAAAGCTCGAATGCCCAAAGAACTTGCCTCCAACGGCACTGGAGCCGTCCTTCCCATCTTTGAATACGTCTGACTCTCCCAGGAGGTTCATGGGCGCGAAAGTGTCACAATACGCTGGGCGCTTTGCTCGGCAGCTTTCGCATTTTGTGCAGGAATCGAACGACAAGAGGACAGGATCGCCCGGTGAGACAGGTTTGGTCACGTTAGGACCTACGGCTCGTACGTAGCCCGATCCCTCGTGACCAGGTACCATGGGAAATGTTTGGCCCATGTTTGGCGAGGTGAGCGAGAGATCTGTGTGGCAAATGCCAGTGGCAACCATTTCGACCAAAATTTCGCCATCCTGGAGATCGGAAGGCACTCTGATATCCTGCATGCTCCAATTATCACCACCATGGTGCTGCTCAGCCAACGGCTCTGATGCCACAATGGCTCTGGACAATGTCATGGAGGCATACTGTCGAAATGAAGTTAGATTCGTATGACGGGGTCGAAGCAAGGACAATCGGGATGTGATTGGAGACGCGAGTTTCGATATTGCTCGAAGAGATGCACAGCGTGGGCGAGAGTGAGGAGGAGGAGGAGTGAGGCGTACAGACTCGTTTGCTTTGGACACCATTCTGGAAGGCCTGGCTGCCATGATGTTCGTAGTGCCTCTGTCAGCTGGAGGGAGTGTGGTGGAGCTTTAGTAATAAATGTCGATGGCGGGCGTGCAACACCCATGGTATATGTTTGCGCAAGCGAGTCGTGAATAATGTGTGAGGTACTGCCACGGATATAACAATAAGCTCGATCGTTGGTAGGTTTGCCGGCGGCATTATGGTAGCGGGTGCCACGTGAGCTGGTAAAGACGGTATAGCAGTGGTAGAAGCATCTGACCCCTGAATCCTGAGAGCTGCTGCTGTATACAATGTATAGGGGAGGGAGTCGGTATAGCGCATGGATTGCAGCGACAATTGGGAGGGGCCCATACACGTTCGACACCCTGTAGTACTCCATACCTCCTGGTAAATAGGAGTTAGTGGAGAGGAGTAGAAGGTAAAGAGGCGGGGAACCAGGTTGGACCGAGGCTAACCTTTTTGAACGACTCTATGAACAGTATGAGAGTAGGTAGTTGACAGTGACACTGATCTATCTTGTATACACACGCCACAAAAGTAGCCTAGTTCTGCCCGTATACGATACGGTGCATCGAGCGCGAGGAATCTCCGACTGCGCAGGCAAACATCGTGCACTCTTCACGCCAGCGAGGCAGTGGTAGAGTCTCGCAACGAATTCAATTGCTCCACTATCTGATCCCACCAGCATGCATGCAGCCGTCAACTGAATATTCGTCCACACGTTTGATGGACTTCTTTGACAAAGCCTGCCATACATATGTAGTGCCGCCTCTCAGATCCATCGCAGCTGAGTCGAGCGGCCTCCTCCTCACGATCAGCAGTGCTGTCCTACAATATGCTCGGATTCACATTCACCTCTGCAGAGAGCCTCGCTATGAATGGGTATTCATAGGGCAGCCGTTAATCGAGCTCCTCCAGGTCTTGCCATTCCGCGGTTTCGCCCATCAGATCTGTGGCGGCATCGACATAGCCTTCATCGTCCTCGGCCTCATCAGCTAGCATCTGCACAAACAGAGACAAATCTGGTCCAGGCATGCTCTCGTAGCTTTCGGGATTGCTCTCCGCAGGTGGGGGTGCCGCTCCCTCATTCATCGTCTTGTCACCGTCAAGTCTGGGAGCAAGACTCAAGACACGGATCAGCTTGGTCGGGAGGAAACCTCGTATCGTCTCGGCTAGCGGGAAAATCGTCCTGTCGCGTAGTGCGAGAGTCGTAAAAGTTGTCATGATGCAGTCTTCGTACAGTGCCATGAATGAAACGGGTACGGCCAGCTGAGGAGACAAGCTGGAAGCGAAGTGGAAGGAAGGTCGTGATGGCTGAGGGGCAGGCACCACACGGTCATCATCATCTAGTCCCAGGACATAGATGCGCTCCTCAATCTCGAACATGACTCGGTGATTGTTCACGGAGAGCCAGCCGCCTAAATCAAAAGTAGAGCCATCGGAATCACATTCCACGACGGAAGTAGATGCATCGAAGGAGGCACGGTCTTGGAGTGCTTTGCGCCAATTCGAGCAGACGAAGACGCGGCCGCCACGAGATATGCCAACAAAGAGGTCGCCATCAAACATACCTGCACCCCACTCATCATCATCTATGGAGAGGGGTTCTCCCGTAGTACGTGGGCCAGCTTGCACGTGAACAGATAACGTCCGATCCTTCCGTGGCGGAAAGCCACGGATGGCACTGGCCTCAGTCGCAGCAGTAGCCAGAAGTTCTTGATCTGACATCCCCTGTGCCTCAGCATGCGCAATGTGGAAGAAGTTCTCGGTGCTGCATTGGTTCGGGTGTAGAACACCTAAACACTGGCCTGAAGATTTGTCATAAAAGTGGTAGCCATGCGGTCCTTGCGACCATGCCACAGCATCGGCACACTGGTGTAAGTGGCCAGTGGCGCCCTCATCAATCGCCATTCGTGTTTTCAGTTGAGGTTCGCCGTGAAGCATGTTCTCGTACACAAAGCCCTGCCCTTGCAGAGAGACGACGCAAAGGGTGTCGAAAGAGAGCTGAAATCCGCGCGTGATCTTCTCATGAGGCAAGACAGCGACCATCTTGAGCGTTCCACGCGCCTCCAGAGTGTCATCAACACGCCAGACTTCCACGGCATTTCCTTCGCGATCGAACACAGCTGTGCCATCCTGGTACTCGAGATGGGCAAACGGCCGGACGACTTCCCGCGGGAGGGAAAAAAGCCTTTCCCCGTCGTCCATATCCGTCACGCAAAGGCCTCCGGCTTGCGACGTCGACAGAACGAGACGACGTTGGAAGTCTGGTTTGAAGCGCCAGATGGCATCAATTCCCACCTGGAAGATGGACTCGCTGACCACAGGGGCCGAGCGTTGCCACTGGCGGCCGAGCAGCGTCTGGCGTTTGCAGAGATCTTTCCATGACGCCACGTCGCCGTAGTACTTGGCGAAGCTCTGGCTATTCTCGAGAAAGGCGAAATCTCTGGCGGCGGGCGGGTGTTCCGTCTTGGTGGCATATATCGCCTCTCGGTGGTCTTGGTCGATGAAATAGTGCCAAGACCAATTCACTCGTGTGAGAGCGGCCAGTGCGGCGGGCGCAGTGAAGTCGAGGATGCGCAGGACGATTTCTGCAGGCAGCACAGCCAGGGGATCTGTCGTGTCTGCCATGTGCAGGCGGATGTTATCGTTGTTGTGGTGGTGATGGTGGTGGTGGTGGTGGTGGTGTTGTTGTTGAGCAGAAGGAAGCTCAAGAGCGAAGATACATGTATGATGTACCTTACCAGGCTTAGGTACCTTGAGGTAGATTCTACCGTAAACGGTAAGGTACAGGTAGGTTCTGCAACGCACCTTACCTATTTTAGAGCTCCTGCGGTGATGTCAGTGCACGGCGTAGGTACTCCTGAGCACAGCTGTATAAGACGCGTTTAGTTCAATTGGGTGTAAGCTAGCGAATATCTACTTGCGGGTGTGCCCGTGTAAACAACACGGATATGTCTTCGGCTCCGTGAACTTGCCTTCTTCCGAGGACATCATCGCCACCACCAACGTTGGTTCTTATGCAACGCCAAGCATCTCCAAATCCCATGCGGAGATGACTGTTGCCAGCCATGTTGTTCATACATGCACCAGAGTGTGTTGGCACCACCAGAAAAGGGAGTAGCAGTCCCAAGCTGTCGGCCGCTTGGTGAGAGTATGAGTGAGACAGAGTGTGAGTGAGGAGGAATGATACCTACAGTACAGCCATTATTCGCTACCCGGATCCTGCCTGTCCCACCACCACCACCACCCCCTATCTGGCGGCGGCGGGAACATCATCAACAACACCTTCAGAAGGCCAGTTATGGCGCCCAATACCAATGGCGACGTTGCGCCGCCTCCGCAGAACTCCGCCGATCTGCTCAAGCACTACGAGGAGTATGGAGTCATCATCTGCAAACCGTGCAGCTTCGCCATCCAGCCCAGCGCATTGGCGAGCCACCTGCTCAAGCACCAGATCTATCGCAGCGAGAGACGTAAACTGATCTCTCAGCTGGTCCACCTGAAGCTCACCGATCCTGCCGACGTCGTGGATCCCGCTCCCATGTCCAACCCGGTGCCTGAGCTCCAGATCTACAAAGGCCTCCGGTGCTTGCATAAGGGATGTCAGCACATTTGCGCAAGTGAGAAGCGCATGTCTCAGCACTGGTCCGAAGTTCATGGCGAGCGAGAATCAAAGAATGTCATCACTCGACCCGCTTGGCTCCAGACCTTCTTTCGCGGCAACAAGATACGATACTTCGAAGTCTCAGGGCCTGTCAATGGCCCTGTGAGCATTACGAGCAGTCCTGCAAGCAATGATTCCCCAGCAACCCCGCGGACCAATATCGACTCCACCTCCTCGCCCGTAGAGCCGCCTCTGACACTGGACATGGACTCATTGCGATATTTGTTGTACTACAAAGAGCATACAGCCCTTAGTTTGCCGAGAAATGATCGTGAATCGACCTGGTTCTGGACGGCTGGCATCCCCCAAGAAGCGTTGAAACATCCATTTCTCATGTCAGGGCTGCTTGGCCTGGCTGCTTTCCACATGGCTAGAGTCACTCCCGATCCTGCTCAGTCGGCTTATCATCATGCCGCTTCTGTTCGCTATCAGGCAGCTAGTTTGACGGACTTTCGAGAACTGACGCGACGTCCTGATGTCTCCAATGCCGTGGCTCTGATTGCATACTCACGTCTGATCGCCATTCAGCGCTGTACCCGAGACATAGACGATGCCTACAAAGTGAATTGGATTACCGAATTCATGTATCTCATCCGAGGTAGCGTGGAACAATTGATCTCACTACAAGCTTTCCTTCCACACGACTGCGAGTTCAAGTTATCTTTGCAACAGCTAGAAGGCATCGCGAGATTGGACGATGAAGCAGCTCGCAGCAAAGACGCGGAGAACGTGGCGAAAATTCCTTCTCTCATGCTGGACCGACTCGACCAGCTACCACAGCGGTTAGGACAAGTCCTAGGCAAACCAGATCCAGCCAACATGAAGGATGTCCAGGCTTCTTTCGAGGCGTGCACGGCACTGATTGCAGCTTATGCTCGGGCCTACTCGGCAAAGGCGCCCCCGGTGTCCGCTCATCCCCCGCTCGAGCCGCGCGGCGACATGGTAGCAGCCATCTGGAACGGATTCGAGTCGTGGACGCGAACTGTGAGTGACCACTATATACACCTCCTGGAAATCAACGATGGTCCGGCACTCATTATCCTGGCTCACTTCTGCGTGCTGGTCAAGCGCTTCGAAGAGCGGTACTGGTATGTCCAAGGGATGCCTGGACGTATGATTGAACTCATCGAAAATAAGCTGGATGATCACTTGAAGCCATTCGTAAATGATTTATATGATATCCTGGACTGATGAATCCAGTTGGGACCGGGAAGCCTCGAATCTTGCTGGGTGTTATCGCAACCATTATGTAATGAAAGTTCCGCATTCAACGCCAAGGCTTGAGCAAATTTGTTATTGCCGCTGCATCCATGGATACATCATACCTGCAGTCTATGCTGATAGGAGGTACCTTAGTAAGGCTCCAGGTATGCACAGTTTTGGCGGATGCGAGAGAGACGGAACGCAGTGCTCCGATCGCGGTGCTATTCCTCCGTCTCTGATGCTGTATTTCACCACCTTGAGCACGCTCGGGCCCGCTCGAAGTAGCGTAAATCAAGACCATATTTCGGAAGAAGATCAAAGGTATTCTTGAAAGGGCAGACTGCTTAAGCGTACATGATTCTCAATTATGCCTCATGCACTGCAACAAAACATCCCGATTCGCGACCGAGAACGAGCACGTTCTGCAACAACACATCGGGAGAACATGCATAGTTTTCTCGTTCGCAAGCTCGAAGGTTACACAAAAGGCAACAAGATGAAGAAATAATGCCTCATACACCATGGCTGAAATTCCCCTCGTCGGTTTCGACCCCGTTCCCTTGGCCCTACCGCTTTTCATTGGTACATGCTTGTACAATTGGCGTCGACCGCAGCTTATCAATACATGTTCGAGAGCAGCGCTGAAGATCTAGATGACGTACTGTACAATTTGTTAGCAAGGCCTCGAGTTCCACAAACTTGAAACGGTATATGTACTCACGGGAATGAACAAGTAAGGTGTTATCTTCTCGTACTCGTCCCAAGCAGCACCATACTTCTCTTTACATCTTTGGATGTCTCTGTATGCACGATGCACAATCATGAGAGCGAAGAAGATGGGATAGAACCATGGGAAAGGACTATTGAATCCAGTGATCAAACCCCAGCAGAAGGCGAAGTAAAAGTCGGCGGTGTAGTTGATCTTTCGGGCGTACTTGAACCAACCGTCGATCATGAGCGAGTCACCAGACTCGGTCCGGATGACTTTGGGGTTCTTGACAGCCTTCCATGGGAGCTGTGGGAATGTCTTTCGGTAGACAGCCACTCCACGCTCTTCAGCGCGGAACATGTTCTTTTGTGAATTGCCAGTGTCCCACACCCAGTAGGCAAATAGGTAGGTGACGTAGAGGAAGACGAGGACAGGCTTACTCCATCGATACTCGCTGGGGTCGTGATTGGCGAGGAAGATGGTGCAATGGCAGTAGCTGAGAGGGACACCAGCCAAGTTCCAGAAAATGAGCATGAACCCCCATTTCTCGTAGTACATGTCCCAGGTGGTGACAATCATCTCCTCGCCCTTGCAGCAGGCATTGGCGTATAGCCAGTGGGCCATGACCAAGAAGGCGACTTCTCCAGTGACGTAGCCGTACAAATCGATTTGGCGGAAGGCGGCGCTGAGGGAGATGAAGAAGAGGATGAACCAGGGAAGACGGACTTCGAAAAACATCTTGAAGTCGAGCCATTCGAACATGCGAGGATTAAGCTCGGCTCCCATGAAGAAGTCGTAAATGTGGTAGCCCGTCATGCGGTGAGTAGCACCACGAATGTGGGCCGACACGTAAGCCACGATGGCGACGATATAGCCAGTAAAGATGGCGACGCTCATCAGAGGGCCAAACTCGTCGATGAGGGTGTACATCTTGAACAGACCGGTGTAGTGAAGGAGCAGAGCTACAGCAATGGAGGTGTAGAAGGACCAGACACCGGAGCACCAGTATCGGAGCTGCTTGCCGTTCTCGTGAGGCAGCGGCTTTCCCGTGGAGTAGACGCCGGGCATGACCAGGTACAGAATGCCCTCGAAGACAAAGAACGTCCAGTAGATGGCCCAGGCTTTCGCATGAGGGAAAGCGCCTGTGTAGGCCAAGTTGAACAGGTGCTTGCCGAATGCCTTCCAGGTCATGCTGGGCTCCGAGGGAAACTTGCCGTCGTAGTAGGTGGCCCCAATCCACATGTACCACATGAGCAGAGGGAAGCCGATCATCATGGCCGACACTCCCAGCGTGCCTCCAAAGTCAAAGTGCGGGTTGTGGTCAATCCTGGGATCACTGCCCACCAGCCATCCGTCGATGATTTTGCCCTGGCCCTGACCGTTGCTGCCATGCCCAGGCTGTTGAGGATGTGCGTGCTGTCCATTCGCCGCCTTCGCTGTGCTGCCGTTGCTACCATTGCTGGTGATGGGCGCCTTGAGCTCGGCGGAGGCGCTCAGGTCTTCGGTGGGCGAGGGAGATGGTTCGCCGCTAGAGACGCCCGCCGACTTTCGTGCTGTTCGTCGGCGTGCTCCAGGAGTCTCAACGAAGCCATTGGGGATCGGTTTGCGCGGACTGGAAGAGAAGAAGGCGCTGTCAGCACGACCGAGCATTCATACTGGACTAAGAGCAAGAACAATGCAGAATGAGACGCATACAACGCTGACAACCAACGAGCATCACGCGCGACAGACTCGATGGAATCGGCGCATTTCGGGAGAGTGGGAATACATACGTCTTGCCCGTCTGGGAACGCGTGACCCGTTCCGACATTTTGTAGTTAGAAATGTGCGCGACAAGCGCGTAGGTTCAGCATGCACCCTCTCTAGAAAAACAGCAAGCGATGGTCTATCCGATGCATGGAGGTGAAGTGAAATGTCGTAGTGGGCGGTGGGACAGGATAATGTATGCAGAGTGGTAGACGAGGCGAGGCGTGAAGAAAGTGAGCAGGGGCTTGTCGGCAAAACGACACGACCGGACGCGACAATCGACATAGCACGCAGTATAACACGACATAACACCGTATAACACGACATCGCATGGCATAACACACCATAATGGCATAACCCGCCAGCGAATCGAGTCTGGCAAGTCACCTGCAGGTATGGATTGTTGACATCACGGAAAGATCTTCCGTGGAGACGTCGAGTTCGTTGATTGGTGGAAGCCGCCGTTACTGTGGAGTCTGTGAACATAAATTCCCATACAGAACAGCAGAAGCATCGAACTGGTACCTGGTAACGAATACCCTGACAGTTGACTGACTGATGTCGGGTGTACCTTCAACTCGATAGAAGCAAAATCGGCACGAACATTATATGCCCTATTCTCCCACCTCACTCATTCAAAGTAAAGATGACACTCGACTCCGCACTCCTCTCCCTGCTACACCTCTCCCCCGACCAAGTCACCACATCCAGCCATGGCGGCAGCTCCTTCTCCAAAACCTCCAAGATCACAGCCACTCTGCCCGACGGCACCACCAAATCATTCTTCATGGAATCCGGCAAAGGCCGCGATGCCCAGACCATGTTCCAAGGCGAGCACGCATCTCTCAACGCCATACACAATGCCGTGCCCTCTTTCTGTCCCCAATCCTTCGGCTGTGGCCCATTTTCCGATTCACAAGACACCTACTTTCTAGTAACAGACTTCCTCGACTTATCCCCTGCTGGCAAGCATACCCCTTCCGGTCCATCTCTGGCGCAGAAATTGGCCAAACTACATACTACACCCGCACCTCCTCCAGCGGGGTACGAGAAACCACAGTTCGGATTCCCGGTGACGACGTGTTGTGGTGACACTCCCCAGGACAATACTTACTCCTCCTCGTGGGCGGACTTCTACGCCGACAGCCGGATGAGAGCTATCATCGCGCGCTCTCGTCAACGCAACGGCAAAGACCACGATCTTGAGAATCTGGGAGAGCGACTGTGCGACAAGGTCATACCACGTTTGTTGGGGGACGACCATCTCAATCAAGGGAAAGGTATCACTCCAGTTGTGGTCCATGGAGATCTCTGGTCGGGAAACACATCGACGGGAAAGTTGCCGAGCATGTCTTCTCCTGAAGCTGTAGTCTACGACTCTTCAGCCTGTTATGCACATTCCGAGTTCGAGCTGGGTATCATGAATATGTTTGGTGGGTTTGGCGGCACTTTCCTGAAAGAGTATCATGAAATGGTGCCGAAGACGGAACCTGTGGCGGAGTACCCGGATCGGGTCAAGTTGTATGAGCTGTATCATCATTTGAATCATCATGCCATGTTCGGTGGCGGGTATAGGAGTGGTGCTATGAGTATTATGAAGGACTTGGTTGGGAAATATGGGGACTGATGAAGAGAATACTCCAGTGATCTAGTTGTTAATCTCTCTTTGCCTACTCGTACAACTCAGACCAGTGCGCCAGGGCAAGGTTTAGGCTTTCACCTATATCAGCGCTACCCGCACCCTTATCGGCGCGAATGATGAAATAGACGAATGTCTTGAAATCGAGGCATAACAGACAGCTACCCTATGCAGAGGACAGCGACTCACGAATTTGATGACGATGCACTCTGCTGCTGGCGGTAAAATGCTCCTTTGAAGCCCGTATTGAAACAATCAGGACAGCCCTGTGAGCAAGGCATAGTCGAGTATGAAATTCAGACATTATTACCGAAAAATCACTGCACGATCAAGGTGATGTGGAGTGTGGCAAATGGTGAAGGTTTCGGAAGACCGATAGATCTACAGTAAGGTACAGTAGTAATTGCCAAGAGCCTTGCAAGCTTTCTTCACATGACAGCGGACCTCATCCCATTGCTGCTTCTAATAACAATCAAACAATGTAACTACACCATCAGCCGCGCACACAGCGCATATCATCCCCACCATCATGGCAGACACAGTCTCCACAGGCCGCATCACCAAACGGCACAAGCAACGCCCAAGCAAGACCGGCCATAAACTGCCTTCACTCCCTTCAGATGCCCAGATCACAAAACGTCCTCTCCTCCGCCCAGCAATTCCGTCGCCCTACTCCGGTCCTTCCCAACAGAAGATTGTCTACATATCCGCCAAGACACCCTTCATGTCCGCAGTGAAACGCGCAGAGAAACTTTTACATCTAAGCGATAAGAGGCTGGTACAATCAGCGACGCAGCTGAGTAAGGATGCGCGGAACAAGAAGCGAAGGTGGGAGAGACGGGAGGATGAAGATGAGATCGTGGGAATTGCCAAGGAGGTGGAGAATAAGAAGAAGAAGAAGGGACTAGGATCGGAGAGGGAGGAAGTTGTGTTGAAAGGAACAGGAAAGGCGATTGGCAAGGTGATGGAATTGGGGCTGTGGTTTCAGCAGAGAGATGCGGAGTATCACGTGAGATTGAAGACGGGGAGTGTGTTCGCTGTAGAGGATGTGCAGTATGAGGAGGAGGCCGAAAAGCACGCTAGTGCTGGCGCTCAGGTGACAGAAGATGTCGTGCAGGCGGCTTCATCATATGAAATCAAGCAGGCTGTAGCAAAGCCGATGTCAAAGGTCATGAAGCGAGAGGAGCACGAGGCCGAGAATGGGAAAAAGGAAATCAGTGAGACTCGCATCAGACAGCTAAGTGTGCTGGAAGTCTACATTAGCCTGCGGTGAGGTATCTAGACTTTGAGATCGTGGAAGATGCACTACATTGTCTTTTTTTGTCTCTTGGCTGCGATCGTTGAAGGAGTACTCGTCTGGAGCGATGCGCTGGCTGTTCAGAAATAGGATTACCGGGTCACCGTGTGTACTCTGAGAGAGGCCTATTCTCTTTGTCGTGGCCCCACTGTCAAGACTGCCTGTAGCATCATTCAACGGCTTTCCTCGCGCGACGGACACACAGTCAACGGTTTTTCTCAGACTGGAAGAGACGAGAAGAGACTTCAGCGAGGCATGATTGAGGATGGCCGAGTCCATGTACCTTAGGAACGGTGCGGCACAGCTTGTATGCGGTAAGCAAGAACCTGAAAGAGCCGGCCGAATCTAGACGCGATGTAGTGGATTAGGGGACGACCCGCTACTTAAGCCTCAGTCGCTGTCGCGCGGGGCTGATGAGGGGGAAGCCATCACCGACGCGTCACGGTGAGGATCATACCTTCCGCACGGGTGAGGAGAGGGAAGAGGAACGGGGAAGGAGCAGATGGGGTTCGCCGAAGCCGGCAGGCCGACCCGTCTCAGTCAATTCGCGGGCATGCGCGGCAGACGGAGAGAAGAGTGGCCGGCGCCGGCTGGACGAGCGAGGAACACCGCCTGGTATGGCTTCAAACACACAAGATGCCATGAAGAGGAGTTCATGAGATGGAAATAACAATTCCGCCCTCAGAGGTCCCTGCACAGTGCACTACGTTACGTACAGTGCAGCAAAATCATGAGAGAATCAGACGCAGGTAAACGCTGCCTCGTTGGCGCAGTAGAAGCAACAGTGTGTGTTGCTCCAAAAAAATTGCAGCCAATTCATCGTTTGGCGCGTCGTGAAGGAAATTCTGATGAAGCTTCGTTTTTATACCACAAATCACGTACATGAGCTAGCGTCTCTCTGAGCCAGCCAATCACAGAATAGTGGATATCACACGACCACCACATTTCTCGCAACGTCAACATGGGGATCCAAGATTTCGCGAATTAAGTCTTCTATCATCTAGCTGCTCTACCAAGCATCACATTGAAAGCGAATGTGTGTTCGCTCCGCTTGAATAAATTGGAACACACGAGATAATCGATGCCAAACAGAGCATAGGCACATAGCGGACTCGGTGTGAGGATGGGAGTCTCAACACTGCCGCGGCAGCCGGGAGAGTTTTCATGATTTGGACTAAACTACCAGTATCAGCAACATAGTATCCTTGCGCCCACGATACCGAACCTGCTCTCTGCTCTCGATAAGGCTCGCTCGATGGGTTCTTGCACACCACACGGCGAAGAACGGAAATACTGGAGCGAGGCCACTACTGCCCCAGTCAGCCACGCGACTCGTACCCACCAGCAGCTATGGGACTCTTTCAGAAGTTTTTGAGGCACTATGGAATGCCGACATCAGACGGACTGCTGGCGCTCTTCCAGCTTGCATACGATAATACTATGAGAGAAGGTGAAATGGTCACACGATCGGGCAGATAACCCGAGGAGGCCCTCATCGTTCTGCTGTTACAGTGCCCATTACCCCAGGACTGTGACGAAATCAATATTCAACTGCTCAATGAGGCTCATCTGTGCCTGCTGACTGGCCCAAGACTTTCATTATTGATGGCTATCGTCAAGAGCCTCGCATCTTCGCCATCATCTAAGCAGACAGGACGTGCTTGTGACGGCCACTCAGTGGCGCCACATCCGAAGCGGCTTCCTGAGTCTCGTCATAGACGTTCAGAATTACGACCATCACTCAGGTTGCCGGGAGGCCAGATATAATAGAGATCTTTGCCTTGGTTGCATCGAGAAATCTACGCAGCCAATTATTTGCAACTCAACTCAGCTTACTGTTCTTGGGTCATTTCGCTGCAGCTTTCTCAATTAGGCAGCTCACCATGTACAGAGAGACTAGTGCGGTGAGATGCTAAGTGTGGATCTCGACCTCTATCCAACATTATGCTGTGCGCGCAATATTTCCCCGCCAGGCCCAACCGATTCATTATCTTACTTGTGATAAATTAAATAGGTATTCAGAGCCAGCGACCTTCCCAATTGCATATACAACAGACGAATCCATTCCTCGATCGTCAGCTCTCGAACTCGTTGCATTGTTCTAGCTATACACCTTCCCGTAAACATAGGATCGGTAATTAGCGTATCAGTCCTCGTAGCCAAACGATCGCACTCGGCCGTTGATTGCACTCTGCCTAGGAATTCTATATGTGCCCTTTGAAAACCTTGATCAAGTACAATCGCGTTGTTGGTAGGAATCTTACGCTTCTAATGAAATATATCAGTCGATCGATATTCAGGCCTATAAGTAAGATAAGAGGGATCGTAGTCCTTGTAATAGATAGCGACAATAAAGCATGCTTCGCTCCCGAAGAGGTATTTGCATCTACTCGTGACAGCGTAAATAGAGAAGCAATGTTGCATCTTGTTATGATCAGGTCAGGTACCTTAGGTATTATATGCCCTAGGGCTTCGTTGTTTGACATGATACTTTAGCCGGAGGTTGCTATTGTTCTTGCTAGGTATGCTTGGCGCCATTCACAATTATAGTACAGCTGTAATTAGCGAGGCTTGATGACGACGGCACACAGGCACATGTGTGGATGAACGTTCCTTGCCCCAAACGAGTCTCCGTGGCCTTCCAGGTTGCCAGCCCCATGACATAGCTTATCTTGTATACCTCCTGTCCATCGATGGCTGCTGTATGTTTCCATCTTCGTATTGCTGTTATATTAGTTCTACCCGCACGCCTCGCCGGAGCTGCGGAGCATGCGACGATAGAGTTCGGTGACCGAGACGAACGGGTGCACGTGGGAACCAGCGTTCCATTATTGCCATTTGCCAGGTCTGAGTTGGTGCTTCACTGCCTCTGCTTCTGGACTCCCCCCTGCCGCGCTTGGTAGATCTAGCCACCCGGCCACCTGCACCACCGCCAGCTCGTCCACTGTCCACCACCAAATACCACTGTCCACCACCACCACCGCCATCTCCTCCTCCTCCTCCTCCACCTCCACCTCCACCTCCGCCACCCGCTCTCCACACACACTCCTCACGGCGACTTCTACCGCGGCCCCCATCCCCCTCTCCGGTACAAGCGAAGTGAAGCGATTCGCGTCGCCTCGCTTCGCCTCGCTTCGCCAAGCTGGACTTCCTCTCGCTCGCGGGAGGCCATCATGGCACGCCTGCCTTTCTGACGAGACCCACCATCAACACCCAGCAGCGACCCGTCACACCCCAGCCATCGACACCGACGTTGCGATCCCGCTTGGGCTTCGCACCTCGGCCGACGAAGACGCACTCGACGCCCGACTTCCACGACACCACAAACATGGCCGCCGTCGCCACTCCGCCGACTCCCGTGTCCGCCATGCGAGAGGACCACGTCATGGACACTCGGACGCCCTCGCCTGTTCGGCGCACCGCCAGCACTGGGAGCAGCACGACGACAACGACAACGATGGACAACGTCAGCAGTGATCCCGCCTATCAGCCCGATCTGAGTTCCGAGGTCGCCATGCTGAGCACGAAGCTCGTCAACGCGATTAATTATCAGACGAACCTCGACGACTCTCTCCAGCAGACCCGGCATGAGCTGGATCAGGCTCGACAGAGGGTGGCACAGCTGGAGGAAGAGAATCGGCAGCATGCGCAATTGATCAGCTGCGGAGCCCTTGTCAAGCAGGCCGATGTCAACAGGACCATCACCAAGTTACGGACGGAGTTGACCACAGAGAAAGCGGCGCGGATAGAGGCAGAAAAGGTGAAGAAGCAAGTAGAAAGTGAACTGGAGAACCTGACGACTGCGCTCTTTGAAGAGGCCAATGGCATGGTGGCCGCAGCACGCAAGGACACCGAAGTGATGGAAAAGAGAAATGCACAACTTCGGAGCCAGTTGCAAGAGTACGAACTGCTCATGGCCGCACAGCAAGAGCAACTGTCAGATCTCAAGGGCTCGATGGAGAAACTGGAAAGCGATCAGCCGGCAGTGATGCGAGATCCCAGCGTGCCTTCGACACCCATTACAGCACAGCACGCCATGTTCGATGGACTGCAATTGTCGCCTTCCATGCAAAGTATAGCGGACATGTCTCCCGAACATCCACTCCACTACTCGACACTCATCAATCCGGTATTGAGAAACGACACGAAAGCCTTCGAGGACTTTCAAGATCTGCTCCTCTTAGCACGCCGGTTGGGAGCACATTCAAGGAACAACAGCAGTCCGGCCAACGCAGCAAATGCCAGCCAAGTCTATCCTTCATCTAACGCCATCCCGCCTTCGCCGAACGTGCCCGGATCCTTTTCATTCGCCAACTCCAGTCCCACCTCGGCGTACTCTGCTGCAAGTGCAAGCATACCGCCGCTCAAGGACAGTAAATTCTACAAGCGGGTACTGACCGAGGATATTGAGCCGACTCTGAGACTCGACCTTGCGCCTGGGCTGTCCTTCTTGAGCAGACGCACAGTATTAGGGTCTTTGCTTGCAGGGACCTTAGCTGTGGAGCCATACCCGCAGAACAAGCACTACTTTGCTTGTACGCTGTGTGGAGAAAATAAACGACAAGAACAATATGTGCGAAGACATCGCTTCCGCACGTCCGAGGAAGACAGCGTTTCGAAGCCACTTTGCGATTTCTGTGTGGCGCGACTTCGAGCGACCTGCGATTTTGTTGGCTTTCTCCGCATGGTGCGCGACGGCCATTGGAAGTGTGATGGCGAAGATGACCAAAAGTCTGCATGGGAAGAGAGTGTTCGACTTCGCGAACGCATGTTCTGGGCGAGGCTTGGCGGCGGCGTTGTGCCATGCTTTCAGCCTCTTCAGCGAAGCGGACTTCCGTCACCGAGCTCTGCACATGGCTTTGCGAGCGGACGACAGAGCTTGGAAGACATTCCAGAAGGCGAAGTGAAGAATGTGGTTCCGAAGACTAGTAGCGAATCCACGCCTAGTGTCAGGATATCCACGACTGCCTTATCGAGACCAGGAACCGCCGACAGTGCTGCTCGAGAGAATGGTGTTGCACGACATGTGTCAGTGGACTCGCAAGCTCATGACGGCGCTGAAGAGTCTGAGCAGCCGCCTACACCTTTCGAGGACGCGAATGAAGAACCGGTCGCGCCGTCCGGCCAGGTGGCGCAACCGGAGGAGAAGTCAGCAGATGAAGCACCATCAGAATCTGCTACCGAGCCTGAAACAGCCACGCTACAGCCGCCCAGAGACGCATCTCCAGCGCGGAAATCTTTAGAAGTAGGGGAAAAACCTCCACATGAGCGCAACTCGTCGTCCTCCTCAGTCCTGGCACGAGTGAAAGCCATGGAGGCTGACAAGCAATAGACACGAGATATAATCAAGAGAGCTGTCAAACTGACTGAACTGTACGATACGAATAAGGAGAAGAGTTTTGGTGGGTGCATAAATGGTGGTCTATTTTTGGCGTTTTTGCTTTATCGAGAGAGGCGTGCGAGCGGAGCGCTTTGTAATACAAGACAAAACGCATAACGGTGTGGCGGCTCGCAGAACGAGTCGTATTAACGCATGGGATACACGAAAAGGTGATGAGTGGAACAAGAGAGAAAGAAGACGTGTGCATGTGAGCGAGGCGATATCGCGAAAATATCTTTCTGCATGATACCCGGGTGTGTACTAGTAGTAGTAGTAGCAGTAGCAGTAGCAGTAGCAATAGCAGTATGGGGACGAGCATAATGGATCAGTAATGAAACGGGAAAAATAGTATGTTGCTTGAATGTCCTCTTCCATGGTACCTCGTGTTCGTGCCGACGTAAATGACCCCGGTGAGCGGGCGACTCAATGAAGAAAGATGGAAGACGTGTGTACATATTATGTAGCCTACCCACTCACTGCTCACCCCTACTACGACAGAGACACCAGAACGACCCAGGCCCAACATGTGTATAGGCGGCAGACCATCAGAGATATAGATACACGACAGCGTAAAGCGTCCTTTTACGGTCATGGAGGGCTGTGTCATTTGGCGAGAAGATAAGCACTGGTGCTTGTGATCCCAGATTCAAAATTCATAGATCTCTCCATACGTTCCTGACCACCGGACAGAATAGTGCCATCTGCTATTACCTAAGTACCTGGTAGGTGCCTACCGAAGAGCAGACTGCTGGCAATCGCAACGCCGACTAGCCCGTTCATGAATTTCTCAGACACTTGTAACCAACCCATCATCCGCAACAGCCATATAACCATAGCTACCTAGGTATAGCCTCTCCCCTCTGTCTCCTCCTTACGATCCTCCCTCAAACCAATGCCATCTATTTCTCAAAGGCGAAGATGAAGATGAAGAGGAAGGAGAGGAAGAAAAAGAAGAATCAGAAAAAGGATAATATGCAGAAAAAATAAGAAATGAAAGGAAAAAGGAAAGTAAGGGTAAGGAAAAAGGAAAAGAAGGCAAAACTCGTCTCTCCATCAAGCCCCCTCTCCCTCTCTCTCCCAAACACTCACTACACCAATGCACAAACGAGACTCCCACACTACCCTACCACTGAACTGCTACCATCCCCGTCTTTCTTCTATGCGAACCCGTTGTTGTGACTGTTCGCGAACGAGAGAGATACGTGGTGTGATTCGCTCGCATAGAAAGTCTACAGGAGTATGTTTTGCAAGATCTCGTCTAAGTTAGTTGAATTTTGATGGATACCAAGCAAGAGAAAAGACGTATTCAAGGTCAGGTCAGGTCAGGTGATGGTGGGTCGTATCTAGCTGGTTTGGTAGATGAGGTATACGGTAGATGTAGGAGGTAGATTATGAACCAACCTGGCTCACTTCAACTCCACTCGGCCCAAAAGGGGAAGGATTGACATTTTCCTTTGATGATGTGCGAGAAAGAGGTGTGAGACTGTGAGTGGTACCCAGAAAAGTCACGAGCCCTGCATCTATCTCCAGACAGACCTATTGGATCCCACAGTTCGGTAAGCTAGTGCATGACCGCAGCTCGAGCTATGTCCTCTGGAGTACCACAACGTCTGGCGCATGCAGCACAGATCAGGTGCCTTTAGCCCAAGACAGAGGTAAGGTGGTGTGTGGTGTGGTCCAACCTCACTCACGTGCTGGTCAAGACGGAGAAGACGTCTCCAGTCAGCACTTACATATACTTCCGAATACATTGAAGAATGGAGACCGGTTACGACCTGGCTCTGGTTTCGACTCAGCTGCTGTTAACGGACTTCGATCAATATAAATGATCTGAGTATGCAGAGGGAGATGGAGGGGGCCGTTTGAACGCCAACCGTCACGTTGTCGTCCCATGCCCGCAGGCGGCAGAGGCACCACACAGGGGAAGGCGATGGGCATGGCCCGCCATGCGCAAACCATCAGATTGTCAGGACCCGGCGAAGCGCGTATGTTGTAACAATATTTTCCCTCGAACAACCAGCACACAAGCAAGGGGTATCACACAAAGACCAACCCAAACCCATGCAAGACAGAAGCGTAAAAAACTCGCATGGCCTCATCATTTTCCCATCAGAGCAGTAACAGGACACGCTTGTGATCATTCATTATTCGTCACATGCCAAGCTGTACTGTCGTGTCATAGATGCTCACCGATTCCTATCCGGCAAACCTCTTTCCAAGTCCTCAAAAGCCTCATCTTCCCTACTCACAGGCTGTGGTGAGGCCGAATCATCATTAGTCACTAAAGTGAGAGCCTGTTCATGCACGTCGTCGTCGTCGTCGTCTTCGTCTTCATTGTCATCTCGATAAGGTTCGTGATGCTCTTGATGTGGGGGCGTAGTTGATGACGATGACGATGATGATGATGAGCCATGGGATCGAGCGAGAGACCGTACAACGTCACCTTTGCAGATGGGACATGTGCGACGACGAGTCGTGAGCCAGGGCGTACTGTTGTGGGCGCACAATACTAGGTCAGTGGACGTCATTCCAGGTTGGAAGGGGATGGGAAACACTCACATGCACTCGGCGTGGAACTCGTGGCCGCAAGGTAGACTCATGACTCTGCTGACGCCATCCACGTACTCTTCCAAGCAGACGACACATTCCCGTTGTTTGCCGCCATAGCGTCTTCGCCATTCTGCTAGGCCAGCCGCACGCTTCTCCTCGACTTGCTCTAGTGAGGGCGATGCCATGTCATCCGAACGGACGGAGGTGCTGCCGTGTGGTAGCTCCGACGCCGTACGTGCTCGAGGTCTTGACCTGGTGCCAATGGGCCGCGAGGTTGGCAGCAGTGGTGTGGTAACACTCGCTTGTGAGGAAATTGAAGTGGTCGAGGCAGTGCTGCTGGGCATAGTCTGATATGTACGTACGGGCAGGCGCTCGACGACAGATTTTGGTGCGCGCCACCGGCGTCGCCGTATCCGTGAACGAAGTAAAAGAAGGGCGTAGACTACAGTCAGTGTGACCAGTGGTGATACGACCAACACCAGTAATGTGTCAAAGAAAGGCGACGCTGACATGGAAGTTTGCGACAAGGTCACCCACAGGCCGTCATGATGCGATGCGCCGCCGGCATTCGCAAGCTGAGGCTTGCGATGCGGCGTGTCAGTCTTGGTGTGCTGTATTCCTTGGTCTTGATGTTTGGGCAAATCCTTGAATGGCATCATAGCCTCTGGTAGGGCGTCAGGTTCTTCACTTGAACTGAACAACCGACTGATCCAGCTTCGAGATGCGTCTTCTGCGTCAATGCGCAATGCCGCCGCGTCCTGCTTCGGATCTGGCTTCCTCGAATCGCCCAGGTCAAGTGCTTCATGAAGGGCTTTGCCATATTCACCACTACCAGGTGTGATGCTGCCGCCCTTGAGGGATGATTCAATAACAGGAGTGGTCTTGGGATCAGTGGCCGAGGTGGCGGTAGTGGTGGAGGTGGAGGTGGAGGTGCCGTCGTGTTGATGATGATGCTGCTCTCTCTGCTCGGCTACCAAATCAGGGTCTCGCCAATCCTGCACTCCGATGACGAAGCCATCGTCTGAATCATGCAGTTGCTTGTTGGCTGGTAATTTGTGAGAGGGCGCGGTAACTGTGTGCTTTCGAGGAGGAGCTTGTTTGTGCTCCGCATCATCTTCGTCAAATTCCTTCTGCAGGATCCAGCCAGGCTTGCCACTGCTAGGAGGACGTCTGCTGTCAGCATCGTCAGCGCCACTGCCAAAAATCGAGGCGAACCAGCCGGCGTGATGTCTCTGCGCCTCCTCTCCCGCATGCTGCCTGCTCAGCTTCGCTTCCGCTTGATCGGCCTTCTTCGCGTTCGCCGCAAAGGTAGGCTTGCTCTTCGTAGCAGTAGTCGTGGTGAAGCTGGGCCTGTCCTCTGAGTCCTTGCTGTTGGAGGATTTCTGGCCAAGTCTGCCACCAGGAGTGGCGAGCTTCTTCGATTCGACGATGGTATTGCCGCCAGCCGGCATCAAGCTGGACAGAAGCTGGGCCGTGGTGTGCGATGTGAAGAGTGAGGGTATTGTGACGTTGGATGTGTCTCCTCGCGCATACATAGTCACCAGCTGACCCCCTCGCTGATCGTCTCCCACAATTAGCGCGATACCGCCTCTTCTCTGCACCCATTTGACCTTCTCCAAGAAACCACAGCCACCGCGGCTGAGCAGGACCACTTTGCCCGCTATCTCGGCGCTCTCCTGTAGTGACTGAATGTCGGCATGAGTAGGTTTCTTAGTACTACCAGCGGAGTTGCCATTTCCGTGGATGCCATCGGACGCGGGCAGGGGATGGTGCAAATGGTCGTCCGTGCCGTCATCTTCGGAGGGCGACTCCTCGTGTGGTGTCTCCTCATCCTCATCATGCGCAGGAAGATAGTCTCGTTTCGTGTGGCCTGCTAGTGGCCCCTGGCCGTCTGTTACAGGAGTCTTGCCATCGCTGGCGGGCTTCTTCGTGCTCGTCCAGCTGCCGACGTCTTCCCAACCCGGCACGTCACTGCAGCCGAGCTCTCCTCCAGCGGCTACGCCAGAGCCGCCTTGGCCTAAATGATCATTGCCGAAGCCACTGCCAATCCAGAGCTGCCCGCTCAAGCTCTTGACCGGGAGCAGCGGACCAAACGCAGCAGGTCTGGCCATGAAGTTGGTGGAGTTGTCATCGGTCAGGCTGATGATGGCGCTGGGAGGGAACAAGCTGGAGGGCGTCCGCCAGTTGAAGTATGTGCGCAGGGCCCCACGCTCATCCTCTGCACCGTCGTCGTCGTTGTGCCAAGGTCCAATGAAGACGAGTAAGAAGAAGGCGATGATGCATGATATGAGCGTGAGGAGGAGGCGTAGAGGGCGCATGGTGGTAGATGTGTTGCGGTTGCTGTTCGGTGACAGCTCTGCGAGTCGCAAGGGTTGTAGAGTAGGTCGGCTCGCGACCTGGGGCCGCCGCTATCTTCACGATGTCATGCGCAAGTGCTCGGTCGTCGGCAGAGGTGTCTGATGTGAGGCGCGGTTTTCTCTGGTGGTAGTGGTGGTGGTACTGGTGGTACTGGTGGTGGGGGAGGGTGCTGCTGGTGGCGGCGTGGGGAGGTGGCTTCCGGGTTGTGATGTGTCGTTGATTCTCGAGGAGCACCGCTCTTTCCTCGTACCTGTACCTGGACAGAGTCAAGCGAGCAGAGGGAGAGCGATGGGCAACACGGAGAAGAGCGGGCGGTGGTGTGAGTCGGTGTTGCGAGGGTGTAGACAGGAACAGGAAGGCGGAACGAGAGTTGTACCTGTATGTGCGAAGAATGAAAGAGGAGAGCGGAGTGGTGGGCTGAAGGTTGCCTGTGTGTGAAACTCTAGAAGAATACCTGGTAGTCCCTCGCACCTCGCACGTGAGCTCCAGGACCGAGACAACTGGCATAGCAGTGCATTTCTCTCACGCAAGACACCTCCCGTCAGGTTCAATACACAATCCCGATCTCTACACACTGCTTGCACCTAGAAATTTGCTCCACTCCTCTTCACCGTACGTAGTGATGTCGAGGAGAGTGGGAGGTGTCTGATGTCTCACCGCATGTACTGTAGCTAGTAGTACAGTAGTAGAGGCGATCAGATGCCAGTCCAGTGCGGGGCCGCGCTTAATGGCCGCGTTCGGGGAGTAGCCGGGAACATCCTTGCTCCCATGGCACGTCTGACGAAGATGAAGATATAAAATGTACCTCTATGAACCTCTCGTCTGCAAAGAGACTGCACCTGGTGTATGTTATCCTGTCTCTTCCTCTCCTCTCCTTCTCCCTCTCCCTCTCTTGGTGCAAAGTCTCACCTGGTCCACGATACCGGCATGCACCCACATGCGCCAGATCTGCCGTGGGCTCCAGCGCTTCTAATTCAGGAAGATTTCGTAATCGTCCTAGCGGTCGTGGCGGGGCGCACTCAACTTTATGCACTTGGCCAGATGTCGTCCCCGTCCATGTGAAGATTGCAGCTTGAGAAGACGGAAGCTATATCCTGCCTGATGTAGAATGCCCGCCCGGGAATGGTGGAAGCTTCTACCTCCTATTGAAGAGTCTGCAGAAAGCTGGATACGCGGTCATGCGGTCATCATTTGCGCCTCTGGCAAGCTATGGAAGGGGAAGGCACATGAGGTGTATATCAAGGTCGCTCCTTCCGACTCTCGTCAGGCGAGGCTGTTAGGAAGCAAAAGAAGGGGGACAGGAACGGTTCCTCCCACACTTGCTTCCTGCCCGTCTCGTGAACAACATCCATTGTGAGCCGTCCTTGCCACTTCTCTCTCTGTCCCTCTCTCTCTCCTTCTCTCTCTCTGCTCTTGCGTTATAGGCGTGCGTGCGTGTCGGTGCCTCGTGGCATCCCGCCTTTCGTCTCTTCCTCCTCCTCTTCCTCCTCCTCCTCCACCACCACCATCTCCTCTTCCATCTCCATTTGTTCTCCTCTCATCTATACACTACACCCTACAGCATCTAGCTTCCCTCGCGAGCCTCTTCACCTGGGAATACGCCCACGAGCCTGATATCTGAGACACACCTATCCACACAACATTCATCTCAGTCTACCCCTACGGCATTCCTAACACCACACACGCCCGCACACCGGACTGAGTCCATTGAAAGAAATTCATCCACCACTGCGATTCCGCCGTCCGACAAGATGAACAACAACTCTACCACCGGCGTCCACCTCTCGCTCCCGGGACTCGGCAACAAGGAGAAGCCCGGGCATCTCAAGGAACACAGAATCCCGGGTTTGGGCTTCCTTCCCAACAAGACTCGTAACCACTTCATTGCGTCAGTCGACATCTGGCAGGAGCACGCGTGCGCCAATCGCTGACTATAGTTGTGCAGAATGGTCGGCGAATTTATTGGCACCTTCCTCTTCCTGTTCTTCGCCTTCAGTGGCACACAGGTCGCCAATGCCGCCGCAACGGGCGCCAATGCCGGAGACTCAACCCTGGCTCAAGTTCCCAATGCTAGTGTCCTGGTGTACATTGCGCTGGCCTTTGGTTTCAGCTTGGCCGTGAATGCCTGGGTCTTCTTCAGAATCAGCGGCGGTGAGTGGGCGTGTAGCTCGAGGAAAAGTCACAAAGCACATCATTGACGAAGCAAGCCGCAGGTCTCTTCAACCCTGCTGTCACTCTCGGCTTGGCCCTGATTGGCGCCATCACTTGGGTGAGGGCGCTTGTTACTTTTATCGCTCAAATCCTAGGTGCCATGGCTGCCGCTGCCGTCGTGTCGGCATTGTTTCCTGGACCACTCGCAGTGGCGACGGCGCTTGGTAGTGGCACGTCTATCGCACGAGGACTGTTCATCGAAATGTTCCTGACTGCGGAGCTCGTCTTCACCATCTTCATGCTCGCTGCCGAGAAGCACAAGGCCACATTCATTGCACCCATTGGCATTGGGCTTGCTCTCTTCATCGCTGAGCTTTCGGGCGTCTTCTTCACCGGTGGTGCGTGTTGGGGGACGCGACAGATGGTGGCCCTGAGCACAGCTGTGATTTGCTGACCCTTGTCGATATATAGGCTCCCTCAATCCTGCCCGATCGTTCGGACCTTGCGTCGTGCTGCATTCTTTTCCCGGATACCACTGGATTTACTGGTTGGGCCCTCTGCTGGGCACACTTCTCGCCGTTGGGTTTTACCGATTCGTCAAGCTCTTGGAGTACGAGACTGCGAACCCGGGCCAAGACTTCAATGAACAAGAGGCCGAGCACTTTGACTTCGACGAGGACAATGCTGCCTCTGCTGCCGACGTTGCTCGACCGGTGGTGCCGCAAGATAGTAGTATCAGCTCGACAATCGACAGACGTGACACGCAACAGATGCCCGATTATGCCGATCGCCGCCCACAATCTAGTGGTGCATATGGCAGCCCGCAAGTAGGCTACGGAGGACCTCCAAACGCCGGTCATGTTCCTGGAATCGCAAGCGGTCGTCCAGGCACTGGTACTAGCACTGTGGACAACGCTCCCAAGACTCACGTAGATGTCGACCCGCAGAGGCTCGAAGATGGGATGCATCCGGGTTTTGGCGTCCGCAAATAGGACACCGGCAAGAGCAGCGAGCATGCCAGCTCCGTGAGCCACGCTGACACCTTTACGACCGCGAGCGCTACTCCAGTCGAAGTACCGCCCACTGCTCCGACGCCGAGTAATTCCGCAGCGGCGGCACCGCCTGCGGAGAAGACGTATGCACCGCCTGCGAATAACAAGGCCACCACGAGTGGTGTACTACCTCTGACACCCAGTCCTCTCCCTGGTGAAGGGGCTGTCGCTGACAAGCCGTTTGTGCCATCAATCAGGCCTGCCGTCACCCCTGGCATTCTCCCCACACCGAGTCACCTACCTGGCGAGGTACACATCGCCGACAAGCCATACGTGCCATCAATCCGGGGTCGTGAATCAGCCGATAATACAAAGGACGAGACCAAGGACGGGGAACATGGCATCTCACCACCAGCCAGAGGGAAGGGGGATACCGCATCTTCGTACTTTGCTTGATGAAGATGTGATGATGCCGTGGTCGACTACACCATTTGAAACTTGAAAAGCACGGCGTTGGGAAGGAATATACCCTGTTGCATGAAATCTGCACGATGTCGGAGTAGATGTGGACTGCCATGGCTAGATTAGGTATTGTCTAGACGTGAGACGAGAATAATATTGATAAATTGTCACGGTCTGACATGTAACATAGTATCGCACACATGGGTGAGTGTTGATGTGGCCGTGCATTGGTAGCTGATGATGAGTACAGACGTGATACACATGTACGAGCGCTGACAAGCTTCGATGGAGGGTTCATATCCTTGATGGCAGAGGTATTACGTCGAATATGGCCGGTTGCGGTACGGTGAGATAGATGTAGTGGATAATGTCTGGGAGTGAGTATGATATACATGATGGAGATTTTCGACACTTTACAGAGGCCTGATGTTTGTCAGTCACTATGTTGCGAATGTGCAGGCATATATGCCTAAGCAGAAATGGCATGTTTCCATTGGCAGTGAATTCGGAATTGTACTCATGTACATACCTAGATGTACCTGTGTACTTGGTACCCAAAAAGCTACCAAGTCTATTCCCAGGCTACCTCACGCTACTTGCCGACTTCATCTGGGGCAGGACTTTTCACCGACTCCATCGTGACACACATCTTGGGATAATCGTCGATACCTACCTTATGCAGCATTACATGTAGTACTTGGAAAGATTGCAAAAGTGGGTGTCTACGGGCAGGAAGGGGAGGGAGGTAAGGACTGCAAAAAGCAGGGGGCTTGGTTTTAATACCACATTGTCGTTTATCGAGATTTTCCTGTTTTCTATCCCCCTATCTAGAGACCGTGAGACGATACTTTGGCTATTGATGGTTGTTGTTGTTGTGGTGGTGGTGATGGTGGTGGTGGTGGTTTTCCTCCGTCGATTCATTCATTCATCCATTCATCCATTCATCCTTGCTTGCTTGCTTGCTTGCTTGCTTGCTTGCTTGCTTGTTGTAAACATTTTTTTAACACTAAAAAGTGGGTTGTTGTTAGTTTCCCGTGCTTGGAAGTAGGAACATAGGGTACCTAGGTTAGGTAGGTAAGGCAGGTAAGGTAGGTATGCAGGTAGGTAGGTAGGCTCTAGGAGAGGAGAGGAGAGGTCATACATGAATGCAGCACTAAGGTACGTCCAAATTGTAATTAGTAACTTTCTTATTATTGAGTGACGTTTCTTTTTTTTTTCTTGCAGAGAGTAGGTACACAGGAAGAGTCGTAAGGTAGGTAAGGTAGTGTAGGTCAGGTAGATAGGTACTTACGGGCTTGTTGCTAGGCTCGTCACAGGCTTGGTTGTTGACCTGGCAGCAAGGAAGACTTCGCAGAGTGATGTCGGATATCTCACTACCGGGCAGAGACATGGCCAGTCTGGCTAGGGCGGCTACGATGAGGTAGGAGAGCTGGAGACGCATGATGATGATAATGGGGGCTCGTTTCGTTTGTAGACTTGGTGGGGGGAGTTTCTTCTTGTGGTTGTTGGTGTTTGAATGCCGATGTCGATGTCGATGCTGATGTTGGAAAAGAGAGGAAAATGAAATCAATCGAACAAAGGGGAACAACGATGCTTTTATATAAGTCGCTCGAGGAGAGAAGACCCGCATGGTAAGGAAAGTGTCTTTGTTTTCCAACATGTGTACAAGCATACAAGCATACGATGTGCCCAATGGGTCACGTTGTTGTTGTTGTTATTGTTATTGTTGACTGATTGGTTGATTGATCGGTCGACGATGTGTAGTCGGATTCCAAAAGCTAAACTATCCAATTGAGGTTAGGGTCGGTGTATGGGCTGAGGATGATGTGAAGGGAGCTTGGAACTTTACGCGAAAGAGTTGCAAGGCCTTCGTATGCTGTATGGACCATGTCATGCCATGATAAGACTCTTTCTATCTCTCTCTCTCCCTCTTTCTCTCCCTCTTGACATCACTGTGATACTATAAGGGCGACTACAGTAAAAAACAACAGCAGCAGCAGCAGCAGCAGCAATAGTAGTCTGCTATGCAACTAGTGCATTGCAGAGATACACCCACCATTGGTATCAGGCGATATCCACAAAAGGTGATCCCATCGAGGTAATGGGCCATATCCTGTCATACTGAGATACATGTAACTAGGGTGAGATTCGGTCCGGGGTTGGTGGTGGGCTTACACATCACCCGTAGGCTTTTTACCTTCTACTTCACTTCAGAAAAGAAAAATCAGATCAGGTCCCCAACCATCTCATCCCCCGAAGATCGCGAGGCAGACTAGAGCAGAGCAGAGAACCTATGGGAGAAGCAGCACCAACGAACGGTACGAGGTCACCAACCAAACAATCAAAAATGATGTCCGTGGGACCTGGCCGAGTGGTTAATTAGGTACGTACATTTATTCCCTTGATTGCCTAGGTTATTGCAGAATTTCTGCAGCCTGTAGGTCTCGCGAGTCGAGGTGATGATAGCGCTTTGTTTTTCCTTTTGAAGAGGATCGAGATATCGAGTTGCATTGATAAGACATTCTCTTTTCTGGGACCTGGACACCAGCCCCGGTTTATTCGAACTTAGCTAGGTTGATCTGTAGTTGTAGTTAGTGTTGGCTCGCGGCCTAAAGTTGATGCAAGGCAGGCAAAGCAAGATGGATGCCTTGCTTGTGACAAAAATCCATCATCGGGAGAAGAAGAAAACTCACTCCCACCAGTGCATGCATCGTACGAGGGTGCTTTCGCCTGCTGCAAGCAACATCACTCCTTCACTTCGTTCTGCTGTGTATGATTTTTCACAGCAGGAAGGAAAAACAGCGTACAATGCCGTTTTCACCAGAGGAATCGATCGTGCATTCGTGTATGAGGGTTGATGAGCAACACTTAAAGAACCACCTCAATCCTTCTTCTTCTTCTTCTCTTCAAACGTCTCAGATCCCGCCTCGAGCATCGAAGAAGAAAAGAAAAGAAGCAGCAGCAGCAGCAGCAGCAGCAGCACTAACCATACCCCACTCTACTTGAATTCACAACTCACTTCTCCAAGCAGCAGCCATAATGGATCTTCGACGCCAAGTCGGCAAAAGGTCCCATGGGGCCAACTTCATGACCACCAACGCTGATCGCAGAGCTGCAGCCGCAAATCAGCAAGTTAGTGCGTATTATGGCGCTGGCTCCCAGATGGCACAGTATACGAATGCCCAGAACAAAGTGGCAAGCACCTCCAAGTCTCTTGCTGAAGGCCATTTGAGGGAGATGCGAGCGAGGTATAATGGAGAGAAGGGAAGAAGTGATTACTTGTATGGTCGATAGACAGAGAGAGAGAGACCTGTGGGTGAGCAGCCATATGGGAGATGAAGTCATGTGTGCTTGCTTTGTTTCCCTGTAATGGGGTGATGATGATGGATGTATGTAGCGAGGAAACATACTACTCATCTTTCACGGACTGATTGTTCCCTTGTCATCGTAAGCTGATAGGTTGTTGAAGTTGCACAAACTAGCGGACGACTGAGTCCGTTCTTCAGCATTGCATAGGGCTGATGATGTTGTGGAACAATGAAACACTCGTTCGTGGTGGACTGATTTTTGGTCTTGTGCAGTTTGCATCTTCCTGTTCGCTCCGATCAAAGATCCGCTGGAGCCTTCTTGTCCGAGCGAGAGCATCACTGCCATGCCCCTTATCGGATGCTTGTCTCTCCTTGCCGCTGGTGATATGGGTAGGTAGTTCGATGTTCTCGTAACATGGTCGGGGCATGTGGCCACCATCCAAGGCCATTCAATCCTAGATTCCCTGTGCATGCGTCACACTATCAATCCTGCCGAACACGTTCCTCAGCGGCGCCTCCTCGCCCAGACTCTAGCTGCTGCGGAAAATGTGCCTGCTCTCTATAAGCTTCGGCCGTCAGCCCGACACACCGTATATGTATCGCCTAGACTAAGCAGAGACAATCTCGCGCCAGGAGTCTTGCTCGTCGATGCGGAGCCGTTGTCGTGCTGGGATTGTCCTTCCTCGTCGGAATCGTGGCCCCCTTTGTATTAGTGATGTGAATGTTTACCGACAATCTTTCACTGCTCTGCTCGAGCACATCTCGAGTGGTCACTCAAGACCTTATCACACACCAGGGTCTAGCCCCAGACCAGCAGTGGTGAATACTCGAAAGCGTAACCGCAATTCCTTCAAACCTTCCCAGCTTTTGATACGCGATCAGGGAAAGGCAGATCATCAGTCGAGCAAGTAATCGGTTAGCGACCGGAGTGGTGGTATGCTCTTAGAATTCCCAGCATCAAAGTCAAACATCCCAGAAACAGCGCAGCAGCAGCAGCAAGAAGCTGATAGACTAAGGTTATCATCATATTATGTGACGGCCTGGAATTCTCCGCTCAGGGATATCCGATCATCCCTTCACTCATTCCACCATTGTTGGTCAGCTTCAATGCAAGTTGCAGTCCATGTGTTGGCTTGGCTAGGGGGTATCGCCCTAGGACATGTCGGTGGTATTGGATGCGGAATCAATAATAACCATGTTGGCCCTCTCACGTGGGGGCTCTCAAGTGAACAAGAGCACCTTAGGCAGATAGAGTCGGGAGTGGAAGTTCCATGAGTTGAGATCCAACACGGGTAGGTAGAATATCGGCAGATCTTTTTTCATCAAACGCCGAGTCCGCGCGACAGAGCTCTAAACCTAGCAAGATGCCAAATCTTGGTTTTCGGAGACTTCCTTCTAGGAACTTTGATTTGAAATCTTGGGCTTCCTACACCTACGCTGTATTAGTGATAAGTAATAGGGGTATTACAAATCGAAGTATAGAGGTACCTTTAAGGTATTGTTAATAGCGTTCTATATATAAGAGTTTATATTACTCTAGTTTGCCTAATATAAGTAATTTAAAGGCTTATAAATCGACGAATATGTACTATAAGAGGTTAGTATCTTAGTCGAGTAATAGGCGTTATTATAATAGCTAATTATAAGTAGTAAAGAGTCTTTATAATTAGCTATATTACGTCTTAATTACGTATCCGTAATTTGTATAACTTAATAAGTTAACTTATTACTTATCTATATTTAGTTAATATCTTACTTATTAAGACTTTATATATAACGCTTTGTAGATTATTGGTTATAGGAGCGTTGCTATTGTTATATTATCAAATCCGGAGGCAAGTTAGTAATTTAGTATAGATTCGAATATTAGTATAAGAGTATAAGTATAGATTAAAATTTTCTTAGAGTTCTATAGCCTTAGATACGTAGTATTGTATAATTAGCTTAGCTTGTTATACTAAGTATTGTAAGTTAGATATTAGAAGCTTCTAGTATAAGGTTACGCGTTCGACTAGTACCTATATAAGAGAGATATATATATAGCTAAAATAGGAAGGATAAATCTGTTCTATAACAATAGTATAGAAACCAATATAGAATTCCGGGCTTTTAACCTATTGATTAAGCAAGATTAAGATCTATAAGCATATCAATTGAGCGGCTATTAGCTTTGCTATATACCCGCGAGATTGCTGCCTAAGGTTTCAATCTCTGTCATTACCTCGGCAATCAAGGCTTAATGCCTACGTACTATGTGGAGGTACATCAACAACCACTTCCAACTAGTTCATTGACGCCAAGTCCATAAGGTGGCTCTATACCATTACCAAGAACGACGTTGAGAGATATATATACATCAAGATATACAAGCTGCAACGAGCATCATGGCACAGCGCGATGGCTCCAAAGTTCCCGTGGCGGAAATCGCCAAACATTCGTCGGCAGAAGATTGTTGGGTTGTCGTCAATGGCAAAGTGTATGATCTGTCCAAGGTGAGTGAGTGTGACGAATGTACCGGACATGATGGCAAGTGAAAAAAAGACTGATCTTTCAACACACAGTTCGCCCCCGAACACCCCGGCGGACCCGAGATGATTTGGAAATTCGCAGGCAAAGACGGCACAGAAACCTACAACCAATACCACTCCAAGAACCTCATCGAAAACGAACTTCCCCCCGAAGCCAAATTAGGCGACTTTGACGAGTCCAGCATCACCGAAACCTGGAAAACCGCTCAACAAGAACAAATCACCTCCAAAACCGCCCTTCCCAACCCCAACGAGAAACCTCCTCTCTCCAGCATTCTCAACCTCACCGATTTCGAACACGCCTTTTCCCAGTCTGGCCCCACCAAAGCCTGGGCATACATCCACTCGGCTTCCAACGACCTCCTCAGTCTCGCCGCCAACAAATCCCTCTGGCACAAACTCTGGTTCCGACCCCGCGTCATGCGCAACGTCAGCTCCCTCTCCACCGCCACCACCCTCCTTGGCGCTCCCGTGCGCATGCCCGTGTGGATTTGTCCCATGGGAATTGCCAAAACCGCCGGTCCGCAGGGTGAAGCGGCTTTGGGAGCGGGAGCGGCAGCGAGTGGAATTATACATTGTATGAGTACGACGGCAAGTTTGAGCGTCGAGGAGATTTTGGAGAGTGTTCCTCAGGGGTATCCGTATTTTTTTCAATTGTATGTTGATCGGCAACGGGCCAAGACGGAGGCCGTGTTGAAGAAATTGGAGCACATGCAGCAGATTCGAGCGATTTTTGTTACGGTGGATTTGGCTGTCGTGAGTAAGAGGGAGGCGGATGAGAGATTGCTCGTGGGGGATTTCAGTACGGCTGTGGCGGCGAGTGGGAGTAAAGCGGGCGTGGATCGTAAAGGTGGAGGATTAGCGAGGACGACGGGGAGTTTTATCGATTGGGCATTGCAGTGGGAAGATCTTGCATGGATTCGGAAATTTTCCACCAAGCCGATTGTGGTCAAGGGGATTCAATCTGCGGCGGATGCGAAACTTGCCATGCAGTGGGGTTGTGCGGGAATTGTGGTGTCGAACCACGGCGGGAGAGCATTGGACAATTCCCCTGGCACGATCCTGATTTTGTTGGAGCTCAAGAGAGATTGTCCCGAGGTGTTTGAGAAAATGGAAGTATTCATTGACGGCGGAGTGCGAAGAGGCAGCGATGTTCTCAAAGCCATCTGTCTCGGTGCAAGAGGCGTAGGTGTCGGCAGACCGTTCCAATGTGCGGTCCTATATGATCAAGAAGGTGTAGAACATGCAGCTGCAAGTAAGTTTCTGATGGTCCATCATCCGCCCCTAGACCGCCGCCACGTATGTTAACATATGGACTCACTGACTGATTGATCTTTTTCACAATAGTTCTACAAGACGAAATCGAAACTGCAATGCGTCTGTGCGGCATCACAGATCTCAACGCAGTACGCGGAGATTTGTCCTATCTCAACACGCGAGAATTGGAGCAGCTGTTACCACCTCGACCACGAAGCAAATCATGGTTTTCATTCGGCAGCAGACAGACGAAGTTGTAGCTAGTTTTGCACTTTTTGCGGCTATATAGCGCATACTCTACCAATTCAGCCTTGTTTCAATCTCGATCTTTTGTTTTCAGACCTCAGCAGCTTAAATCGACCACTCACTCCCTCTCTCCCTCCCTGTCAACCCTCCCCACTGCCCCCCCTTCCTCCAATTTTTCGCCTCCTCCCTTCATTCTACTAAACCCACTCTCCCCCCGTAATCATCTCAAAAGCCTCCCGATACTTCTTCGCCGTCTCCAGCACCACCTCCTCAGGCATACTCACTCCCTCCTTCCCCTTCAACCCGGACTTGGTGAGCCAGTCGCGAAGATATTGTTTATCGTAACTCGACTGTGCGCGTCCGACTTCATAGTCGTCTTTGGGCCAGAAGCGGGAACTGTCGGGAGTGAGAACTTCGTCGATGAGAACGATTTCTGAGCTGACGGGGTCGAGGCCGAATTCGAATTTGGTGTCGGCGATGATTATGCCTCGGGATTCGGCGTAGTCGCGGGCCTGGTTGGGGGGAGGGGGTTAGTTTGTTCTTTTTTCTTTTTTCCGGCCTTTTTGGGGGAGGGGGAGGGGGGACGATGATGGTGATGGTGATCATCATCAAGGGAAATTTCCCCTCCAACAAATAAAAGAAAAAACTCGAAAAACTCGAAAAACTCTCAATCAAAAAAGAAAAAAAAAGGAAAACAACTCACCAACCCATAAACCCTCAAACTCGCCTCCTCCACCTTCCTCGCCACCTCCACCCCGACAATCTCCTGCGCCTTCTCCTTCGAAATATTCTCATCATGTTCTCCTTGCTCCGCTTTGGTACTCGGCGTCCAAATCGGCTTCTCCAACTTCTCACTCTCGCGCAAACCCTTGGGCATAGTCATTCCATGCACAGTTCCAAATTTCTGATACTCGGACCACGCGCTTCCTGTAATGTAGCCCCGGACGATGGATTCCAGTGGGATGACGGGGATGCGGCGGACTTGCATGCTGCGTTTCTGGAGGAGATGGTGCTGCTGCTGGTCGGTGGTGGGATTGAGGGAAGAGGGAAGGGAAAGGGAAATCAGGTGGGTGGGAAGCTCGGGGTAGGATTTGTTGATGAGGGAGAACCAGTGGGCGGAGAGTTGGGTTAGGAGGGCGCCTTTGTTGGGGATGCCCTGGAAAAGTTGGTAAGTAAAAAAAAGGAAAAGTTTCGTGGGTGGCTTTTGTGATTTGATTTTTCTTTTTCTTGAACTGAGTTGAGCTGAGCGGAGCGGAGCTTTACTTCACTTACGTTGGTGAGAATGACATCGTATGCGGAGATGCGGTCGGAGGCGACGAAGAGGAGAGTGTGTTCGTCCACCTCGAAAATCTCGCGGACTTTGCCACTGGCGATTTTCTTGAGGCCGATGGCATTGGCATCGATGCTCGTGATGACGCCGGTTGGTGCCATGTTTTCTTGTTTTGTTTGTCCTGGTGGTGTTTGATGTTGTGTCGATGGAGTGAGGTGGTTCGGGATGTGGAGAGTGGTGGGTGTGTGTGACCAAGAGAGAAGGTTGTGAAAAGTTTTTGCGTTTGCGAGGAAGAAGTTTTGTTTTTATATAGACATATAACACTAAGGAGCCTGAGGTTCTCACCTATGAGTGAGTGAGCAGTGGTAGTGGGGGCAACAGAGAGAACTTTTCATTCACTTTATTATCCAAGTGACACGTGCACATGCAAAGCTAAGGTGGGTAGGTGGGTATTCCGAGATCACGTGTTTTATACTATTCTCACTTAAAGTACAGATCAATCCTATAGCCGGCGATACACACATTCACTTATTCATTGATTTCATTCAGAGACATGGATATTTAGGACGGATAAAGCTGTGCGCACTGTTAGATAGAGGTTGAGAAACCGGTCGCTGACATATCCAGCCAAAAAAAAGGAAAAAAAAAAAAGAAAAAAGAAAAGAAAAAAAGAAAAAAAGAAAACTTCATCGCATCAGTCTACCTATCCACTTACATAGAGTGAGGAAGAAGGAGAAAGTGACAGTTCCCTGATCTCCTATCGTGAAAGCTAGAGAGAGGTAGATTGGAAGAGATCAGGACTAATAAATCCCGAGCTGACGACATACTGTCACATACATGAAGTGTTGTTTGTTTATTCATATTCATAATAGTCGTTCCTCAAATCTACAGCTGTCACATAGAGTGAATATCAAATATGCATCCCCACCCCCAACAACAACGCCATCATCAATGACAACAACATTCCACTCTCCCGGAATCTCCCGGCAGCGCCGCCCGTCGTCGCCATAGGTGGGTTTCCACTACTCGTTGGAGAGTCTGTCGCATTACTACTGCTGCTGTTGCTGCTGTTGCTGCTGCTGCTGACGACGTCTTCGAAGCCTTTGTCTGATCTATATATGTATACATTACTCCCTTGTCAGTAGCTCTGACCACAAGAGATGCCGCACGCAGTGCGAGATGAAGAACAAAACAGAACAGAAACTCACGACACATAACCCGCATCCAAAGCCTTCACCAAATTTCGAAACATCGGACTTCCCAAACCAGTAGCAGGATCCCATCCGGGGGTGACATCGTATCCTAACGCTTGGCCGAGTGAACATCCTTGCGAGAGTAAACAGTCTCCGACGTTATTTCCCCCTTTCACAATATCTTTCAGCCCGGTGCCGTTTAAGCTGTAGAGCCACGGGTTTAGAAATCCGAGATGGGGTCTGTTGTGGAAGGCTTCGTAGTCGTTGAGGAGAGCGATGACAGCGGCCCAAGTGGGTGTTGCGGCGGAGGTGCCGCCAATGGGTAATTGGAAGCCATCGACGAAAGTCGGGAATTGCGTGCTGAAGGCTGCAATGTCGGGATAGCCTCGACCGGAAGCGTTGAATCCAGATGTGGTTTGGTAGTTGGCGGGGATGTGTTGATCCATGTAGCTCTGCACTTGCCCAGTTTGATACTCTGGTCGAGGAAATACATTCGAGAATCCACCGCCAGTGCTTGTGAAGCCCAGGCGGGATGTTAGAGGGATGGTATCCTTGGTAGCAGCTTGTTCGTCAGCGACGTTTGTCGTGCCTCCGACGGCGGTGATCCACGGACAGCTTGCAGGGAATTTGGGTTCGAAAATGGTCTTGTGTTTGCCTCCAGCGGAATCCCCATTGGGCCCGTTGTTTCCAGCGGAGAACAAAAGGCTCACGCCTCGCGCTCCTGCTTGTGCCATCATGTTGCATAGTCTTCGTGCGTAATCGGGATCGAACAGATTTTCGGGCGCAGATTCGGAGACGCTGACGACGCTTGGTACTGTGGTATTGGAAATGAGCTGTTGGAGGAACGTGACGAAGTTGTCGTAAGTTGCGCCTTTCTCCGGCCCAAAGACTCCTCCGTAGTTGTATAGGACTGCAGATTCCACTTCGGGAGCTGCTAGGCCAAGGAAAGATTGTGTGGTCAGAGACGTCTCGAACTTGGGAGCAATTCCACCTGGACTTCTGGAGTCTCCTGGCCCGATGACCTGATAACTCGGACTGGCTTGCGCTGCAGATGGATTGTACTCTTCCAGATACTTCTGAAGATCTGCAGGGTTGAACGACGCGCCCTCTGTAGCGTAGACTGCGAAGGTTGTGCGATTCGGTTGAGAAGTGTAGTTGAGGCCTTCAAATGTGATATCATAGATCTTCCGGATACATGTGGGAGTGGCCAAGTCGTCGGGACCATTGCAGTCTTTGCTGCCTGTCGTTTGTCTCTGGGAGAGTGGTGCGGAGCGCTTGGTTAACATTGCCAGAACATTCTGTGCACTCGCAGCACGAGGAAAGGTTGTCGTCGGCGTGACAAAGTCCACGCTGCTCGCCACAGCTTCTGGAAGATGGTACACTTCAGCGCGGTTAATCATCTGCACACCGTCCGAGAAGGTATAGTATGTCGTATTGAGCAGTTCTTCGGCCAGCCGGATTGTGGTATCAATCTCGAAGATACCAGCGGATGAAGAAGCCTTCTCCAGTAGGCCATGCTCTCTCAGCCACCCCTCAACACTTTGAACGCAACCAGAAGTAGGCGGTGAAAGTTCGACAGCTTGGCTTGCGGACATGTGCTGTCGGAAGCCCGCACTGTTCGGGTCAGAGGCTTGTGTTAATCGTCGCTCAATCGCAGCTCCTCCATCCTCTTGTCGCAGGGCAACGTGTAGCTTGATGGGTCCATCCGGAGGAGCAGGCGATCGTTTCTGCCAGCCATGACTGCTGAGCGCTCGCTTTTGTACTGCGGCAGACGCTGACTGTGCTGCCAGAAGTAATGCTGCCAGCAGCACGTTCGTATACATTATGATGATCGACCTAGGTTAGAGTGGCAAGTGGCAGAGAGGATAGGTAAGGAAATAAATGGTATCTGCTGGTGAGGGAACAACAGGCCTACCTGTGTCTGAAGTATAGACTCAAATCGCGCAGAAGAAGCGATGACGGTGGCAAGCAGGACATGATGGTACATATATAGCAAGGAAGTGAGTGAAGAGGTCAGTCAGGGCAAGCTTGTAATGGAGTAGGGCTGTTCATGGGCGAGGCGAGGCCGGAATAGTTCGCATCCAATAAAAAGCAGGAAATTGCCAAGTGATTAGTCGAGGATCGGGAAGCTTCTATTGTATCACGCGTTCATCTCCAGACTTCGAGAACACGAGCAACGCTGCAACTGTGATATAAGTGATCCGGTTGTGCCGCTGCTTTATTATCATTACCTGGGGTATTATGCATGCTATTCCACAGCCGAGGGCTGTCGCAGTGTCTGTAATGAACTCGGGAAGAGGAACACCCCACGCTCCATAACATTCTGGCCGACGAATCAGTCAATATCCATTCCTACCAGGTACAGTTGGATGAAACAACCTTCTATAGCACTAGCAAGCTTCTAATGCCATGTTTCTTACCTCAGATGGCTTTGGTTTCTGATGCATCAGGCATGCCTGTAAATCCCACTTTCTTCACAAATAACCTTCTCTCGTCGAGCGTGAATGACCTGCCTCTTTCTCTCCAATCGGACATGTTGTGCTCAAGAATTGGTTGATACTACTGTAAACACAAGGAATGCTGGTGGAGTTTAACTACCTCCTATATACAGGTATATACAACTACTAGGTGTGCCAAACTTTCCCCCGACAACACAATGGGTGGGTGTCACATGTAAATATCTCCTCTCATCTCCTGCCATCGTTTCCGTTTCCAGCTGTTTCCTCCTCTGTAGTTGTTTGAGACTACATGTAGAGCCTACATCCAGCCAGCGCACATCTCCTGTGATGGTGTGGGCGGCATGGAAGGCGCGGGGCCCAGCTGTATCGCCGTGGAGGACACGCGTTCGTTGCTCTTGCGGCTTGTGTGTGAGAGGGCGTTTCTCACGTTCCTCCTGCGCTGAAGCAGGCCTTTGTGTCCCTACGTGCTGAGGGCTGTAGCCAGATATGCACTGGTTGCTGGGTATCCCAAAACGCTGTACACTCATGGTCTCGACTGTACTGCATCCAAACTTACCATGGCGCAGTCGTGGGAGCCTTGGGCTTCGTTCCGTACACAATGATACCCTTATGATATGCGTGGTATTTTCTCGTCACCCACTCCTTGCGCAATTGCGCAAGAAAGACTTGACACTCTTCGGGCTTCCAGCCCAGTATTCTCGTAAAGGGCGCAATCGTAAACGCCTCCATGCCCTCGAGGAAGTTGAGGCAACAATATCTTCCAATCTCCTTCATCCGAGGATGTTTGGGCCAATCGTTACTCGGTCTCTTGATGATCTCCAGATGCACTCCCTCAAACCCCGTGTCCTCCAAGATCTTCTTGTACTGCTCCGCACCGGGCTCTTTCCGGCCCATCCGCTGGAATGCTTCCAACATGAGCTCTCCCCAGCGCACCATGGCAGAGTCTGGTGGTACCGAGTCATCGTCGGAATATGTCGTAAACTCAATCTCCACCAGCTCGATGCTGCCTCCAGGTCGTAACGCGTCGTATGCCTGTTTGTAGAACTCCGCCTTGTTCGTGATTGTTCCGATGAGGAAGCGCTGGTGTATCATATCGAAGCGATTGCTGCCAAAGGCCCATTCGCGGTCGTAATCGTCGATTTCGAATCGACAGTTGGGAGGAACCCACGTGGGCTGTATAGGACTGAGATCGGTGCCCAGAATCTGACAATATGGGTACAAGTCTGCCATTTCCATGCACCAGATACCGGAGCCGGTACCAAGGTCTAGGATCTCCTTGGGATCGTCGACCAAAGGGCAGGTGAACAGTCTGCCATCGAGCTGCAGTTTCTGATTGTGGTGTTCGAGGTCCATGCGATCCGACTCTTTCTCGTCGTTGGGGTAGAGGTACTTCCCGGCCTTGTAGGCATGGTATCTCCTGCCATTCTCCCACTGGTATTTCGTGATGGCGCTGTACAGCGACGTGCTGCTGGTCGCGATGGAGTCCCGATCACCGCCAAAGGTACTGTCATGGTCCGCGACCTCGTCTGCTTCCATGTTGGCGATGGCAGTGCGACCTGCGGTGCTGTGCTGTGCCCGTGCCTGTGCCTCCCTCCCGATGATGAAGATGTCCTTTTATCCCCTGCTCCAAGGTCCGCCGACTCGTCCAGGTAGTGAGACAATGCGACGAGGACATTGTCTGCTCTCTCAAATCTGTGTGTGTCTGGCCTCGTCGACCGGCAGATGCGATGTAGTGTCTCATCAGACCCAGTGGACTGGTTTGCCAATGTGCCGTGTTGCAGGTATATCTGACCCTACGGGCCTCTACCTACTACTGGCCAGAGTTTATCAGATTTTATGCGACACGCGGCATGAAAGCCTTGCCGACCGGCGACGTTTTTAGTTCTACTTCGGTCAATAATCCATTATAAGTACATGTACAGTTACTTCCAGGCTTGTACCATCAGGGTCATCAAAGGTGGCTCGCACGATCGGGGCAACTGATGCCGGACGCAGATATATGAAGTGTGCCCTATGTATATATAGTATACCTAGATGGAGAGATTTATATACCCTTGTCGAGTGCTACTATCCAGATGGCATCGAGTTGCAGATCATCACATAGATGTCTACCTCACTCAACTCACTGTGGCTTCTACGCCCTGAGATGCCAAGGATACATGCCAAGACGACAGAGGGCCCAGATTCACAGAAGCAGAACGAAGACTCCCACGAAAAGGCGCATCGAGCTCACGAATGACAGTTCCAACGGCAGCGGTCGTTGCCAAGAAAAGACCACATTCTCATCACTTCTTCCTCTTATCGTCCGCTCAGCCCACGCTAGAACGATACACTTCACGGGCTGCATCTGCATTTGGTTCTTGTCCAATCCGATGACCTGATCGGCTCAGCTGTCCAGGCTGATTTTGGTTGGTCTCACTCAGCATACGCACCTCCGCTCTGTGCCCGTGCATCGGCGGAGGGCGATGTGAGGAGACGGCGCGAACCCCGGAACCCCCAGAGCATGATTCCCTACGTGCTCGAGCTGCATGATGTTGATGATCTGCATTCAGGAACACATGAGTCCACGCTGTCATAGACTCTAGGGATCAAGCAGCAAGTACAGGTATGGACAGTGATGAACACTGCCTGTCAAGCCCCGATGCCCTGTTCTCGGCTGCGGCACGTTTCCCCGAATGCAGATAACCAGGCCCAGTGTGTTCGCCTGATGCCCGCCAGGGAGGCCGCATTCCTTCCAAGCCATAAGAGGTAGTTCTACATCAGATTGATTAGCTGCATATGGAGGAGGAGGAGGCATATCTAGCTTGGAGCCGAATGCAATTGACATGGAGGTACGCATACCTTTCAACAACGGGCATTTACAAGCCAAAAGTCCTTTGCTATATGCTCCCTTCTGCACAAGCGAGGTCTAAAAACGACTTTCAAAAAGGCCTCGGACCGACATAAGTCCCAGATACCGCTTTCACCAGCACGCGGAAGACCATGGCATCCGTCCTGGGCTGCCACCTTGTGGGCAGTGTTCCCCTTCCCGATACTGAAGCCGTGTTCCGCGAATGTCTGGCAGTCCTACCGGGGCGACTGAAGCGCATTCCCGATGGCGAGACGGGATCCCGACAGCTGTTTACCACCTTTCAGGCGCAATTATTCGGCGTCTACCCTCCCATGATGACCAAATTTGAGCACAATGCCCCCATCCCGCATGACTCATTCACGTCCGAACAGATTGACGAAGGGATAGCAGCCCTGCAGCAGGCCGATTTGCAGACGGGATACGACACCTCCGCGGTGGAAAGTTATGCAGTGTTCAAGAAGCTTCGAGATGAAGGTGTGATTGCTCCGGGTGTGCGCATGCAGGTGTGCATCCCCACAGTGGCCAATGTAATTTTTCCTTTTGTGCAGTTTCCTTTTCAGCCGCGCGTGGAACCTATATACGAAGCGGCGCTGTTCCGGGCGATGCGGAAGATTCAAGATTCGATTCCGCACGAGGACTTGGCGATTCAGATTGACATTGCGGGAGATACTGCGTTCTGGGAGGCGATCACTCCGGGAGCTGTCAGGGAGAATTCCGGTCTGGAGTGGTTCAAGCCTTGGTGGGAAGGTGATGTGAAACAGTACATGGTGGACTATATCGTTCGCATGATCAGCCAGGTTGACGTGGGAGTGGAGCTGGGAATACATAACTGTTATGGTGATTATTGACATCCTTTTACTACGGCAGTCAATACTAAATCAACCTAGGCGACATGGACCACAAACACTGGCACGAACCCACTTCACTCGCCGTCGTAGTGGAACGACAAATCCTCGTAACCAAAGCTTCACCACGCAAGATCAACTGGTCACACATGCCAGTCCCAAAATCTGCGGCGGAGAGACCTAAGGTGGGACTGGAGAAGTTCTTGAGCCCGTTGAAAGATCTGCGACCGATTCTCGAACAGCATGGTACGGAGCTGTATCTTGGTGTGGTGCATGAACATCAGCCGGAGTTGACCCATCAGATGATTGAGGCTGTGGAGAGTGTAGTGCCTGGTCTCAAGTTTGGTGTGGGGACGGAGTGTGGAGGAGGACGCATGCAGTGGGCTCCTTTTGAGGATGCTTTGCGGATTGCTGCGGATGTGTCGAGGCCGGTGCTGTGATGTGCGTCGTGATTATAGGCGTTGACTGGCCAAAACGATACAATACTTATAGTGGCTGGGGAGTGTCGTACAAAGTCATCACCACTGCTACAATTGACTGCGCATGAGGATGTCGTATGTTGTATAGGATAAAGAGCAAACCTTTCAACCGCAAAAAAGCGACCGATTTGAATCATTGAGTGTCTTCGTGCCAAGGTAGCGCATGCTGTACTCTCTCAACACTCGCAAATTTCCGGTCGTTCTAGAGAACCCTTTCGCGTCTTTTGTCGTGTGTGCTGTTCAATAGATTGATCCGTGTTGTAGTGTAACCTCGTTAGGTACCGGAGGTCGGCATTCGGCAACTGTTCGATACCAAGTCTGAAGCCAAACCTGACGTTGCCATTCAAGACCATTGTAATATAATGGACGTGTAAAAGTCAGTGCTAGGTAATAGGAGGTAAGATAAGAAGCAAAACGGTAAACCCTTGGGCCTTACTTACACAGCAAAACAAAATAAATCAAGAATGCGAAGCCTCAAGGCAGGATTGAACTACCGACCTTTGCATGCCAAATCATTAGATTAACATGTGATATACAAGTGCAACGCTCTACCACTGAGCTATTGAGGCAACATTGTTCTTAGAATTCAATAAAACAATATGACCCTAACATGCACCGCGCAAACCTCGGCTGCCCCGTGCTCCATGTCAGCCCCACTGTATACTAACTACTCGTCGTCGTCGATCGTGTCAGTCAAGTGTATAATATTATTAACTGTGCTATATATATGTACTTCCTCTAGAGGTACCAAGATCGCCGCCTAGCTGTTAGTATATCGGTAACCCGACCTGGCAGAAATGTGCTGAGGTACTTGGCAACATCAGACAGGGAGCCAAGAGTCGGAACTATATCAATACAAGTTGTATCGCAGTACCTTGACCGTCTTGTCAGTATCACTTGTCTATGTCTACCTTATCCTATCGGATGAGAGTAGTGGTCCCTACGCTCTTGGACAAACGAGATCGTGTGAAAGGTCCAAATGCACAACAGCACACTTCGGCAGCAACCGCTGCATATGACTAGCGCCAAGACGGCCCGAGCAGGCCGATCCCGAATGTTCAGGTTTGGATTTCTCACCTCTTCCGTTCTTCTTGCGCACCACCAACATTGCCGCGCTGCTCGCCACAGCCAACGGCCATCTCATTTCCAGTGCATCAGCTTACAAGGCAGTTTTAGTGGTTACTTACTCAAGGAAAGGGCGTCTTGGACAGCATCGCGCCGAGAACTGCCACCATGGATCGGTACAGATATCGCGACTATGGTATGTTTGCGATTACATTCAGGCCAGAACGCACGTCTTGAGAGACAACCCGCTGACTGCGTCATGTGTTCAAGACTCAGCTCCCTCCCGTGATGAGAGACAAGACGAATCCGATACTGGATTCAGCATTCGTGGTGCCGCCAAGCGCCAGAACAGCATCGAGAGCCGACCAGCACCACCGCGACGGGGGCGGTCGCGTTCGCGGTCGCCACCGCCCGTGTCCTCGCGTCGACCATATCGAGACCTAGATCAACCAGAAGCTGCCAGAAGCTCAAGAAGCTCAAGAAGCTATTATCCTCATCGAACCGTAAACACCTGAACGCATCTTTTTTTTTCATCTTGAACTAATTGCCTAATGTGGAATTCAGGACGACAGGTATGATGCTCAATACAGCAGCTCGAGTGGCCGCTACTCACAGGACTACTCGCGGCCGCAGCAGTACCACTCAAGATACTCGGAGTACTATGAAGAGGGCGTTGTCTATGATGATCCGATTGCGCCACCACCCAGCAACGGTGACAGCGACGTCTCCACGACTGGAGATGAGCTGCCCTTCTTACTCATTCGCGGGCTCAAAGCCAATACCTCCGAATCACTGCTCAGCAAAGGCCTGGAGAAGCTGTACATTGACGAAGGAGCCAATGCTTCAGTAGCAGCTGCTCTGCCCTCCAGTCTTCCACCGGGAGCTGGGAGTGGTGGTTTCGCGCTCTTAGCAGCACTGCCAGCTGTGAGCTCAACCCCTCCGGGAGCTTCTCCGAACAGTCTGAAGCGTGTCTTCTTGATTCGCGATCGTGACACCGAAAAGGGTCTGACGTATGGGTTTGCGGAATACCATTCCGTGGCAGACGCGAGAGCAGCCCTCGCAAAAGCAGAGTATCTTGGCGACAAATGCACAATATCCTCGAAGAAGCTCGAAATTGGATATCCACACATGGGCGTATTCCCAGCGGTGCTTCATGGCCAGGAGACACTCGATAGCAAGTACATGTTTCAGTTCAAGGATGGCACCTCGCATCGTTATCACGATGCTCGATACTACGCGTCCGTGTTAGACATCAACATGCAGCCTCCTTCACGTTCGACCAATGTTTCTGATGCCGAAAATGTGAAGAAGAGCAAGAAGCGTTCCAAGGATCCCAACGCTGGTGACACTCTCGATAGCTCGGCGAAAAAAGCGAAAGTTGGCAGTTCGAAGTCCTTGGGAATAGTAGACCAGTGGAACAAGAAGAAAGCTGAACTTCGTGGCGAGCCGGTTGAACGACTACGTTCCCACTCTCCCAGGTCAGAGCCTGACACCACGGCACAAAATCCACCACAGCAGAGCTACGTGTTTGAAGGTCAAAAGGGCGGAAAGCAGCGCAAGGTTTGTTTGCTGTGTGCCACAGAGATCCCGAAACAAGTCACCGCGGCGGCGCATGTCCTGGGGAGCAAGTTGCATGCAGCGAATCTTCTGGACGAAGCCAAGTGCCAGAAAGCCTTGCAGAAAATTGTGGAATGGGCTGGGATCACACCAGATCAGACAGTGCAGGTCAGACCGGATGCGCCGGAGAAACCAAAGGTGATTCGAGATCGTGCCAAGGAACGACGCGAGCAGGAGGCCAGGACGGGCACCACAGAGAAGTTGAAAGTGTCCCTGAAGGACGTCAAGAAGGGAGGACCTGTCGGTAAACCTGTCGACCCCTCGTACGGAAAGGGGATGGCGATGCTGCAGAAGGCGGGTTGGAAGGAGGGACAAGGCCTGGGATCAGGAGGCGGCATCTCTGCACCTATCCAGCAAATATCCTACAATGCTGGCGTAGGCCTTGGACACGAGGGAAGCAAGAAGGGCGATGCCGTCGAGGAGGCGACGAGGATGACGAGGGACGATGGCGGGTTCTTGGAGAAGACGAAGGAAGTGGCTAGGCAACGCTTCGAGCGGATGTAAGAACAGTACTAGTCGCAGAATGTCTCCGGCTTCGGGCAGACGACACGTTGCCTTGGACGCAGGACAGCAGCATGCTGGAGACCAAATACGTCAATTGAAACTTCTTGACGAAGTAACATTCCAACTGCCGACTCCTGCGATGCGCTCTGACACGCCGTAGACCCTGCAGCTTGGTCGATGGCACGACGAACTTCCCATTCGATTCCGAGTCTGCTAAGACGCATAGTTGCACCTTGCAACATGGTTATGAACGGTATGCAGGTAAGCAGAGACAATCAGGCACCACTGCGGCTACACCCGTGTGCTATACGCCTATACATGTTCACACGCTAGAATCGCCGGGCTGGTCTCGCGGCAAACCGCTGAAGACAGCTCCGTGGTTTCCTCGACGTTTCACCGCCTCGGCGATGATGTATCACGAGATTTAGCGAGTGATATGGAAACACCAAGCCAAGCAGCAGTATCTCCTTCAGAACCCGAAGTCTGTACACGACAATGACCTGCAGACAGACTACGAAAGTCGTGGGCAGTAGTATAGATTTTTGCACATATAAGAAGGGCTGGCTACTACCTGTATGTACTACTTACCCATCACAAAGACACAATCCACCCCGATCCAAGCCAACTTCTCTTCGCTCTCCCAAAAAAAACAACGAAACAAAACAAAACGAAAACAAAAATGCCTTCTTCCATCATGCTCAAGCTCCTCCTCTCCAGCCTGATCGCAGCAGTGTCCGCCCGACAAATTTGCGGAACTTGCTACAATGCGGGCAACAAGCCCATTTTTGCAGGCTCCGCTACAGGAGGAGAGTGGAAATGCGATGCGTATTGCGACCAGAACATGGTCAATGCTGCCAATGAAGTTTGCTGTGTACGTATTGTTTTTTTTTTCTCGCCCTGATGAATCACAAGATGAGTCGTCGATGGCGGCATCCTTTGTTATTTTCAATTGTATATCGATCGGCTAATGGTTTGCTATTAGGAGGGCATTTACACGGAGTGAAAGTTCTTTCTACTTTCTTACGTCTGGACTGGCGGATCGTTATAGCTTGGGGAGAGTTCTTATCAGGCTAGAGTTAGTGTGAAGAAGACTTGGTTTGAGCTACTACGACCTTAGGGGTTCATTACGTACTTGGGGAATGAAAGGTACCTGGTTAGGCAGAGAGTACTAGTTCTAGCGTAGCAGAGGGTACCTACAATAGAGAGTTCCTTCGGGATTACCGCGCCTTGCAACTTGAATTTATTTGAATCTTTAGTACGTGGCGTAACCCTAAGGTAACCCTAATCTTGGCGGCTTTTGGTTATACCAAGACTTTGGAAATGCATCACGGACTCCCTGCTTCTCCTTCTTTTCCATCTCTTTCCTCACTCATTTTCATCGTTGCGAGACCTTCATGTCAACTGCTAAAGAAAGAGTTCCCTCATGCGGCTGGCGTGGTAGATACGCCGGCACGCTTCACAAGATCCTTGACCCGACGCTGCACGTAAAGAAATCCCGCGACATCGATCATACCGTAGTCCCCAGTTCGGAACCAGCGACGTCCTTCTGGATCTGTAAAAAAAAGCTGTGTATTTTGGTGGTCGCCTTTCAGGTCGCCTGTGAAGTAGCCCTAGCAGCCGACGCATCCCTTCCCCGATTCGCCCCTTTTGGCACCGGAGGCAGTGGTCTCGCCACAGATTGAAACAGAGCTTCTAGGGATCATGGTGAGAGTGATGACGACCATCAGTATCGAGTACCTGTGGCGCTTTGAGAACCTGTGCTTGCTCATACACATTATAGTGCAAATAATGCAGAATCATGATGTTGCCCATCTCCTAGGGAACGGCCAGGTCTGTGTAGACATTGTTGTTCTGCTTTATGCACGGCCAAGGGTGAAGCAAACAAATCAAATTTTTACACACGCGCAGGAGATCAACACTCCGTGACCACCACACGCACACCCACATCGCTTACATCAGTCCAACATGGCCACGCCGAGGTTCAAGTTCGTGTGGCAAGCAGATGCTACGAGTCGATATGATGTTGTTGGCCAAGCGCTCATCGAGCAGTTGAATCGATTCGTGGCCTTGGAATACGACGGCTCTGGAGACTCCAAGGCGATCGCACAGGCGCAGCAATTCAACGAAACTTTCCACGGTATGATGGCAGCAGATGGGCACACATATGAAAGCTTCCCACACGATCGCTCTCGCGTTCTCGAAGAGTGTTCAGCTGATCATGGTCTGATCCACATTGAAAATTTGTTCACCGCCTCGCATTTGTTGAAATACGCTGTCCATTCAGCTCAAAAGAAGCTAGAATCTGCGGAGAAGCAAACAGAAGGAAAAATAGATGAGGAGGACCTTTACATCTACCAGTACCCGCCGGCCGATAAAGATGGCCTGGGTGCAGACCTTGTCGAGCGACTGAACAAGGGCTTGGACGCGAATACCTCCATCTACCGTCTCGCGATTGGACATCAAGAAGCGTATCAAGAATTCTGCCGAGCAGTAGAAGAGTCCGGTCTCGAGGAGTCATCCTTTCCTGAAGATACTGCCATCTCGCAAACCTGCACAGACCCCATCGCGATTCGCGACCCCTTCGAGGCGGCCAGACTGCTACGTGATGAAATCGCCACGTACGCCGTGAAATGGTACCGTATCAAGGAAGGGCACGACAATGTTTTCACTTGGACAGAGCTCGCGGAAACCTCACAAAAGGACATCACGCAACTGATGACCATGCTCAAAGCGGACGACCAGTGGCAGCTGCGCAAAGACGTCGTCGATGCACAAGTCGCAGCGAAATCTTACAGCAGCCCTGCACAGTCGTACAGCTTCCGCACCGTCTCCAGCGAGGGAATGGATTGGAAGTCCCGATACCTCGATGCCATCCGGTCCGTCTTGGACGCTCTCGCCGACCGAACGGAGATTCGCATCATGGAAGCCATGCATCGCGCACAAGACCTCAGATCAGCTTGCTATGCTGCCGTCCGAGCAGATGAGATACCTTGGCCACAAATCCTTCGTGTGACCCATGATCGCTCCGCTGTGCAAGCTGCTATCACGAGAGCCGACCCCGAGATTGTATTTGGAGAGTTGTTCACGGCAGATAGACTGCTCTTCGAGAATATGGAACGTCATATGCAGGAATGGCGAACTGCGAGGCTGCATAATAGTCCTGCCTGGCTGAGGTTGAGTGCGACCAAAAAATCTCATGTGGAGCACATTCTTCAAGGACCGGATGGGAATGGTGCACAGACCATACGGTGGTCCAGTGTATCGACTCAAAAGGCGAAGACAAGCGTGCGGGATGAAGCTAAAGGAGACGACAGCCATGTGCTGTCTCAGCAGGATGAGGAGGAGGTGGTGGAGGTGGAAGAAGATGATGATGATGAAGACGGAGACGAATCAACTGGTAGCGCCCCCTCGTCCGCCTCCTTGACAGCACTCTTCGCAGCGACCAGATTATTTCATCATGATGATGATGACGACGATGCTAATGTTAATGATGAAGAAGAAAAAGAAGAAGAAGAAGAAGAAGAAGAAGAAGAAGAAAGCTTCGCAGCAGCCAGATTGATTGACGTAATAGACCTCGACGACGACACAGACTCCAACTGTGCATCAGAAGAAATCCCCTCGGTCTCGCAGCAGAATCTGCCAGAGGATGTTGGAGAACAACAACAGCAACAACACCTCGAAGAAGTTTCGGCTGTTGTGGTTCAACACCCTTTGGAAGAATCGTCGGCGGCAGCACCAGCGGCAGCAGTGATGAGTGATTCTACTACCACTCCTCCAGCTCCTCCAGCTCCTTCAGCTCCGGCTTCTTCAACTTCTCTTCCTCCACCTCCACCTCCTTCTCCTCCACCTCCACCTCCACCTCCTTCTCCTCCAACTCCTCCGCCTCCGCCTCCCCCTCTCCCTCCCTCAACTCCCCCAAACCTTCCAAATCCCCCCTCTTCCCTCCCCCCACCAACCACCCCCATCCTCCAACCCGACCAACAACCCCAACCCCAGCAACCCCAAACATGCATCCTCTTCGCCGGAAAATTCTTCGGTCAAGTTCCCATGAGCCGTACATCCCGCTCTCCATCCCAAGAAGAAGAAGGAGAAAAAGGAGGAGGAGGTTCGTCGTATCTGCGGTGTGGATGTGAGTATTGTGTAAATCGACGGGGATGAGACGGGGATGAAGATGAAGATGAAGATGAGACGGGGGGAGGGGGGGAAGGGGGTACAAGAGGGGAAAGGGGAAAGGGGGAGTTTGGTTGGGTTGGACTGGACTGGATTCAGTTGAATTGAATTGAATTGCATTGAATTGAAGTAAGTAAGGATGTTTTAATTCCTTTCTTTTAAAATTGTTTTCTTCTAATTCCTTTCTTTTTCTCTTTTCATTTTCATTTTCATTTTCATTTTCTCTTTTCTTTTTGTCTGTTGCTGTTTTTTTGCTAGAAGACAGTGTGGGTGTGTGTGATTTGATCGAGTGGGTAGGATGCTCTGGGTGGGTGTGTAGTTTCGGCATATGATTCCGGTGTGTGGTTTCAGTAAGTGTGTGATTTATTAGATAGATAAAAAGGGGGTAAGTAAAGCACAGCAGCAGCAGCAAAAAGGCGAAAAATGTTAGGGGGGTTTCTCGTCGTTTGGAGGTATAGATGGGGATTGATTGATGGAATGATGGAATATTTGTACATTTGTGAGACTCGGTGCATAGTTGCAGAAGAAGATGAATCGACGTTGGTTGGTAGTTGGCAAGGTAAGGTAGGTTGGGTACCTGAGGTTAGGTACCTACCTCCTTAAGTTAGGTAGTTGTCCAAAAAAGGCATTTTCAGACTAGGAGAAAAAAACATTCCTCTACTCCGTAATTTCTTTTTCTCTTTCTATTCGTCTACCACTTTACTACTCCTACTCGTCATCCTCCTCCTCCCCCCTATATCCATTCATCTATCATTCCCATCCTCTCTCTCTCCCCCACCCCCAATTCCTCTCTCCCCCACTTCCGTGCAGTATACTCTTACCACGAACAATCCGCATAATGAACTCCATTTTCTTCATGAGGGGTACAACCATTGGTCGCCCTCTTGCACATTCCCCTATTGGAAGACTGAAAAAGAAAAGCAGAAAAAAGAAAGAAATTATTCCCATTAGCCAAGATCCAAATTGCGAATGGGAAAGAACATTGGACTTTTCTTTTTGTATATTATCGAAAAAAAAAAAAAAAAAAAAAAAAAAAAATATCACTTACAGCTTGGTGACGACATGGTACGGTGTAGGTACCATTGGTGCAGTCGCCGAATTGGCCTGAAGCATGTCCCCCCAGACTTGAAGGGAGGATGCAGTTCTGGAGAATTTGGGGTTAGTTTCTTTTTCGTCTTTTTTTTTCTTTTCTTTTTGCAAAGAGAGAGAGAGAGAGAGAGAGAGAGAGAGAGAGAGAGAGAGAGGGAAGAGGGAAGAGGGAAGAGGGAAGAGGGAAGAGGGAAGAGTAGTGTGACTACCAAACTACTTGTGTAGAGGCAAGTAGGAGGTAGAGAGGTAAGGGAGAGTATAGTATAAACTTACAAATGGAGCTTCCTTCTTCTTAGGTTCATTCTGTTTAGCTTGAGCGCCAATCGTCGCGACGAGGAGGACGGAGAAGATGGAGAACTTCATGGTTGAGTTTTGTTGTTGTTGTTGATTTCCTGTATTGGAAAAAGAAATATGGAGTGAAGTATGGAATACTGTTGATTGGAAGAAGGAACTTGTAGTAAGAGTGAGTGAGGAAGGAAGGAAGAAGTGATCTGACCTTGTATTATATATAGGTATCTCCATCTTTTTCTTACTACCTACGACCGTCAATGATACCCGGATTTCGGATGTTTCTTCTCTCTTTTTTTCGACCAGGTTGGCTACCATGCTTTCTACCGGCGTTAGAGGGGCGGAGCCGTGTCTCGTGGTCTCGTGTTCTGCCAACGTCCCCGTCCCATGGACAGGCAAGCAATGAGAGAAAGAGAAAAAGAGAGCTTTCTCATACAGAAAAAAAGAGGAAAGACAATCAATCGTTCTGCTATCGACAGGGTGCTAGGCTGCTGTAATCCGAACCAGCTCGTGTTTAGTACGGGAGCCAAGAATTATAGTGATGAGAAGTTCTAGAGCGAAGTCGAAGATCGATCCGGTGGGGAAGGGGGGATAAATCGCAGTACAATGGGAATGCAGTTGGATACACAATCGCTTAGTAGACTATAAGAAGCTTTGAAGCAAGCAAAAAATATTTCCTTAGTATCAGACCCGAGTCCCTGGAGAGGGGAATTTTGACAGAAGAGATACATACAAACCACACGAGCAGTGGAGTCTCCACGTGGGTGAAGAAAACGCGCATGAACATGTTTCCGGCGACCTCAAAATCTATCCGTACCGAAGGACTAGGTACATGCCTAGTCCACTCGTGCTTGTCCCGATGACTCCGTAGTAGTAGTAGTGACTCCATCTATTCCGACTACTACCGCATGCCTGAACCAGGACCACGTCGCGCCGTACGGACGGAACCAAGGAATACACTGTAGCTATAGAATGTAGCCTAAAATCGGCTCTGCCGATACCTAATGGAAACAAACAACCGGATCACGTAAGATGGGTATATCCTAGGTCGCTGATAGGAACTTGTAGGATGCATCCAGTTAAGTTCCGTATTCACAAACACCAGATCCATTGGCGGCAGTCTCTGAGGCAGCTTTGAGGCAGAGAGGGCTGGATTGAGTGTATGGGTATGTTGGGTATGTTGGGTATATATGCTCGGGTAAGAACTAAAGTGCGAAAAGGATTAGGGGCGTTTCTTATTCACTTGTGTACAGTGTACCTGGTATTAAGAAAAAAAATTCCATATAAGAGGTCTAGGGCGGATACTGATTAGTTGCGCTAGCGAGAGTGAAATAAGCGAGACAGAAGAAAAAAACGAACAACCTGGTTCTGACAGATTCTAGATAATCAAGTAACTTACTGTGTTGCACTGCATACCTTAGGCAGCCTGCCGCCCTGGGACAAGTGATTGTAGAAAATGTTGATTGGTTTCTTTTTTTTTCCTTTTCTTTTCATTCGTTGAAAATTGAACGTTCCCAACTGTACATACAAGAATCGCCCAAAGTGGAAATCGCATACTACCTGGTACCTTAGCTAGCCACTGTTCGTAAACAGTAGAAGAAAGCTCAGAGCCTCAGGCACGGGCGTTTCATACCATCCGGAGGTCCGCCGTAGAAGTACCTTAGGTAAGGTAACGTTTTTGTTCATAATACTGTTCCCTTTCATCATCGTCAACTTCGTCGAAAAGAAGAAAGAAACCCCCCAAAAAAAGAAACCAAAATCTGCCAGACCTGCCATGAAAAAATCGGGGTGTCTGCAGAACGTGAAAAAGTATTCACCCAAAAGCAAAATTCCTCTTTCTCCTATACCGCAACAACAGCAAACGCCGCCAACCCCGCAACAATCACACTCCCATAACCCACACCACCACCCCCCACCGCCCCACTCGTCTCCCCCGTAGAATTCCCCACGCCCGCCGCCTCATAACACGACGGCACACTATCACACAACGTCCCATTATCCGAAAACGCCTTAATCCCCGCAGCCAACGCATCCGTAATGGGTTTAGCAAGCATAGCACTTCCCTCTCTGACAGTAGGAGAATTCCTCTTCGTCAATTCGTCATTAAACTGATACGAAGTCTGATTCTGCAGCACCAACGACGGCAAGACTAGGGCTGCAATATTATTATTGATGAAAAAGGCTTGTTTGGTGATGAGTGTGGTGATGGCGCCGACGGAGGCATTGCCGAGTTCTTGAATGTAGGGAATCAGTTTGATTCCGTCGGCTGGGTTGAGAGTTTCGGGGAGTTGTTGCGCGTTGGAGATGCTGAGGTTTAAGGCGGCTTGGACGTGTGTGGAGGCTTCGTTGAGAGGGATGGCGTCGGCGAGGGTGGTGAGGTTGTTGGCTGCGGTTTGCACGGCGAGGGATCCGTTGGTGATGTTTTGCACGTTGGCGATGATGGTGTCGATGGTGATTGGTTGTTGCGCTACTGCGAGGAGCGCGGAGGTGAGGACGACGGTGGTGGTGGTGAATTTCATGATTGCGGTCAGCGCCGGGGCGGGCGGGCGAGTGAGGAAGATACGAGGAGGAGGTTGTTCGTCTGGGAGGCGCGCGAGCGGGAATTGAATGAGCTCACACAGATCTATGTGTTTGCTCTCTCTTTCTCTCTCTGTTCAATGCGTAGTATCGCGATAGTAGAACTCTAGAACTATAGAGCAGAAAAGGCCAACAGCAGCAGCAGCAGCAGCAGCAAAATCACCAGAGAGCGCAAGAAAGCAAAGTCACCTGCTATTAACAAATAACCACCACCACCATTCCCCTCTCCCCAAGGAAAATCCACGCCAAAAAAGGCCTCGGCTTCCACCCCATCAACGAGAGAGGACCAAGCACTTTGGCGCAAAAAAGGCTATTATACCTCCTAGTTGAGAGGCGGCTTCTCCCTCCCTCTCTCTCTCTCGAACGAGCCACTAAAAAAGCTCGACGACCAAGCAAGGGCGTTGAAAAGCTTGGAGGGCGCTGTTCATGCACAATGATTGGTAGTCTCGCGAAAAAAGAAAAGAATTCGCCTCCTACCTCCTAGGAAGTAGACTGTAGACTGACAGAGAGACCCCATGATCATTTCTCAATCATGTCCACCAAACAGTGCACAGGCACCAGGGCACAGACACGAGGGTGGGTGGTCGATCGATTGCTGGGTCCCTCCCTCACGAAACGAAAGGAAAGGAAAGGGAACCCCCCCAGATCTAGAACCCCCCTTCAAACCCTCAATGGACAAGATCCTGGCGCAAAAGCCACTTTTTTTAACCTTTTGAACATCACAATGCGGAGAAACCTTTGACATCATCATCATCTGTATAGTGTATACATCCATACAGGTACCTCATCATCATGGTTTTGGGTTCGGCCGAGGTAGATCAAAGTCTCTCATTATCTCATAGAACTTCGAGGGAATCTAGACTTTACTTTCCATCCGGTTGTGAGGTCGGTGTGAATCTAGCTTTTTTTTGTCTATCTGGAATTCATTTATTGTATAAGGTACTCTGTGATACTGCACCTGTCTGTACACCCTACGCTAGCCTGAGAGGGTCGGAACCGATCGTGGGGATGGATGGATCGAGATGGATATGGGTGATTGGTTCGGCTTTTTCGCCTTACTCTCGCTACCTCCTAGGAGGTAGCGATCTGGACGTTTTGGGGTTTGTACTACGGGTTCTTTTGATTTGACGGTCTGTGTTACCTCCTACTCTATAATGATGCTGTCGAAGGACATTTTTAGGAGGTACTGGTACTATTCTTCTTCTGCTTTTTCTTCTTTTTCTTCTTCTAGAAACAGGCCGTTTGCAGAAGACACGTGGCGTAGAGAGTTTACTTGCATGCATGCATACTCTTCTCTTCTGTCGGGATTGTGGGGACTCTCTATCTGGTTAGAAGCTTGGATTGAAGGGTTTGCATACCTCCAATACCTTCACCTTCCATTTTCGACCCGCAAAAAAGGCACCAATAACAACAACACGACTCTCTCTATTCATTCACAAATCCCCCAAATCCCTCCCTCTCCTACCCTCTTAAACCCCCACCCCATGCCTCCAAACCCTCTGCACCCTCCTCGCCGAAAAGCGACTAACATCCAACAACTCCTGCAACTGCGCATCTCCCAACACAAATTTCTCCTCCACCACAAACCATCTCACTCCCTCCGAACACGGCGGAGTCGTCAACGAACCACTATACGTCCAATATCTCCCCTGTTCCTCCACCAATTCCTTCCCAACATCCTGCCACACTAATCCGGGTTGAAAACTCTCCACTCGCCTCGGAGACGTGGAAGGGTCACGAGGGAAAGGACCGAGTTGGGCGAAGAAGTTTGAATGAGCGGACTCTGTTGAGATGGAAGGATCTAAGCGAAAAGCTACGACGGCTCGAATTTTGCTTTGGAGGTCTATGTGCACGAAATGCATTTCTGCTTCGGTGGTGTCTCCGTCAATGATGTGTTCGCCGGGGATGTGAGTGTGCCAACTGGAGAGGTAGAAAGTTTCGTTGTTGGTGGTAAGTGCGGGGAGAGTAGTAACATCGTCTTCTTCTGTTGTTGTTGTCCCGGTAGAGGAGGATAATGGAAAAAGGTCGAATTTAAGACTATTTCCATTATGGCTGAAATTGCCGGTCCAGAAGCCAGTGTAATTGAAACTTGGGGAATGAGGAAATGTTGTCGTCGTTGTGTTGGAGAGAAGAGATTGAGAATTCAATGCAATAGGAGATTGATGACTTCCATTTCGACAGGTGCCGTAAGAAGGGTTCGAGTCTGCCCAGTGGTCGACAGCGTCGTAGGACCAGTCTGCTTCTGCTGCGGGTAGGGAACGTTTGGTAAAGCAGGCTGATGTAGTGGTAGGTGAAGATGCGAGGTACAAGAAAAGGAGTTGGGAGAGGAGGCCGGTGAGTGAATTGGCCATTTGAGAGGAGGATGAGGCGTAGGAGCTGAGGGAAATCCGTATCCGTATACCACGTCTGTATTGTCGTATCTGTACTGCTGCTGCTGCTAAGTCCGTCCTATCTTCTTCAGATCAAAAACCATAGGTAAGGTAGGTAGCGAGCAAGAAACATCAAGTATATCCCTTCTCTTCCCTCTCAATAGCCATATATCCTCCTCCTCCTCTCCTCCTCCTCCTCCCCCCTCTATAAATCTTTTTTTTCTCTCTTACCAAGCAAACAAGCATCGTATAAACCTCGCATCATCATTCAAAGCCTGCTAGTCCCATCCATCAAATCCATCTAAACCATCCCGCCGGTCTTTTCGCCCCCAAAATCCCAGGAAGAAAGAAACAAGCAAAAAGAAATCCCCCCTAACAAAACCCTAGATAGGTAGATATACAACCAACACCCATCTCTATCTTACCGAGTATCCCAAAATCCCGCGCTGAGAGTGGCCTCATACCTATGTGAAGGTTCTATTTCGGTTAAAAAGTCAAGTTGCAAGTACATCCTAAGAGGACACCACCACAACTTTCCAAGTAGAGGACACCACTAACTAGGAGGTACTGATTTGGCGAACTAAGGGAGGAAAGTGAGATTTATCTTAGTCAGAGCTAGAGCTGGATTTGGAAAAAGGGAAACAAACCTTTTTTTTTAGGGCTGATGGTTCCTTTTTTTTGGTGTAGTAGTCGGTGAGTAGGTATAGTATATGTTTTAGAGAGAGAGGGAGAGAAAGAAAGAGAGTACTAGGTAGGCACCTTATGATTTTCTTTTCTTCTAGCTTTCATTTCCTCCTTCCCCAACTCGGAAGAATTTCGATTGATGGCTACCCTGCTTGCTTACTTGCTTGGAACATTCATTGATTTTTTGTTTCCAGTCTTATTAAAAAAGTTCTGACAGCCCATTATATATATGCTGATTGGTCATTCTTTCTTTTTGGGAATAATTTTACACAATAAGTAAGTACTTGTACATCCATCCATCCATCCATCCATCCATCCATCCATCCCATGTTGTCTCCTGGACTCAATAAAAAATGGTTTGGGATCTTTCGTGAGCATTCATTGCTCTGTTGGATGAGCCAGACATTCGGGAATTCGCCAAGTCCCTGGCTGCGCTCAAGCTTGATTTTGACCTTTGTTGCCTTTTTTTCTTTTCGCGGCGTCTAGGTTGGCGAATGGCGTACCGGGTCGGGCGGGCGTGGGCTGACAATGTGCGAAGCCTTGCGATGGCTTTGACTTGGTCCAGAATGAAATGGCCCTTGGCCATCATATCTTCAGACTGCCTGCTGACTTCCGCTCCTGTGGCTCAACTAGATGTATGGAGCCACTGCTCGAACACGCATCACTTCCAAGCGGACCGAAGTGTTCCCGTTTGTGTCGCGCAGAACGTGAAACTTTGCGGGCATCATGAGCTTCACACTCACGCCGCAACAGCAATCATCAAGGTGAGGATGACCGCCACGACGTTGAATGCCTCAAACGAAACCAGAGCTGACGCGGAGCTCGTTGGCGAAGCACCAGCTGCACCAGTCTCGGTCGCACTGGTACTCTCCGATGTGGTTGATGCATCATTGCTTCCATAGCCAAGGCCACTGCGTATCGCGCCACTGACTGAGCCGTCTCCACCAGTCGAAGTGGGCTTCGCTCCCAGAGTACCATTATATGCGACAACAATCCCGCTACCGTCTTTTGCAATACTGATGTACTCGCCGTTCGAATATGTAAGCGGCTCTCCACCAGGAACCAGGGTATGAATCCCGTTAATGACAACAGGTCCGCCATCCTGCTGTTGCACAATGGTCTCGACCTCGCCATTGATGGTCATGGTAGCGATATCGATGTCACCGGTTCTGGTAGGATTGACACCCAGATCATTACCGCCGGCATCATTCAATCCAGGTGTACCAGTGGCACTGGCCGGTGCATCAAATACAACCGTGGTCAACACGTGGTATGTCAAGCCCGCATCTCCGTAGGAGAAAACTGTTCCATCTGCAAGCGTCTGCGCAGGCCCATTGGCAAGGATGGTGTGGGTTCCAATCACCGCATGCGTGTCGTCTCCCTTAGCAGGGTATTGGTTGCCACCGATGCTGACTTCCGTGGTCCAAGGCTCACCAGACGGCACATATTGAGTTCCAGATGAGCCCTGCCCTGTGCCTTGATTCGCAGAGCCACCACTGTTGCCATTGCTCCCTGTGCCCTGATTCGAAGAACCACCATTGCTGCCAGTGCTACCAGTGCTCCCTGTGCCACTGTTTCCATTGCCCCCTGCGCCTTGATTGGAAGAGCCACCACTGTTGCCATTGCCCCCTGCGCCTTGGTTCGGAGAGCTACCGCTATTGCCATTGCTCCCTGAGCCACCGTTTCCATTGCCCCCTGCGCCTTGATTCGGAGAACCACCATTGTTGCCATTACCACCGGAAGATGGAACACCTGCAGGAACACCACTTGCAGCGGGTTGATTCCCATTCGGTGCGCCAGGCTCATAGCCAGTGGGGGTGGGTCCAGCAACATGTGGGAGTGTAGGTCCACCATAGCCAGGGTTTGCATGTCCTGCTGAAGAGGGAAGTGCGTTCGGCACAGCAGTTGGGGGTGAGGGTGGCAGAGCTGGGGCTTGACTGGGCTGCGCAGTCGCGGTCGATTGCGGGGATTGATGACCACCTGGCAGCGTGGGCCCAGCAGCAGAATCAACTTCTGTCAGAGCAAGAGGTGGGTCCCATAATCCATTGTACCACAGTTGACAGTTCTTGAAATCTGGGCTGAGCGATGTAATTTCCGGCGGAATCGCAAGTTGCGGTTTGAAATCGTTCTCGTAGATGACGCCGCAGTTGACGTCGTCCCCTGGGTAGTTGCATATATTCTGACCAATCCAGGCAGAGTACGGGATGGGTTGTTGGAAGTCCGCGTAGTCGACCGGATAGCCCTTGATGGTGTCAGTCGTCTGAAGACGCTGATATTTGTCCTGCGAGTAGCGCAAGGAGAGAACAGACTCGGGGGGCATAGCGAGAATAGCATCGGTCACAACTGGTCCGAATGTGCTGGAGCATCTGTCGACTGCGTAGACGGTAGAAATACTGATGTAGGCCGTGCCGGTCGTGAAGGTGTGGCCACCCACCACGGCGGTTCGAGGTCCGTTGGTGGTCGCGAGCGCGCTCGAATTGGCGCCAAAACTCTTCCCGGCATAAGCTGTGATGACAGCACCGGGGCCATAAGATGTCAGCGTTGCGGTGGGAGTGGTCGCACAAAAGTCTCGAGACGTGTTTTTGGGGGGGAAGTAGACCAGCTCGACGCCAAAGCCGTATATGGTGCATGCACCGCACCCATAGAGATCTGCTGTAGCACTGCTGTACGCTGCGATGGCACTCTGGTTTGCGCAAAACGGCGTCGGTATCGGAGGAGCAGAGGTGATTGTAGCAGCTGCAGCGACAGACTTGCTATAGTCTGACCATAATCCATCACAGTCCTTCGGATTGATGGAGCAGACGGGCGTCGGTGAGGAAAATACCCTTCCATAGGTCTGTGTCACGGTTGTATATCCAGTAATGGGCGCCGTCAATGTCTCCCAGACCTCTGACAGGCTCTTCGCCGGGGAGTATGTCACGCGAGGATGGCCATCGCATAACGTCGTGGCGTTTTCATAGTACGTTACCCTCGCGAACGACTGGCCGCCGAGCGGCCTGGTAGTGATGTCGAGACTGTTGTGTATTGCGTCCCATGACGACTCTGCAGCATTGTACTCGTTGTGAAGCTTTGCGCAAGCAGTTGCATATGCTGCGCCCGACCCCGAAGTGATATTGTAGGCAGAGTCCAAGCCCGAGCCCGTCGTCGGGGTGGGCTGCGTGACATTTCTCTTCTGTCGCAGTGGCGGCGGCGCATTCCCGTGGCCGGCGCCCTCGCATTCGGCCAGATATGAGAGAGCGAGCAAGATGAGACTTGGCGGCAGTGCCAGCAGCTTCATCATCTCGTGGATCTGCCAGTGGGGTTAGTGGAGGGCAGTGCGACCAAGTATACAGAAGAAAACAAAGGAATCAAGTGAGGCTCCAAGAGAGAGGCATGTTATGAGGAGATACAGTAGATACAGGCAACACAGCCTACAGGTAGCGTAGCGTACTGTACCTCCTAGTAGCGTGGCCGGCAATGCTCGCGAGGCCGAAGTTACTATGCATCCGGCTAAAACCTTCGTCTGGAGTACAGGTAGTTATCCATGCGAGCCACGGTCAAGGTGGGACGGAGACGGCACCAAGGCACCCTCCATGTAGTCGTGTTTCGTATTTTTCTCGCACTAGAATCAACACAAACTGCCTTTTTTCGCTTTTTTCGCACTCTGAAAGGCTGTTTTGGGCCGATTGACTCGGCATACCTGACATGCTTGGCATGGCGCCAGCAGCGACACGTCATGCCATGGTGCTAGGCCAGCCATACATGTCACTCTGCACACCAGGAAAACCTCAAGGTTGCTCTACCCAGTGGCGAACGAGATGCGATATATATGTAGGGCCAACAGCTTCACGACAGGTTCAGGGTGCGGTACGGACCTCGTGCAAGACATGCTATTTCAACAACAGGGGAAGGGAACAATGAGAACGATGCTTGGCCTGTCTGCCTCCCTGCCTACTCATCTCACCCACGTCCCGCTGTCTTCGATCATGTTTTTCGATTGGTGTGCACTGTGCAGGACCTACACTACATAAAAAGGTAGGAGGTAGTATAGGAGTTTAGTAAATTTAGCTCATCTGCCGATGAGAAACTCAATTCTTGCCCACCCTCCTCATCCTGCATCAAACGACATCATCCCTACATGCGCCCTGCCGCTTGGCGAGAGGAAATACGGCGAGTACGGCGTAATGCCATCATGAAGATACCGAATGTTCATAGTACGTCGCTGCATGTTATATACCCGCTTCGTCATCGCTATCCTGCTCGTGATTGAAGCCATATCAAACGTCGGTCCTGCGCGTATCGTCATCGCTACGCTCCGCGTCGAGCACCGCCAGTACTCATGAGCGTGATTTTGTTCTTCTTCTTGCCCTTCTTCCCACCTGGGGTCGGCTTGCCCTGCATCTCGAGTCCATCCATGCTCGCCGCAAGTGCTTGCTGAGCATCATGGTCAAGCAAATCTCGCTCCCAGCCCTGCAGCCAGCCATCTTCCTGCTGAGCAAATTGGTTGTCCGTGGGCAGCCCGTGAATGTCATTGGTCGCGGGCAGCGCCGCAGTGCCCCAAATCGTTCTCGGCATGCCAGGTGATGTGCCAGGGGAAGCGAGACTTCCAAACCCTGGTCGATCTGCTCTGGGGCTCGAGCCAGTAGGAACGCCCTCCGCCGCAAATGCACTTTGTGTCGGAAGGGCTGGCGTGAAGAAGTCATCGTTCTTCGTGATACTGGATCGTCTCTGCTGGCGAATACTGGCAAGCTCTCGCTCTTGTGCCTTTTCAATGCGAATCCTTTCCTTCTCTTCACGCGTCTCCTTCTCGTCTGCGCGTTTCCTGCGCCGTTCCAGCATCGGCCTGAACTCGTCGAGCACGGATGCGCTCACAACGTCTTGCCAGTCGCATTCCAAGAAGCCGACTTCACAGCCATATGGGAGGTGTCCAAGGTACTTGACGCGTTTCCGTAAGTCATCATCGACCACATGCCCGCTCGAGACACGCTCAACACGTGGCAAAATGCTCGATGGAAAGGCGTGATATGATCCGAAGGCCGTCTTCAGAATTCGAATGTCAAGAGGTGACAGGTAGAAGTGTTGAAGACCATGGTAGAAGAAGTACTCATTTGGCTGCGGCTTCTCCAGCTGTCGCCTACGCATCTCATCCAGTGTTCGTGGAACGGATGGCTGTTGTTCTTCTGGCCCGGGCTCCAAGCTACTGCCAGTTGTAGGCGCTGGGGCTGGTGACGGGGCGTCGCCTTGTTTCTGCAAGTACATGTCGGGTACACCCTCGTCGCTTGAGTTGAATTCGATCGGCGGGCGCTCCGACTTGACTTCATCCGTTGGAGCTGGTTTCCGTGGCTGAGCAGGTGCGTTGCCAATACCCCGTATCTTCTCTTTTGACTCCCGCAATGTGCGCACAGCTCTGCCCGTCCACTGCGTATCTTCCCCAAACATCAACTCGTCCTCTTTCTCTGTCTGTTCAATCGCAGCGATCGCCTCGTCATATTGCTGCAGCATGTACTCTTCACTCCCCTTCATCACCCGCGCATAATCCATGACTTCGGTTGCAAAGTACCATGGAATGGAATCGCCCTTTGCAACGACGTCGCCGCTCTCACGCGGCATGGCCAGCGTCTGTGAAGGCTTCCTCTTGACCAGTCGTAGAACCATGTCGCCGCCTTCACGCGGAGGATCGTTCTCTTGGCCTTCGTACCACCTTACCGGACGCGTCTCGGATACATAAATGCTGTCGTAGCAGATGGGGCACTTCTTCCACCTGGCCTTCTTCTCGGGAAGTGGATTTGCAGCATCTTCAGAGTGCATATATCGGATCAGGCATGGCAGGCAGAAGATGTGGCCGCACTTTGCCATTCGTGGTGCAGTCGGCTCGCCCAGACAGATTGGGCAGGATGAGCTCTGTGTCTTGCTCGAGGCAATGACCTGTAAGACATTATTCCAGTCCAAGTGCACGTCGGCGTCCTCGGCTTGAGCACGGTAGTCACCTCGAGGGTCAACGATGAAGCGGTAATTGGCATGAATATATCTGCACACTGTCATGTCATGTTCTCCATGGTTCAGATTGCCTCGGGCACAATATAAATGCTCACCTTGCCTTGTCTACCGCGTGGTAGCCGCTTCCCAGGCCCCACGTAGGATTGTGTCTGTTCCTGTTCCGCGGTCCATTGTAGCTGTGGCGGTGGTATCGGTCCTGTGCATTCGGTCGTGGCGGTAAAGCAAACTGCATCAGGTGGGTGATGCTCTGTTGGCCGCGTCGGCCATGTGGATTCTGCATGCTGAATTCCTCAGCCTCTGCATCCTCATCCAACGACCGGAACTTCTTGCTCTTCGCGTGCTTGGGCTTTGCAGCCTGCGAATTACGTGGTGCTGCGAAACCTGACGCTGATCGCGAACCTGACGCGCCGCCCTTCTTCCCGGCGGGCGAGTCCTGGAAGAACTGCTGTGTCGACGAGAGCGCCGGGCTGATCTGGTTCTGTGCAGCCAAAGACTGGTTCTTATTGCTTGCTGGTCCGGCTTTGGCGAGTGGCAGGTTGGACATGGTAGACGACTACCACTGAAGGCGTCGGCTATTCCACGAGAGCAAGCGAGGGAGAGGGAAGGTATCGGAATCGCCGGGCGCCAGGGCAGCGAATCGTCGAATGCCTAGCAATGGGCAGAGGTCTAATGTACGGTCGGTGCGGATGGTCGAGTGCTTGTCGCTGGAGTGAACCCAGAGGGAGCACTGATTGAGGACAACGAGGGACGGCGTGTCCAGAGTGTGTCATCGTCGGTGCTCCTGTCCCAACGGGAGTCTCCGGCGGGGTGGCGGCTTGCTCCTTCCTCTTCCCTCTCCGATCCTCTTCCACCAAATCTCACTCCAGACACGGTCGACCATTGACAGCTCATCTCGTCGCCACGCTGCTGCCACGGGCTCTGTTCACGTGAACATCTGCAGCTTCTGACGCCCACCGCAACAGCTTGGGTCAGATTGCTTCATCCACCAGTGCATCTACATACTGCTGCTCCATACAATCGGCACCAGCTCTCACAATCATGCTTATCCAAGAAACCCACAAAGATGTGCCCACCAAAGCCGGCGGCGACATGCGTACGAACTCACTCCCACTGCAAAAATAGAATTACCTTGCGGCCTTGCCCATGGAGGCTGATTATCATTCTTCTCCGGTAGGCGTCTTCATCTTCCACCCCACAATTCCAAACTATCCTCGAGCAAAATTCCCTGGTGTAGTTGTCTTCAGCGAAATCTACCAAGTTACCGGTCCAGTCCAACGATTCGCTCGACAGATTGCTTCCCAGGGCTACATTGTCGCTGCACCCTCTTCCTATCATGAATTCACTGGCCCTGAACCTCTGGCCTATGATGGCCCAGGCACAGACAAAGGAAACGATTGGAAAGTGGCTAAGAAAGTCGAAGCGTATGACGAGGATGCTACCCTTTCGATTGATATTCTCGTGGGGATGGAAACGTGCAACGGGAGGATTGGAGCTACGGGAATGTGTCTTGGTGGACATCTTGCTTTCCGTGCAGCCTTCGACAAGCGTGTGAGAGCTACGGTCTGCTACTTTGCTACTGATATACATTCTAGCACTCTGGGCGAAGGCAAGAATGACGACTCAATCAAGCGTGTCAAGGACATCAAGGGCGAGCTAATCATGATCTTTGGGAAGAGGGATACCCACGTCCCGCCTGCTGGAAGGGATCTGATCAGAAAGACTTTGCATGATGCAGGTGTTGTGTTCAGTTTCTACGAACCGGCTTGGGCTCAGCACGCTTTCATTCGAGACGAACTGAGTAAGGGAAGGTATGATCCGGCCTTGGCTGGCATTTGCTTTCAGATGCTGTTGGAGTTGTTTGGGAGGACGCTTGGGGGTGACCTGGGACCACTCGTCAGCGAGACGGGAGAGGTTGAGGACGTCTGCTAGAGACTTATTTCTACCATCGTGGCAAACCACAATCCCAATTGTAGATCCAACGGTGAGCATGTAGTGGAGTTTGAACTCGAAAATCTGGGCGCCACTTTTATAATAACTACAGGTAGTCAGAGCTCCAACTGACTGGTGAGCATCAAACACTCTGCCGTCAGCGCAGTCTGGTCGCCCGTGCTGCATCTCTGTCGTCCGCTCACCGTTGTCTGTGTTGTCCTGTGAGACTCACCTTCCCTTCATAGAGATGAAGACGTGAAAGCGGAGAACAAACACTGCTCTTGGCAACGCAAGATGACGTTGCGATGATCCGCGTCGCTCAATTGTCGACCTTGCTCGCAAAAACAACAAAGACTTCCACAACTGGAATCGTCGCCATCAGAGCAACACAAACTCTCGTGAGAAGCACTACTACCTGTAGTGACTTAGATCAGCGCATCCAGTCGACGAGATGGCGGATAAAATCAAGGAGACCGCGAAGCAGGAGATTTCAGCGACCGCCAAACAGGCCAGCGATGCCGCCAAATCTGGAGCATACCTATATCCACTCCAGGTATCACATCTTCCAGCTTCATCGCAACATCTTCTAACGTGTACAGGGCATCTTCTACTTCTGGACGCACAAGTCACTATGGAAGCCCTTCCTCAGTCGCCTCGTGCCCACCATGGGTCTCGGAGCGGCAGTCACGACCGCCATGTTCTTCTTCACATACCTACCCCAACTGGGAGTCCTATTCTTCACATCAGGACCCCTGGCGGTTGCTTCGACGGTCGTGCTGGTTCTATCAGAGTCCAGTACCCTCACTATGGTTCTCGCCAAGACTCTTTTGATTGAGGATGCCTTGATCGATACCTTTGATGGAACCCTTGTTGCAAAGGGCCACACAGGTCTCGTCGAGCAGCAACGACAAGTCAAGGGGTCTTCGTTCGGCGACTCGGTGCAGAGACTCGGAAAGCTAGCTACCAAGCCATTCCAGAAGTTTACGCCTGCTGCTCTGGCTGTGAGTTGAGAAGCGCCCCTTTTCACCCACAAAAAGCTAATGTCGTTCAGCGCTACCTCATCTCACTGCCACTCAACTTCATTCCCGTTGTTGGTACAGTGATGTTCGTTCTCCTTCAAGCTCGCAACCGCGGACCAGCCACTCACGCCCGCTACTTTCAACTCAAAGGCATGAACGCCGCTCAGAAGGAGCGCTACGTGGAAGCTCGCAAGGGATCCTACACGGCTTTCGGCGTGCCGGCTGTCCTCCTCGAGATGGTCCCACTTGCCGGCATCTTATTCGCTTTTACGAACACCTGCGGTGCAGCACTGATGGCTGCAGACTTTGAGCAGCATGGCGACACCAGCCCAGAATTGAGGGATAAGGCTAGCAGTTCTAAGAAGGCTGCATAGTGATGTGCTGATCAGAGACTAATCGCAGGAAGTTCTGAAGGGCTTCCCTCGTGCGGATGTTCCTGTGCAATTGGAGCATCACTCAGAGCGGTCTGTACGAAGTACATGTTATGGACGGCTGTGGCTTTCTATCTGCTCGATCGTTAGATTATTGAGCTTGATCGGCGCAGAGTGCTTACCTCTTCTAGTGGTAATCGTGGTTGACAAAGGGGGTCGATCAGTGTTTCAGACTCTGGTGCCTCGACAAGATTCTCATCCAAATAACCTCCTTTCGTATGTCTTCCCAAGTGCCTCCCAACTGTGCAGTCCTCGTCCAGTGACGAGGCTGAACGGGGATGGAAGAGGTGGTTTTTTGACACTTGAATTACAACCTGCCATGATTGCTGGAATTAGGTTGCGAAAGCCGATGTTTTGCCCATATGCGCGAGTGAGCACATCCTAGACCTGGGCTAAAACCTGTATGGAACAAGAAGTGTATTGTAAAAAGGGTGTATCGAAGCTCGATCCTTTTCTTTGAGATGAGCTTCATATGAAGTACATGTAACTCATACCTTCTAATAGAGACGAGCAGTACCTACAGAGTCAAGATGGCGACCGTCCACCAAAGTACTGTAAATGCACGTGTTGCTGTATAAAAATCGGCAGACGATGGAACCGGCGACCGAGGGGCGCAGGTGATGGTCGCGGTGCGACAAGTCCCCGAAACGCCGTTTCTTTCGTCGATGCGATGCAGAGTCAGCTCCTACTGGAAGCAACAGCTCTGACGGCCAGACAAACTTTGTGCTGAGATGATGATGCTTGTACACGGCTCCGGCTATGATTTGTTGAACATGTCCAGTTACAATGGGCTGCTGGAAGTCGTGTGCTGGAAACATCATCATGGACAAAAATGCCCGATACCGTCGAAGCAGATACATGTAGATGCCTGCATTTGCCAAGACAGCTGCTCACTTCAGCTGACGCCAAGTCCTGTCCGCCTACAGCCATCCGACAAGGAGTCAAGGATGATGATGATGATGGTGATGATGATGATTGACCACTGTGTGAAAATCCTTTGTTCTCAAAGTCACCGGATTAAAAAGGAATCCTGCTATTTTGTCCAACAAAGGTACAGGTACATTAGCGTTCGCGCTGAAAGCGAGCTGGCCACGTGCCGGACTTCTGAGTGGTCGCTGTGGTCGCCTGTTGCAGGCGTGTCTCGCGTGTGCCTCTGTGCTGTTGTGGCGGCTCCTGAGGGATCTTCAGCCCTGCCTCGAATGGCCTATCGTAGCTGTAAAACCTCCCGGACAGATAATGTGATCAGGTACAACAACGTTTGTATCGTAGTCGTAGTCGTAGTAGCAGTAGCAGTAGCAGCTCGTAACTACTCGGATGGAAAACGAAGCTCACTCAGCGACATCGACGACAGGCATGCTCGCCTTGCTCTGCCAGTAGCCAGGCCAGCACTTCCGCGTGGGCAGTCCTTGATGAATTCTTCGGTAGCGTACTGTACCTGTCGAAGCTACCTCCGGAGGTAGCTGACACCCATCTTCTCAGCTACCTCCTAATCCTATAGGAGGTAGCGTGACCAGCGAAGCCACGTCTGTGACGATCCTCGTATGTCACGGCTTAGTGGATGTGGCCCATTTCAACCAGCTCCAATGGATAGCTACAACTGGTAACTGTACGCGTACCCGAGGAGGAAGTCAAGGGAAAAGAGGGTTGTGTCCACTGTCCAGTAGAGTGTCTATGAGCATTAGTAGTAGTAGGTATAGGCTGTATAGGCTGTATAGGTAGTAGTCCGGATCAATTGATAGCACGAGGGTTGGTTCGCCATCGGGACATTCGGTACGACTCTGGGCGCGTAAAAGTGGTGAGAAAAAGAGGCCCGGCAGTCAAGTGAGATTGAGGCGGAGTGCAGGCTCCACCACCCCGGCAACGGTTCTCCCGCGCCGCGTTTCGAAGGACTAGCCTTGTCCTCCATCTAGACACACTACCCTCACTACCTACTAGTGTCGCGTGAGGGACCTTCTCCTTTCTCCTACGCCCCCGTTCTTCACTTCTACATACACCAACCCTTTCGCCTTGGTAACATCTTCAACCTCACCACCCCAGGCCTCTTCCGCCGCATTTCTGCCACCCTCTCTCCGACGACAAACGGCTCGCCTTTGTCCTCCTCTCTAGAGACGCCTTCCGGATCGAGACTCGACGCTACGGCCCCCGCCCCGCTGGACGGTACCTTTTTCGAGTGCGACTGAGGAAGAGGGCAGCTTCCAGAGGGAAAAGAGAGGGAGACCACAAGCAGCAGCAGCAGCAGCAGTGGACGCGGGTATAAACATGGCGACCGCCAACAGCACAATGCCCGACATGGGCAAGCCGCAGTCCCAGGCGCGGGCCTGGTTCGAGCCGTTGGTATGCACTCTTCATGCGTTGCATTGACTTGTGGATGTCATGTTCTAGAAGAAGGCTAACTCGCTCTCCTCTCCAGCTTGTCGTGACCATCATGCTCGTCTCGCTGTTTGTGAACCGGGACCGCAAATTCCACATAATACCCTCACCCGATTCATCTTCCGAGTCGTTAATGAAGAGTGCCGCCTACGAAGAAACGATATCCCAGGCCTCAAGCAGAAGTGCATCGCCCGAAGGACGGCAAAAGCCCAGCATGGACCTCTCACAAAGCCCATTTGTCTCCCAATCCGACTCGAACATGAACTTTCCCTCTCGAATCCTCCAACGCTTTCCCTTCCTGGTCGAAATGTTCTACTGGGCCTTGAACTTTTTAGCTTACGCCATGACGAAGAAGATTGGCGCCGCATTGTACAGCAGGAATGAACACAACGAAGTTACGGAATTGGCACAGCAGCATGGCATTGCTATCTTGAACATTGAGCACAACTCCATGTTCAAAATCTTCTTTCCCATTACCGAAGTCAGCTTCCAGCGCTTCTTTGTAAACAACCACGTTGGAATCATCACTCTCTTCAACCAATTCTACTCTCTGGTCCATATTCCGGGAACGGTTGCGTACGTCCTGCCTTTTCTCCTTCATGAGCCTCCCGCCCTGCTGACTCGATTGTCCTAGCTTTCTTTCTTGGTGGTATTACACCGCACCATCGCACGATCACTTTGCTCTGGCCCGACGCACCATGACCTTGGGCAACTTCTCCGCTTTCATGATCTTCTCCTTCTGGCCATGTATGCCTCCTCGATTGCTTCCCGAGTCCTTTGGCTTCCTCGATACCGTACGACAGGATCACGCCGAGAGTGTTTGGGTCGGAGGCGCAAGCGTCAATGAATTGGCAGCCATGCCATCACTACACTTTACGTATGCATTCATCATCGGCTGCACTTTCCTGTGGCATTCTGGCATCCTCAGCATGCTTCGCGGACGACGATCGGGCAAGAGCCCCGTGATCAGCTTCATTTGGATGGTCGCTGGAATACTGTACCCTCTTCTAGTCTTGTCCATTATTGTGGCCACGGCGAATCACTACTATATGGATGCGGTGGTAGCGACATTTTCCGTCGCACTCTCATTCTTGCTGAACCGGGTTTGGTATGTGCTGCTCCCCGCGGAGGCACTGTTATTGAGAGTGTTACGATTGCGAAAGCCGATTCCGACCACTGCGCAGTCCAAGAAGATGGACAAGCCTACGGTGATTGTCGAAGAGTGGGCGTAAAATGCGTCTTTTGGACTTTTTACTCTCGCTCTCTCTCTCTTTATTGGATTTGGTGAGGAGTTTTGGGCGTTGCCTCATTTGCCTGTAGACGGCCGTGTTTTATGATCGGTGATGGGTCAGAAGTGGATTTTGGTCAAAGAGGTTGATGGTTGGTTGGCCTGCGCATCTAAGGCACCTTTTCATTTTGATTATTCGATGCATTGCGACTGGATCTGGGAAAAGAAAGAAGAGACTTGTGAAGTCCAGCATGTACGAGATGTATGCTGCCCTAGTTGCCGAAACATGACTTGTTACAGTGGGAGCGATTTGAGAAGGGGTGTCGCATAGAGTATTGTTAATAGCGAATGAGACCATGGACCAGTGTTCCATGTCGTGAAGCAGTCAGTCGCTTCGTCATTTTGGTTACTTGATTTTGTCTCTCTCTCTCTCTCTTTCTCTCTCTCTCTCTCTCTCGCGTGTCACTAAGAAAGAAAGCAAGAAAGCAATAATCCCCAATCAACATGAAATAATAGTTATTCCGAATTGGAGAAAATAAATAAATATACACTAAATAATACTTGTCTCTGTTCTCTTGTCTCTCTCTTGTCTCTGTCTCTGTTTCTCTCTCTGTCTCTTATCTCTCTCTCTGTCCCTTTCTGTCTCTCAAAAAAAAATAAAAAGAAAAAGAAAACTCATCACTTCATCAAAAAATTGTCATCCCATATCCACCCACTTTGTCCTTCCTACCCAAACCAAACCAATCCAATCCAAACCAATCCATCACATCTGATACAACAAAACACAGAATTTCAGCATCGAAAATCAAAAATCAAAAATCCTAAGGTAGATAGTCATTTCAAGCAATCGTCTGATGTACACTCCTCGACACTTGAATCCCATGCATTCCTGCTCCCCCAGTACCTCCTGCTCCTCCATCTGCTCTATCTCCATTTCCTCCTCGTCTCCAATGATGATGATGATGATGAGTATCCACTACGGACAAAATGGCCGAGAAGCGCTGTTGGTGGGGTTGAGGTTGTTGTTGGCGATGTAATTCTTGATCGGAATGATGGGAGTGGAGGGAATGAAGTGAATGATTTGAAGAATTGGAATGAAGAATATGTTCTTCGCATGTTGAAGTTGAATCGCTGGAGGGTTTTCTTGTTGTTGTTGCTGGTGGTGGTGGCTTGGATCCTAACGTGGCTGCTGTCGTTGTCGTCGTCGTCGTCGTAGTTGGTGGATTTGTTGTTGTTGCAGGATTTGTCAGATGGGGAGAAATCGGAGGCGAAATCGGATGTTGACTGCACGTAATCGAAGTTTTAGTCTGGCAAGTCAAAGAGGGTTTTCCCACTCCTCTTCCTGCTGCTCCAGATCCAGCTCCTCCAAGTCCGTCTCTGGTATTATAATAAGGATGAAGATCCAACTCCTCCTCCTCCCGCAAATACGAAACTTTTCCATGCCGTTGAAGTCTCCCACCATCTTCCCCTCCATCATAATACCCCCCATACGCACCACTCCCCCCACCGCCACTATGATTCCCACCGCCGAGAGAAAACATCTCACGAAACAACGGCCGTAAAGTCGAAACACATCCGACGATAAATCCGACGCCATTTTCGGCGTATCCCCAAATCATGACGTCTGCGACACTGTAGAGATAATCGTCGGAATTGTTGAGATTGACGGTGTATTTGAGTCGGATGCAAGCTGAGAGGGATGCGAGAATTCCGAGCGAGAGGAGGAAGCCGACGGAGAGTTTGGCGTTGAGGTTGAGTTGGAGGGTGTAGAGGAGGGGGAGGGGACTAGAAAAAAAAGAGGTTAGTTTGTGGTTTGGTTGGGTTGAGGGAAAAGGAAGAAACTTACATTAAAGCACAAAACCAATCCGTCAAAATATTCACCGCCGTATCCGCATAATACACATCCGCGAGATCGCGACTCGGTAAACAACTTCCTCCGGGAGTTTTGGTATTCCAGGCAAAACTAATCGGTGTGCAACGGAAGAGAATGTACAAAAAAGAAATTGTGTTGGCGAGAATGAAGAGTGAGGCCATTCCCCAGAGAGCATATGTGTAATTTTTCTTTGGACCGGCGACGCGCATGAGCATGAGGGAGATGCTGAGTTTGATGGGGATGATGGCTATGCAGAAGAAGATTTCGAAGAAGAAGAACCACTTTTGATGGGGGAGGTTAGTGATGGTTGGTGGGAAGAGTGATTGATTGATAAAGAACATACCATCATGGCACGTTCACTCTTCTCCTCATCGAGATTCCACTTGTGTACTCCCACTCCAAGAAAAGCTGCTCCAAGACAAAAGACACTGAGAGCTCCAAACGGGACCTATGTTTTGCATTTCAAAAGATCAGCCCCAATCCACTCAATAAGAAGTACACAACAAAAGCCTTCCATCTTGATCTGAACGACAACAACGACAGACAACAAGAAAGTTAAAGTAAAGTACAACTCACCGCAGCACAACACATAGTAAAATCATCCCACCCAAACGCCTTGTGTTTAATTCTCGTATAAATCCTCAGAGGAAAGACGACGGCGGAAATGGCTACGAGAATGATGATGGCGGCTGCTACATTGGGAGCTTTGTCTTCGAAGATGGTTGGTGACATTTTTTCTTTGGATGTCCTGAATTGGTAATGAGGTAGGTAGGTAGGTAATAACCAACTCAGAGGCACCAGTAGTCGGCGGCGTTGTCGGCGGTGTTGTCGTCGTCTTCGTCTTCTGTTCTCCAGGCCCGGATCGGCAGAGAGTCTACTCGCATATAGATCCGAGGATAGAGAGAGAGAGGGAGAGTGAAAGTGAGTTGAATGAGTAAGTGTGGCTAGACCCTCTCTCTACCCAGCACTAGAAAACAGAAAAAAATGGAGAAGACGAATGAATGAGTAATTGAGTGAGTGAGTGAGTGAGAGGGAGAGAAAGAGAGAAAAGAGGGTTGCACATGGCTCCGACTTTGTTGCCCACTTTCACCACCACAACGACAAATGACCGGGGGAGGGAGCGAGGGAGTGAACAAGAGACCACAGGCACCGCAAGGCGTATGTGGTCCCAGTGTCAATCCGTCAATCCGTCAATCAATCAGCACAATCAGCGCATTGGAGCAAAAACTCCCGCCCTCTCCTCTCCTCTCATCCCATCCAGCATCCAAAACCACTCTATCCGATGCTCCATGGCTTTCCCCCAGTAAAAACCGCAAACTCTTGTGCCACACACACACACACATACATACACACCTTACCACTTCTCCTTCTCCATAATAACTGTATGTTGTAATGAGAAGAGCCAATAGGTCGCACCGTCGACCAGTCGGTGCGACAATGCCAAATCGGGGAGAAGAAGCCGGGTTCCCGCGCGGGCTGTGAAACGTAAAGGTAAAATAGATTTGTACATCCGACTATCGGGATCAGAAACGGGGGGCGCGAAAAGAAATGGCTGCGCGCTTTGGTAGAAAAGGAAAAAGATGGGGAAGATGAAAGATCGGATACCAGGTTACTTTATTGTAGAATGGAGGATGGAATGGGAATGGGAATGGGGTGGGGACCGGGTAAAAATGTGAGGAGACGTTTGTGTGTGAATTGCTGAAGAAAAATGCCTCTTTTGTCCTATCCTATCGTATTCCAAGCTACTTGCTACACTCCTTAAGGCTAGTATACAAAGGATAAAATAGAGAAAGGAAATTTCCACAAACTTCATTACTCGCCAGTATTATATATATATTGTAGATATAAAGAACTATAACAGCAGTTCCTACAAACGAGTGAATGTAGAAGAGAAGAAGACTTCTTGTTTTCGCAGTGCATTGCGGGTCCTTTGCTTCCGGCGCGCAGCTCTAGTTCTCTTCTTATTATTAAAGACTAAAAGACGTTATGAAGACGTTAGCGATGCAGCAGGGGTTTAGGACGGGACGGGACATGAAAATCCACTCTCAGCACTTCTTCTAGACTCTAGTCTTCTTTGCTTGTAGGGATTGGATAATATGATCATCGATGACTGAGACGAGGACGATTGGTTGGTTGGGTAGGCTGGGTGGATGGGAGAGGTATGGATAGCGATGAGGAGAGAAGAGAGAGAGAGAGGGTAGTAAGAGTCAACAGTGTGGACATGTCACCAACCAACAAACCGTCCGTCCGTCCATCCAAACGAACATGTTCGCAGCGTAAAAACGGTAAAAAGAACTATACTCGCTGGAGATACCTCCTATCTTAGAAAAAAACATGACATGCGAAACAACAGGACAGGACCGCAATCTGCCCTGCCACCTACCCACCCCGCTTGCGGTTCCGAGAATCCATAGAGAATATGAAAATGTGGACCAGACCACCCGACCGACCGACCGACCGACCGGTATCCAATCTCTTCTCTTTTCTTTCTATGCCTCAATCATTCATCATTCATCATTCATTCATCATACCTCCACCCTCTAACGATGAATAATGATTGGCCGCCCGATTCCGTTCCATCCAAAGGCATAACCCGCTCGGTTCGCAGTTCGGTTACAAGAAGAAGGACGGGAAGAAAGTGGACACGCTTTTCGGCATTAGTGTGCCGATACACAACGGCGGACTGTACCAAGATGGTTCTGTTCTCCGTTTGGTGGGCGGGAAGGAAGGTAGTAGCGGTAGTAGTAAGCAAGTAGGCAAGCAAGTGCCAAGATTCAAGTGATAAGAACATGTCCAAGTTCACTGTTCCCTCCTCCCCTCCAAGAAGACAGATCAACGGTGCCCTATATATGCCAGGAGGTAATGTATATAACAGTATACGCTGTTTCTACCGCAGAATCTTCCGATACATACAACACAAATGTCTACCCGGGCGCTCTCGAATGCCTTTCGTCTCGTCTCGTCTCGTCGTGTATCGTTGAGAAAGGCTATGTTTTGCTAGACACCTAGATACCTAACCTGACCTTAGGCAGGCTTTTCTATACCAACCCCGTTCTCTTACGAATGCGAAACATCTATATGTTAGGTAGGTAGGTAGGAGGTAAGATCCTATGCCCGTAGAGAGCGTTTTTTTTTTTCTTCTTGCTATATCTTACCTATATATAAAAGTGAACTGCCCTCGTACCTAGGGGATTTATCGCCGTCGCCGTCGCTAATAGGGCGATAAATGGAGATATGAATCTTAGGTATACCTTTTGTTAAGCTGTTTGTTAGGGATAGTAGAGATATACCTCCGACCAAGTTACATGTATGTATGCAAAGTCGAAACATATATGTCTCCGATCCTATAGTAAGGTAGTCTATAGATCCCTTACCTAGGTAGGTACCTCTACTCTATATAGGGCCTAGCCGTCCGCCTACGTACCTAGTTCAGATAACAGATGTAAAGCACAGTTGTTGTTGAAATTCTTGTTGTTGTTGTTAGAGAACTTGGCAACCGAAACGCCCTAGGGAGCTATAGTACATGTACCTTATTAGTGCTCTTTACCTTTCTAGAATAAAAGAAACATTTTAAGGTGTAGCTAGCTGTTCTGGTTCAGTGTTCGGTGTTTTGCCCCGCGGAGTTAAGAGAGAAAAAATATCGAGAAATATATCACTAAGGTACCTAGCTAGGTTCTACCCTAGTTCATAGGGATTCCCGGATACCAGTTGGAAGTACACGATAGAGAGAGTATGTGTGTGAGTGAACTAGGAGGTAACATGTAGCATTGTAGCTCTGTATCCAGCATTTCATCCAAGCCAGGTCCCAGGATAAGGTAGGTAGGCCCCCCCTTCCCCCATTTTTTCAAAACATTTCTCCTCTGTCGGTGCCGGACGGTAGTGACTAGCACCACCCCCTGGGCCTGGGCTCATCGCTGGATATGCCTTGTCACCTTGTCACCTTGTACTTACTGTTCACACCATCCAAGTCAAGATGGATAGGAGGAAGCTAAAGCCAGATGAGCAACATGGCTTTTATTTTTCCTTTCGTTTCCGTTTCTTCACACTGCCTTGCCTCCTGTTTCGTGGATGGACAATCACAGACAAGCGATTTTAGCGTGCTTTGCACCAATAGCGCAGAGTGGACGCATATGTGTGTTGTCTTGTGTCTCATGTCTGAAGCTCGTTGATGCGGCTGGTCCTGGAAGAGAGGCAATAATGTTGGGTGTTTTTTTGATGTAACTTGTTGGGGTTGGATGGTGTTTGAATGTGGAACAACCAACAACAACAACAACATGTCCTTGTTTACTGGGAGGTAAGGTACCTTACGGCCGCGACAAAGCCGAGGCCCGACGACGTCTACGACAACAGCAACAACAACAACAGCAGCAGCAGCAATAGTCGAGCGAGGAAATCGCACAATGCACATCATACGACGGCACCGAATGGCTGGATCGCAGCAGGGAGAGAAGAAAAAGGAAAGAAAATAAAACAAAAAAAGGCACAGGAAAGCCAAAAACAAAAAGTGACTTCCTGCACGTAAACACGACTGAACAACCTGGAAATGCAGTAGAAGCCTGGTCCTAAGCAGTCTGGTGATCCTGCCGCATCAATCGTGTTGGTCGCCAAAAGGAGTAATGTGTGGCGGCACTGACTGGCAAGGAGAGGGACCAAAGTACCAAAGTCACTTTTGAATGTCCGTCTCATCATTATACCTCCCCGTACAGTAGGAGGTAGAGAGAGAGGGAGAGAGAGAAAGAGTTTTAGAGTCTCGAGTCTCGACGGCCTTTCTGGGCAATTCAGAATCTCAAAACCTCCGTAAGGAAAGGGGATTATCCCAAACGACATGCCAATTTAACTCTGCCACTATTCTTGGCAAAGCCAGTCAAACCATGCCCTTTTGCATTGTCTCCATGGCCATGTTGACGGACCGTCTCGGAAACTGAAATTTAACTTCATCTCCTTACTTGCTGCCATCTGCCACACGTGCTGCACACTTTTTATCTTGCACCACCGGTGGCCGGGTGGCATGCGCGTATTCTCAACTGGTTCGAGACTCTCTCCGCGCATGGAAAGCCTGACCGCCGTCTCTGTCATGTGTACAGTTTGGTCGCTGTGCGATGGGATGGCAAGACATACACACACCCCCTTTTGAGAGAGAGATGCAACACATTTTTGGTGAGGGCATGGTTTCGGGTTCAGCATGATTTAAGGTACTTGTAGGAGGTACGTGTAGATGACTCCCGGGTCCAGCTGTCTACTTGGGTGCAGACCGATGAGATGCTATCATCTCCGTACGTAGGTCCCTGGCGGATAGTTGTAGGAGGTAGTGTGGGGGAAGACTCCCTCCCTCCCTCCCCCCATGCAGACAACAACAACACGCCAGATGATCTCCCTGACTCTCTCCCTCTCTCTTCCCATAGGAGAGGTATCATGATTGACCTAGGTAGCAAGACCGATAATCCTAGTGAGTTCTGACGCGGCGACGTCGCAACCCCGACTAGGAAGCACCATCTATACAGTATCTTCTGCACACCGATTTCACTCGCTGGCATCTTCCCGTCACAAACCCGAGAGAACCCACTGCCTTCCGACGACCTGTCACATACGCACAAATCATACATTTTCCTGCAACGGCCACCAACGTCGAGAGGGAGGGGGGAGGGGACTACGACACGCGCGAATTCGGAAACGCTACCAGCACATTCCCTCCGGACGAACCTTAACCCTGGGATGCCGGGCTCAGTTTGTATGAATGTTACTGGGAATATACCTAATGCCACCATACTTTGTGGAGGGGAGTGAAATGATCTGGCGCTCTGTAACTCGCCAGCCTTGAATATCTCTCTAGTGCATGCAAGCAAGCACGCGCAGGACCGCAGGTATAGCCTCCCCAGAAGGAAGTCTACACACGAAAGGAAAAAAAGCTTGGCTGGTGAGCTTGAAACGGTTTGACAGCTCTTCAGGTGGTCTGTCTGTCTGTCTGTCTCTCTATACGCTCCACTACCGATATACATATATACCCCCATCATGTTCTCCCTAGCCTTGACTCCCACTCCACTCGGCACGGGTTTCCCCCTTCAACTCGATCGATTCAATCTGGACGACGACCACGACAATAATAATATGACGACCACTCATACCGAAAAGGTCGAGCACCTCTCGCGCGTCGACACCGTCGTCATTGGCGATGGACGCAAACGATCCGTCGACGAAGCCTTCGAATATCTCCGCAACCATGCCGACAACAGCGGAGCAGAAGCGATCAATCTTCGTCAACTCCGACGCAAAATTGACTATCGCATCATCCCTCTCCAATTCTTCATCTGCGGCCTCCAATTCCTCGACAAATTCCTCCTCAACTACGCCATCATCATGGGTCTCCCCGAAGATTTAAAACTGCAAGGCAATCAACTCAACAATATCGCCTCGTCGCTCTGGTGGGCATATCTCATCACCACACCCTTTATCGGATTATTATTGAATAAACTCCCCCTGGGCAAATTTTTGGGAGGGAATATGTTTTTGTGGGGAATTGTTATTGCTTGTACGGCTGCCGTGAAGAATTATCCTCAATTGATTGCTGTGAGGATTTTGATGGGCATTACGGATGCGGGTATGCCGCCGAGTTTGATGCTCATGAGTAGTCAGTATTATCGCAAAGATGAACAGGCGATGCGATTTGCGATTTGGTTTTCTTCGGTCGGATGTGCGATGATTGCGGGAGGGTTGATTTCGTTTGGATTTCAATTTGTGGATTCGGATGTTATGGCTTCATGGAGTGAGTATCTCCCCCAGGTCTTGCAAGGAAAAAAAAAAATCATCGCTAACAAACTCCTCCCAGGAATCATGTACCTCGTCCTCGGTCTCCTCAGCTGGATAGTCGGCGTGCTCTCCTTCTGGAAACTCCCGGACTCACCCATGACAGCGACCTTCCTCAACGACGCGGAAAAAGTCGCATTAATCCACCACGTCTCCGTCAACCAAACCGGAATCACATCCAAAAAATTCCAACCCAACCAACTCCGCGACCTCTTCCTCGACCCACAAGTCTATCTAATTTTCTTCCTCACCCTCCTCGTCTCGACGGGATCAGGAATTCTCACCGTCTACGCCACAACCATCATCAAAGGCTTCGGTTTCACATCCAAAGAAGCCGCTCTCTTGCACATGCCTTCAGGCCTAATCGCCATCATCACCGCTTTTCTCGGCGCCTACGCAGTCCGCTATCACTACCTCACACGCTGGACAATTTCCATCTTGGGCTACAGCGCCTCTCTCTTAGGAGCCAGTCTAGTAGCTTTCGCCCCCCATTCCAACCGCGCAGCTCAACTCGCAGGAGTCTATCTCGTCTATTTCTCCCTCTTCACCGTCGGCATTAAATTCCAATGGACAGCCGCAAACGTCGCCGGACACACCAAACGCACCCTCGCAACCGCCATGATGAGCGGAGCATTTGCCATCGGAAATATCTGTGCTCCGTATGCGGTTCAAAGGAAAGATGCTCCGCGGTTTCAAACGGGGAAAAATGTTTTGATGGCGACGAAGGCGGGTGCGATTGGGATTTTGTGTGTGTTGGGGACGTATTATGTGTGGAGTAATCGGAGGAGAGATGCGAAGTATGGGAAAGTTGTTAAACCGGTTGAGGAGGGGTCGATGACGAGTGTTGTTGGGGAGGAAGAAGGGGGGAGTTTGGGGGATGTGGTTACGAATACGAATTCTATGTCGACGACGAGGACGACGACGGGGGAGAGAGAGGAGGTTTGGGAGAATTTGACGGATAGGGAGAGGAAGAGTTTTAGGTATGTTTATTGAGAAGGCTTGCATATCTAATGATTGGGAAAGGGAATGGTGTGGGCATGGGATGAGGATGAGGATGAGGATTTTTTTGGGAAGAATAAGCAACAAATAAGTACCTACTACCTCTGGAGAAGGGAAGGGAATGGATTATAGAATGGCTTCACTAGCTTTATTTCATTTGTTTTGTTTTATTTTACTTATATTCTATACCTACCTACACACACACACATTCACATACAATCTCTCTCTCTCTCTCTCTCTCTCTCTCTCTCTCTCTCTCTCTCTCTCTCTCTCTCTCTCTCTCTCTCTCTCTCTCTCTCTCCCTGTTCGCCTATCCTTAACGTGAAATAAAATTGAGGAATCAACCCTTTTTTTTCTTTTAGTAGAGTATCTTATCTTACTCAATACCTACGTACCTCGGCTAACATATACGACTTCCTCAAAGCAAGAAGCTAAAAAGAGGAAGAAATTCGACAGATTATAATCATAAATAATGATAGTCATAAACAATAAAATGCGGGCTATCGCTTACATGTATTGATCGCTATAACAACAAAAACAACAACAACATATGGGACGTCACACATTCCGCGCAAACTTCTCACTCCGACGAAGAGAAGAGAAAAAGATGAAGATGAAGAAGTATGCCAAGGTATGTAATCTTCCACGGCCTAAGATATCAACCTTTCATCCCATCATCCCTCGTCCTCATCAATTCGATATGCAAGCCAGCTGAGCTAATCCTCGTCAAAGATGGCCGTCGCGTTACTCAAAATGGTCTCCAAGACTCGCTGCTGCCAAGAGGCATCTTGAATATGCGGGCCTTGATGGGCGCCCATGAGGGTAGGTCTATCAGTCACGAGGCGGTCAGTACGCAAATGCGAGGAAGAAATGGGAGTGGGTAGAAAACGCACGCTAAACACACTGCGAGATTGGCAGCCGTCATTCTCGTTCTTCCCTCATTCTGCATGACGCGGTGGAGATGCAGAACCAAGGCTCTCATGGTGGCGTAGTTTGCATCGGGCAGGTCATTGATACATTGATGTAGCGCATCTCTTCTCGCATCATCTCCGTCGACTTGAGCAGATTCGATGAAGCTCGAGTAAGTGTCCTTGGTAAACAGTGGATCAGGCAACTCTCGAAAGAACGTCTTCATCAGACTCGTCACTGCATTTACGTCGTGTCCAAAGTTGGATGGGTTACGGAAATCGAGTTGAGGGTCATTCGGAGGTAGGGTGTCAAACGAGTGGCGAAGACGATTGACTTGTGCCATATTTCCTGCTTGGCGATAAATGCCTTCAATCTCGAGACCAAACATGTCGACTGCTTGAATGCATTGAAAAACGATAATGGGGACGGCGGATTGATCCCGGGCGAAGAGATCGTCCAGAGAATAGCCAAAGACTCTGCCCCGGGAGTTGGAAAATTGTGGAGAGGAGGATGTCTGATATGGTGAGCTTGCAGGTGGTAGGGGAGAGCTAGGGATGACACCGGTGGATTGGACGGGCGTGTTACCACTGTAGCTGGAAGCGACTCGCTCGTTGGGGTGAGTGGGATATGGTGGTGTGCTCGAGTAGGTATCTCGAAGGGGTGCAGCTGATGGGTTGTAAGGTGAAGAGCTGCTTCCTGGGGCGTATGGAGGCGAGGCTGCTCGGAAGGAGTCTGATGAAGGGGGCATGCCACCCGACGGGACCGCTGCAGGGGATCCGAACTGTCCTGGACCGCTGAATGAGGACGAAGCGCCGCCAAAGCGACTGTTGGTCGAAGTGGGCTGTGAAGCGGCGGTGTTCACAGCAGGAGCTGGCGGCTGTGAGGCAGCAGGAGTCTGTGCTGTCAACGTTGGTCGTCGGACTGCTTGGGTCTTGGGTTCCAATACTCGGCTCTTCTCAAAGACCAGATCTGACGTTCGAGCAGGGATTCTCGAGTGCTCGGTGCCAATAAAAGTGTTGAAGTCGCGCTCATTGTCAATGTCCATGACCAAATCTCGCAAACTGCGCTGCGTGTTGGAGGTTTCGGACAGTGGCTGCACCAGTAACCCATTTCCGAGCAGCAGCTTCTCATTGAACGTGGCAAACTTTTGTAGCTGCAGCGCCAATGCACTGTCGCACTCCTTGATGTACTTTTCCAACTCTTTGACAAACCGGGGTCGCTGCTTGCTGATCAGGTCTTCGCGCGCCGTCCTAGCCTCGTCGACCTTGGCACGGTATTCAGCCTCAGCAGCTTGCGTCTTCCGCAGGAGATCCTGTTCATGCTGTTCTGCGCTCTTTGGACCTCTAATCCCGAGCTTTCTGCCCGCTCGTGCATCGCCCGTTCGTGCTTTGTCGTAGTCCTCGGCGTAGCTCTCGTATCGCGCCTTGGCCTTTTGCATGGCAGCCTCCAGGTCGCTCGCGTTCTTCTCCGCAGCAAGACCATCATGCTTGCCCTGCTTCCGACCACGCTCCATGTTGGCGCTCAGGACGTCCAGATCTTCGTGCATTTGGTGCAAGCTGAGCGCGAACTGCATGCCATTGTCGGCCATTTTCTCGTGCACGCGCAGCACCTCGGTCAACTGCTGGGCGTAGGTCCCGCCGCGGACATCGCCACGTTTGACACTTTCCAGTTGCGTTTGCGCCAGACGCTTCAATCCTTTGGCCTGGTCTTCTTCCAAGGTAGACCGCTTCTTGAGGAACTGCGCAAAGTCGCGTGCCGAGGCAATGCTCTGTTTCAGGCGGTTCAAGAGGGTGTTGATACCAATATCCGAGTACATGACATCTTGCACGCGCTTGTCGTAGCTGCCATGGCCATTGTTGCTGTTGGATGCGCCTCCACTGGTGCCTGGTCGCGCCGTCTCCGTCTCGACAGTGGGACTGGCAGGATTGGAGCGGTGGTGACTGTTGGCAGGGTGGTCGACGTCGATTTCGTTGGTCATGGTCGGCAGCGGCGAGGAGGGAGAGGAGGGAGAGGAGGGAGAGGAGGAATGGTATCGGTGGTGGAGGGTCGGCGAGGTGGTGTTAGTATTCAGAGTAGAGGGAGTGGGAGGGGTCCTCCATACGAAGGACAGGTACACGAATAGGAATAGAAGCTAACTTTACCCGTAAGGTCAGGTAAGGTAGGAATATCATCTCGCACTCGCGTCTGACGACACCGACACCGACACAGCCACAGCAGCCACCTCAGCCTGCACCTTCACCTTCCCTGTCGTTTGCTTCCCTGTCTTGGCCCGAGCTCTGCCGATCTCGACGATCAAGGAAAGTGTCCAGGAAAGTATCAAGTGAATGACCAGATTTACTTGTACCTACCTACATTCGAGAATCGATCAAGTATAGGTAACAACAACAACAACAACCACCACCACCACAACACCATCACCGAAATGCCGACAACAGCAACCACCGCCACTGCTGCTTCATGGGAGCCCACCGTCTCCGAGAATCTCCCCAATGAAGTCGTCACTTGTCTACGCAATGCCCGATTCGTACTGCTCACTGACCTCCATCCACATGAAATCTGATCATCATCAGCTAATGCAGACCAACACAGCTCCATCTCGCAACATGCACCGACAACGTGCCTCATGTCTCCCTCATGAACTACACCTACCTGCCCTCCCGTGCATTCCCTCCAGCAACCTCCTCCCATCTCCCCTCTGGCCCCACCATCATCATGACTTCCAATCCGTCTTCCAAAAAGACCCTCAACCTCCTCTCCAATCCCAACGTCTCTCTGCTCGTCCATGACTGGGTCTCTTCCCGCCCACCCACCAACCTGAGCGGCTCCGATCGCGAAAGAAGTCCTTCCGGCGGTCCCCGAAGCTCTCTCGCTGCCATGCTGATGCAGATGAACTCCACTGCCGTGAGTAGCAACAGCATCACCATCAACGGGGAAGCCATGCTGTTGGAACCGGGGAGTGAGGAGGAGAAGTGGTGTAAGGAGCAACACATCTCGAATAATACCTTCGAGCAGGATGGGCTGAGTCCCTTGAGTTTACAACAGTCTCGCGGGGATGATACGGGGGATAGTGGCAAGGGGGCGTATATTGAGGGAGAGCACGTGAGGGTCGTGGTGGTGAGGATTAAAGATGGGAGGATTAGTGACTGGAAGGGAAATGTTAGTGATTGGACCCTTTCGAGCGAAGCTGTGGATACGGATAGGGCGGTGGTGAACGGGACATAGCAGACGTGGTTGCAAGTGCAGAGGAGGACATGAAATCTGCAGCACTGTGTCGAAAACTGAGCCTGCTCGTGGACTGATGTGAGCAGTCTGATGAAATTGAGATATTCTGCAATTGGAGCTCATTCGAGACTGCTGATGCTCTATCACCTTGTTGACGCAGATGACTAGCAACCGTTTGCTGCTGGAAACAAGTGTCCGGAGCGTCATTCGCGGAAGAGTACTAAGTCGCCGATCAGGACTGTGCAGTCGGCACATGACAGGCATATCGGAGCAGAGAGAGTGCTTCTAAAAACCCTCGTCGCTCCCTGTCACTTATCAAGACATGTCTACGCTGACGAAACGGAAGGATTGATCAGGTACATGTACGCATCACGCGTGACACCTTCATTATGGACAGTATGACGACCGAATTGGCGAAAGGAGGTTCTTACGGGCAACACATGGAATATTGATCTCACCTCACCTCATCACTCACCTCACCTCATCTCTCCCTCGCCAGCAGAGCGACTTCGCCGGAACACTTCTACGCCTACAGGGCATTGTCAAAAATTTCATCATCGCCGACGCCACAATGTACACCAATGACCTCGCACCCAGTGAACGACGACGGCGCGCAGAAGCGCGACAAGGAGGATGATGAAAAGGGCGCGTCTCCTACACCGAAGAGAGTGGAAGTGGACGCGTGGAAGGAAGGATGCTGTCACTGTGCCATTTCTGGACATCAACGGGGCAGCCTCAGTCAACACGGATACGTCCCGTTGACGAGCTTGAAAGCCGACCCTGCCAGAAGACGACGTCAAGTGACTTTCTGCCAAACATTCGTACCTAGCCACCAGAACTGCATGCACTGCCGTAAGAAATCTGGCCATAATTCCATCAAGAACTCATGTGTATCTTCACCGGTTCTCTTCGCCACTGAGTATCCTGCAACTCCGCTCGGCTGGTATAAGATGCACAGCCGACAGAGTAATCCCGATAGTCGTGCGCAGCAGGAAACCTTCCATCGGGTCGCCCAGCGAGGTCAGGGGTATGCTATGGCAGCGGGCAGGAACAGCACCACGTTCCAAAATCTGAGACAAGACATCAATCAGCTTCCAAGTTGTGCAGGTCAGTCAAGAAGTCGCTGTCTTGCGCTGGGACGCGTTGGAGAGACGACAAGAAAAAATGGAACCGGATCCACGCTACGCCGACGAGGTTGCGCCTTCATTTTTCTCTGCTGCAAGTCGCTCACAGCCTCCGATGATGTCTCTTGGTCGCGAGCGCGAGAGACAGCCGCGACAACTATTCACTCCCTTGACGGTCACCTCAGCGAGGTCCACGCGCCTAGCACGCTCGGGTACATCCTGCCCATTCACAAAACATCCTCCGCCCAATGAGGCTGTGAGGCATCCTGACTTTTCTGCCACGTCCGCCGTGTCCTGCCTGCGTCATTGCGCTGATACATGTATAGTCTCACTCGCGGCATGACTGTCTCAGCACCGCACAGAACACTTTTGACGCTGCTCACAACCTTCGTCGTGTTGCGGAATATAAGCTACATAGGATCGCTGAAGGGAGGGAGTAGAAACACAAGTAAGCATCACACTGAGCAAAAAGCATTTCAACGCAGTCATGCTGAAGCGCCCTGCATCCTCCACTGCACCAGCGCGGGACGCCAAGAGGATACGGGCCAGTGCGCCGCCAGCCCCTACGAGCGAGCAAGTGACGCCAACATGGGGCAGGACTTTGATCAAGAAGATTGAGCAGGCTTCCAAAAAAGCACCTCGATTCTTATTCAGTCGTAGCTTCAGAGGCATATCAATCATGCGAGAGAAGAGATGCCTGCTAGAGAACCCCCATGCATGGCGCGGCATGAATTTGTTTCGAACGATCGTCAAGAGTAGACAAGCCAAGGCCAAGATGCACGCGCATGGTTCTGTGGATAACCTTGTTGATGGCCTCAGCCGATTCAAGTTGGGGTTACTAAACGGTCCACTTGAATCAGAAGATGGCACTGACTCGGTGTATAATGCTTCCAACGATCCAGAAGATTCCGATGAGGACGACGAGCATGAAGAAGAGCCATCTGACGCCGATGAATCTGCTCTCCCTACAGGCATCATGAACGACAACGTGAAACGAAGACTTCTAGACGCGCAGAATCGTACGCCACGATATCTGTTTCGAGCATGGAACAATACGGATGCCCCCTCGGGTGGCTTCATAGGCTTGAACACCCCGGAAGCCATCACGCCACTGGCTTTTCTGCACAAGCACCTTCCCACTTCACAGACCATCTATGACATGCCGTCGAACAGCTTAGCAGCCATGTGCAAGGCACATCTGTGTACGGAAAGCGACGTCTATACTGAATTCAGTTCGTGGGCAGCGTCAATACAAATCGCGTTCAGGTTTGCACGCGGAGCCCACAAATACTGCTACATCAGCGTCATCGATACGAAAGGTCTGGTAGGCAAGAACGTTATCGTTCACGTTCCTTCTCTCGAATTCTTGATAGGCCATGTAGCCAAGAGTTGTGGTCATGAATATCTCGCCCATGGCGTAATATCTGGACCCGCAGTATTGAAAGCCATCCCGCTAAAGGTATATCTGGATGCTGGAATTTCAATACCCCCCAAATACACTCACCTGAACCTTCTCAACCATGCTGTGGCTCAGATCACCCCCGCGCAAATCTGCGCTGCCCGCCGCGTCGCCGAGGCGTATGGAGGCCAATTTTCCGCCGCAGTCTTTGTTGCGATTTTGACCCTGGAACGGCGCAGTCGGAATTTCTGGAGAAGTGAATCAGAGTTGAATAAGGCTGTGCCGCTGTTTGTGGAAGCTATGAAGCATTTTTGGATTCCGGGCGAGCTCTGTGGTGATGCTACTATTCTTACTGATATTGTGTATACGAAGGGATATGAGAATGTTGAGCAGATGATCAAGATGTTGAGGGCACTGGTGGATTGGAGGCATGGGAAGGGGGCGCGAGTGAGGTTTAAGCAGGCTTCGTGGAAGGACACGGGGAGTCCATGAAGTAGATAGTGCTCCACTCGATAGGGCCGGGCGTGTAATGGAGAAAGGGATTTGGAGTAATAGATAGGTAGGGGAAGAAAGAATCTCGTTGTAATTCCAATGAACACTTTTATCCTCTCTTATCCTGGCAATCAATCAATAATCAATCACCTTCTTCCAAGACCTATACATCCCCCACCCACCCCCCATCACACACATAATTACTCCCCGTAATCGCACTCGCATCCTCACTCGCCAAAAACAGCACCAACCTCCCCACCTCATCCGGCCCCAACATTCTCTTCAACGCCTGCGCCTCCAACGTCTCTCGTACATATTTCTCATCACTCAACACCTCCTCCAATTGTCTCGCTGTCGCAATACTCCCCGGCAACACACTATTCACTCGAATTCCATGTGTGCCAAATTCTCGTGCGTGCGTTCGCGTCAAACCCATTATTGCTGCTTTACACATGGCGTATACGGGGACTCCTGTGGATGGGATTCGCCACGTGATGGAGCCCATGTTGATTATGGATCCGCCGGTTCTGGTAGGACTAGTAGTAGTAGTATCATTTTCGGATGATGATGATGATATCATTGAATGAGCAATCCACTTGGTCAGAAATAAAATATGGCGTAAATTCACATTTACGCCCCATTGAAATGTCTCCTCAGTCACATCCTGTGTCGCCTCACGCGCTAATTGGCCTGCTGCAGCGGCATTATTCACCAAGACATCCACTTTTCCAAATGTTTGCAAAATCTCCTCGCAGACGGATTGGAGTTGTGGTAGATTGGTCACGTCGCAGTGGTAGAAAATTGGCAGCGGGGAAACTCCTTCTTCGCGAAGGCGTGAGATGAGATGGTGGGCGGAGGAGGTGGAAATGTCGAGGAAGAGGACTTGGGAGTTTTGGTGGGCGAATTGGGAGACGCAGGAGGCTCCTATGCCTTCTGCTCCGCCGGTGATGAGGATGATTTTGGATTTTAAAGAGGGGTATTGGGCGAATTGGGCGTGAGGATTTTTGGGCGATGGTGGTGGTGGGTTGTTGTTGTTGTTGTTACTGCTGCTTTCCGGGGCGGAAGAGGACATGATGGTGGGTTGGTCTTGAGATTTTGGATCTGGTACTAGAAAATAATGGCGGTGGATTCTCCGTAGTTTGGGACCAGGGATTTTCTTTTGTGGTCACGAGAGTGTACGTCAAAGGCAGGAATGTTGTGCTTCTGTCATGATACATCTGAAGGTGAGGTCGGCTTTGTTGGTGTAATTGCCGATTGCGGAGAGCTCAGAGGCTGCTGGGGAGGTGTGAATCAACCTGCATTCAGGCTAATACTACCCACACATTCCAGCGACGCCCATCTCCCAATCAGGACAATCTTTGAGTGCTCACGTGGCGGTTCACCCTGCAGACGTGAATGTAAACACACCAAATCCTCCAGAAGTATGGTCTGATCCGGGAGCAAAATCCAGGCTACGAGCAGGTCTATTGACAACAAATATGGACTGGAAGAGCATGATACGCGGTTCCTGATGCACCGAGCGGCGAGGCTGTCCGTGTTATCCTTGGTTGCATCTTGGTGGGACCTACCACATTTGGAAATCCGGAGGGGAACAGCATCAGGTGAAGCACCACAGACAGACTTCGCAAAGTGAAGTCAAGGATCATCAACTCCACTGCTGGCTGCTTGAGTCTTTCCGAAGCAATGTGGAAGAAGGTGATAACGCACGTGCGTTTGTTCTTCGCTCTCCCATAATTGTCGCCTTGCCCACGGCATCAATGGGTATCATCCTGCTTTACCAACCGCCGAAACGTCCATCGACCAACCAGACAGAAAATTGTAGGTCAAACCTCCAACATGGCCTTCAGACTCCCCTCCACTCCTCTCAACCACCTTCCCTTCTCCTCCAACTCATCAGCTTCCCCATTCCCACCACCTTCTCGTCGTCTCCTTGCCTCCTTTGCCTCCTCCACAGCTTTGAACTTTCGCATCTGAATGGGCGCCAATTCGTCCTGTAACCTCGAGACTTCAGCCTTCTTTGCAGGCAAAGCAGCCTGCAACCTCGCAATCTCCAAATCCACACTCTGCAATTCTTGCTCCCTCTGCCTCAACAAGTCCATTGTAGGCTGCAAAGGCAAGGAAAGTTCAGCATCCTCGGACTTGGGTTCTTGCACATCTTTCAGTCTGCTGATGACCTGTTCCAATTCCGCGATTTCAGAGGGAAGAGATTCGAGTTGAGATGTCCGAAGTTGAATCTGCTCATATCGTTGCGCGAGCTGTCGTCCTTGTGCTTCCAGCTCTCCGATCAGGGCGCGCACCTCTTCCTTCTTTGCTTTCAGTTCCGCTTTGTCGGTCTTCAATCTCTCTTCTAGCTCGGCATTGTCTTCTGCAGAGACAAACTCCGGCTGGTCGGCAATGACGGCGCGCAGGAAGCGCTCTTTGGTGACTTGTTCGACGTAGCTGAAACGAAGCTTGGAGAAGAGATCGCGGTAATGGACTAGATCTGCCGAGAGAGAGGATGGCGCATTCATGAGTTGGGTGTAGGACGCGTCCTGGGAGTCATTGTTGCTGTTGTTGGCGTTGCCGTTTGTTGTGAGAAGTGGTTCTGAGAGATGGAGGATGGAGAGTGTCGTCGGCTGGCGGAGCTGTGAGAGTGCAGAGGAGACGTCCATTATGATCCTGTATGACTGTCTTGCCTTGCTGTGTTGCATGCGGAAAGCAATCTACGATAGTGAGGTGTCGCGTTGTTTATTTACATTTCGTCTGGACCCTGGCGATCAGGATAATCTAAGTTTTGCGTCATCGTGTTTACACGCAACTGTACCGTTAAGGTACATGTGCAGTACCTACCTAGTACCACATCCTGCTCGCGGAACAGTACAGGAACAGTACATCCACATATATCATGGCCGCCTTCTCAGACGATTACGTCGCATCAATACTTCAGCGTGAAGCCGACAAGAAAAGCACATCAAATCTCAGCTCTCTCTTCAGCAGCGTTGGCAGCGTCACGAGAGCGACCAAACCACGAAGCGCAGCACCCAAACCCAATGCCCGCTTCCTTAGGAATCTGGTCCGAGATGTGGATAGCCATAATGCCGCTTTGAAAGAAAAGGAAGAACGAGAGTCCAGAAGACGGATGTGGGATTTACAGCGGGGAAAGAAGGGCGAACGTCCGGAGAGAGTGAAAAGAAAGGTTGAGGTTGAGGCTGAGGACGATGATGGGAAGGAAGCGGGAAGTAAGAGAAGACGGAGGAGTTTGGAGAGATATGCGCCAGGAAGTGCGAGGCATGGGAGAGCAAAGGATAGTTCGCCAACAGCGACGGAAAGGAAACATCATCACCATCGCTCTGAGAACAGGCGGCAGGAGAGGGACAAGGAGAGATCGAGATCACGATCTCCGGACAGGGAGAGGAAACATCACCATCACCACCACCACCACCATCATCATCATCGTTCGAAGAGATCGCGGGAACATGAGAGAGACAAGGCAAAAGCCAGATCACGATCACGATCGCCAGACCGCTCACACCACTCTTCGATAAGAAGACGCAGAGAGGTCCAGAAAGAGGAGGAGGAGGAGGAGGAGGAACAAAGTTCATCGGAGGCTGAAATTGGTCCAGAGTTACCTGCGCGTGGAAGAGGCTCGCAACATGCGTCCATACTGGATAGGCCGGAAGAAGCAGAAAGAGGGAAGACTACTCGCCCGGAGGTTGTGGTAGAGGAAGACATCGCCAATGTGAAATGGACAGCTATAGGGCAAAAGAGAGAATGGGATCGTGGGAAGGAGCAAGATCCGTTCAATATCAAATCGGACTCGGAAGAGCCGGAAGAGATGTGGGCTGGACGGTTGAAGTGAATGACTATCTTAGCCTACCTCCTAGGTACACACATACCTTTTGCAACCCGTTTCCCACATCTGAGAGAGGGAATGATGAGTTTCATCGAAACGATTTGACAGAAAAATTGATTAGTGTGGTCCTCTGAACGGGGAAGATGTGTCTCGAGTTCTGTCTCGAAAGCGTGTAATGCCGACGACGTCGTTCATAATGTATAGACGTGCTGCAGCGGACGAGACCGTAGCCTGCCTGAGACCTACTAGCCCAGACACGAAGATATGCAGGAGCGTTTGATCTTCACTTAGAAGAGAAGCATGGCCGAGATTGAGCCATGAGGTACCGAGGGACCGCAGGTCTTTCTTGTGTTTCTTCGATGCTTGGCGTACTAGAAGGGAAACCATGACTCTGGATATGGTTCGTCTTCAATCGAAAGGGTCGAGGCCAGAAAGGAGATGAGTCCTACCTGACTATGCGTATATATATACAGTACATTGTATAGGTATGGATCGATATGTCGTTTGGTTCGGCTTGTGATCACGCACGTGAACGAGAGCGGGGCCGGCCGTTTCAGAGCTTAATTAAGCTCCAATCTCCGCGCGGCGCGCAGGTGCATGGCCCTGACTAGCAGCGTAGTGTGAGCCTGTGAGCCTGTGAGAGCCCGTGAGGGAGATACAGGTGTACGGTATATGCACAAGATCCATGTAGGAACTACCTCCTAGCTCAGCCCGCCTGCTCTCCTCTTGGCCTCGACTAATTGTGTCGCGGACGAGGTCGCACACGTCGCAGGCTTCAGCGTCCAGCCTTTCCGCTGTCGCTGGGGCGCGAGTCTGCACCAGGCCACCAGCAGAAACTTTCCCGTGCTCTGGACTTCATCACCACCTCGTGTGTGGACACTTGTTTGCTTGTTCCTCCGGTATCTGTTGTCCCCTTGTGTAACCTGGACGACTGGTAGAACTCTCGTTACGCAAGCGAGCGCGGCTCCCTCGGTGGCGCTTTGGGCGTGCAAACGAATTGACTGGCCGTCTCTCGAGCGACGACTGACCCTTGAAACGCGCGACTGCAATGGCGACAGGGTACAGCTCCGCCGACCGACTGCGCGATGTTGATTACACTAGAAGCCATCGCTCGCCGCCGCCCATCCCGCTGTCACCGACGCTGCGGTCTCCCCCTCCACCTACCAGTCCCGCTCGGAACCAGCGCGAAGCCTTCTCCGCTGCCGTCGCGACCGCCATTGGCACCAGAAGTGAAGCGCGCCCTCACGACCCACCACGCCCCCTCGGTCGAGTGAACGCGTCCGACATCTCCAAGCCCGCCGCCTGGCCCATTCCCGACGAAGACGCCATCGACTCGAGACCGCCCAGCAGCAGAGGGACGGTCGTTGGAGGAGCGCGAACTCGAGCTGCCAGTACCAGCGCCAGCGCCAGTGCCAGTGCCAGTAGTGAAGGTGGTGCCCATCGACCACGCGGGTCCAGCTTCAGCTTTTTGAAAAGAACAAACACCAACTCTTCGCGCAAGGCATCACTCGATCAACCCGAGCGTACATTTTACACGGCAGAACCGTCTGCGCCGCCGTTGCCCACCCCAACGGCCCAGCAGGAGCCGGATCACACTCCAAACCAGTCCAAAACGTCAGGAAACATGTTGCGGAAAGTGAGCGGCATGGGCGGGAGTCGGAGGAAGCATGAAGAGCAGGAACGACTGAAGAAAGAAGCCGCTGCCGCTGCTGCTCTACCGCGACAGCCTCCCCATCTGCCCACGCTGTCGCCCTTGCCTGGCATGTCCCCCTTCAGCGAGGACAGACCGGACAGTGTCGCCATCTTCAACCACTCCTACACCACCTCGACCACATCACCACCACCACCACCGAGTCGACCCACTGCGAACTTCTCTCGTCCCAGCCAGCAAGCTATGCTGCACAACAACTCGCCTTCGCCAGGCTACTCGAGTGGCCGCGCCGACAGTGGCCTCACCGGCTCGTCGCCGCCAATGCAGTACGCTAAGGTGAATGGTGTGCACAGCAGTGGCGAGTACGTAGCCACAGACGCACTACCCGATAGCATGACAAACCGTGGCCGATTCTCATACGCGTCCTCTGCAACGAATGTTAATTCGTTCAACAGTCCGCGCAGAATCCGTCGCAAGAAGGATCCGACCCCGTTCAAGTAAGTCTCCACACATCTCGCTAGCATCGAGCAATGGCTAACCACTGGCACAGCATCCTGGTGATTGGGGCCAAGAACAGTGGCAAGACCTCGTTCATCTCCTTTCTCAAACACTCGCTCTCGCTTCCGCCTGGCAAGCAGCCCCATGGACATGAACCGGATCCGGTACTTTCGAACGCTGCTCATGCCTCTTCATTCACCCCAACTTACCTGGAGTCTGAGATTGAGGGTGAGCGAATCGGTCTGACTCTCTGGGATTCCAAAGGATTGGAGAAGAATGTGGTGGATCTGCAATGCAGGGAGCTGGCCGCGTTCGTGGAGAGCAAGTTTGAAGAGACATTCGCAGAGGAGCAAAAGGTCATGCGCACCCCGGGTGTCAAGGATACCCATATCCATTGCGTCTTCTTGGTGCTGGATCCTGTCAGGTATGAACATTCCTTGGGCTCATAAATGATGAAGGACTGGACTTTGTGTTGAGCATTTTGAGCTGACCCGTTTTTTCCGCAGGCTCGACAACACGATTGCTTGTTCCGCAGCTCACCCAAACGGCAGAAAGCCTGCTGCATCCCTAGACGACGATCTCGACCTTCAGGTGATGCGCGCGTTGTGGGGAAAGACGACTGTTGTTCCCGTTATCGGCAAAGCTGACACCCTCACTACCGGGCATATGGCCTTCCTCAAGCGTGCTGTGTGGGACGCTGTCAAGGCTGCAAAGCTTGATCCTCTGGAAGCGCTGGAGCTGGAGGATGATGACTCTGAAGAAGACTCGAGCGGCGAGATTGAGGACGCTGAATCGGAGGATGATACCTTTGACTCTTCTCTACCTTCCATGAAGACGCGTTCTGGAAAATCCCACAAGCGACAGTCTAGTCTCTCGGCGATGGAAACAGCCGGTGGAGAGCCTCCATATCTGCCGATGTCTGTGTTCTCGCCTGACATCTACGACCTGCCGCCGTACGCTCCGCAGCTGAAGAAAGGCGACAAGGTCGGTCGACGCTTCCCTTGGGGTTTTGCAGATCCGTACGATGCCGCCCACTGCGACTTTGGGCGTCTCCGAGACAGCGTCTTCTCTGAGTGGCGAGTGGAGCTCCGGGAGCTAAGCAGAAGCCGATGGTATGAGAATTGGCGCACATCCCGGCTGAAGAACCTTCCCGGAACACGACAACGAGTCCAAGGCGGCGTAACGCCTGTCGCCAGTGTGCCGAGAGGCGGTAGAATTGCCTCCCAGCCACGACAGTCATCACTGCAGCCAATTGGCGCTGAATCTGGAACTGACCGGAAGCCGAGCAGCGTCTCCACGTCACCATCAGTCGGTAACCTCAGTCCAAGCCCAGTCTTGAGTAAAGTCGGTGCGCGAGATGTATCTGGCGCCAGTGCTGCGGGTAGTGTACGTGGAGCTGGATTCAGGAGCTCGGAATCGAATGCTCCGTAGGAGGAGAAGGACGAGAACAGGGCATCATCGCAGTATACATTTGAGATTGATGGACGCTTCTCGCCACGCCCGACCATACGCAGATCAACATCTTCGCAACTATCCGCAAATTCACCCACGGGCAAAGGGCGTGTCGGAGCCCATGATAGCTCTGGTAGTGAGAAGCAAGTCGAGAGACATAGAGGTAATGCGAACAAGCACTACTATAGTAGATGATTGGACGCAAGGGATTATCGGAGGAATGTGAAACTCGGCATGCTCTTTTAGCGATGCAGCTTCGAATCTGGGGGGTTTGGTGTTGGGACAGGAAATGCTCTTCTGCTTTGTATATACCCCCTGATCGAGAATACGAATGAATCGTCTTGCCATTCAGCCCTCTTGTCGAGGTGCCAAATTGTGACATTGAAGGCACAGTTGAGGGAGGAGTGGAGTGAGAAGGAACTTGAGCAGATGAAGACTCCATCTGGTGAAGTCACTTGCGCTTACACGGCTGTTGCGAACGACGTCCTGCCCAAAGAGGTGATTGCCTCGCACGAGCGGTCATGCTCATGATGATGCGTACCTGACCTCCTACCTAAGGTATACATGTACCTGTACTCTTCTGTGCAATGGTCATCATGACATTGCCTGACTTGTATGGACCGGGTCTTTTCTGCCACTATTTTTCTGTGACCTGAATCTCATCGCAAGTTGCTACATACTACTATCCTCTTCATCACTGACAAGACAAGCACACAATGGAGCAGCACATCGGGTCCAAGACCATTTCCGAAGCCGTCGGGTCGGATCACGAATATATGGATCTCGTCATCCAAACACTCAAATCGGCGACATCGCACGAGGAGAGAATCCAATGGCGCAACCAACTCACGTGGACATTTGCCCGACATGCCATCTCCGAAGAATTGACCTGGTATCCGGCCATGGAAAAGCTGTTTGGAGAAAAAGGCATTGCCATGGCAGAATTAGATCGCCAACAACATCAAGCGATCAAAGAAGATTTGTACCAAATACAATCCATGAATCCCGACGACGCGAGATTTTTCCCCTTGGTGGAGAAGCTGGAACAGGATTTCAAAGTGCATGTGAAGCATGAAAAGGAGGAGGATATGCCAATGTTGGAGGAGAGGTTGACGAGGAAGGAGAGTAATGAAATGGCCAAGTGGTGGCAGAGGACCAAAGGCATTACGCCGACGAGAAGTCATCCTTCGGCACCGAATCGGCCTTATGCGGAGAATTTGGTGGGGTTGTTGGCTATGCCGATTGATAAAGTGGGGGATTGGGTGAGGAGTTTTCCGGAGGATGATCGGATGGAGGAGGTTACGAGGACGGGCAGGGCGATGAAGAAGAAGAAGACGAGTACGACTGATGGGGGCAGTCATCTTTGAGGGGCTTTTTCTTGGGATTTGGAATCATGGCATGAGGCCTTTCTTGTTTCTTTCCTTTTTGCTCTGGGATGACTATGTTATGCATGGTTGATATACGATGATTGGTAGAGCAACGTTGTCAAAGATGATGAGTGAAGAGACCTAGACTAGATATGGTGCTTGCTGAGCGGAAAGGCACTAGCAAAGCTGCAAGCGTTGATGAGAAGATCGTCTCCATCTCACAATCGGAGACTAACCCAGTCTGGCAGCGCTGTCGAGACGCGGTGGAACACATTTCTGCACCCCATCTCGCAATCCTTGCTTCGTCTTCTTGACCTCACCTTCTGTTCTGCTCTCTTTACACCATTCCTGTCGCCGACTCTCTTCGTTCTCCACGGCATACCGAAACAACAACATCATTGTTGCTCTTGTTATTGTTATTGGGATTCGACCAGAAAGAAGAGGCGTTTTTGCACTTGCACTAGCATATCCGCCACCCCCCTCTCGAACGCACCATTGGTTGGACGTGGCGTCCAGGGGCTGCCGCTGCTGAACACGAACTGGAAATTAGATGACAACGCTGCCGTCCGCTGTGTGATGTAACAGGAAACGAAACTTCGCTGCTTCTGCTGTGGATTTTGATACAAGTAACTATTCAGAAGCGTGCGTATGAGTGAGAATTATAGATTATTTGTAGGAGGTGGTAGTGATGATGAAAATGAAGATGAAGATAATGTATTAATTCATTCGCGAAAGGCGAACCCGGCAACAAGCTCTATTAACAAGCTCTTTAGAACGATGCACTAGGAGGTAGTAGGAGGTAGGAGGTAACTACCTACAGTACAGCTTATCCCGTTTTACAGCCGCACGCTCCCTATTCCCAGTGCCAGGGGAGCTATGATGAAAGCCCCTCTGCGGCTCTGCCTCCCCTTGTGCTCGTACTCTACTACTGTATGTACCTCACACACACCCCCCAGTCTGCTTGGGGTGTCGCTCGTGTAAGAAAAAAAAAGCTAGGGGGGCTTGAACTTCGGTTACACCGTGTTAACAGACTTCTGTTGTGTTCTCTCGTCTGGAAGTCAGCAGTCAGCACTATATAGCGGAAAATATATGTGAGCACATGAGTTTTAAACGGGATTTTTTTTTGGGTAGGACCCCCCACCTACCTACCAGGCTACAGTACCTCCTATATAAGCTAGAGAGGCTAATGTCAGGTACCGAGATCCGAGTATGTGATATTCCCGTCTGTCTTCCATCTTTTCATTACGCGATCTTTTTGCTGATCGTCACAACTCGGACTCCCGTCTTCTTCTTCTTCTTCTTCTTCTTCAGCCCTTTATTCTTCCAATAAAATTCCACCTGGCTTCTCTCTACCTTGCGTGCTGCTGCTGCTGCTGCTGGTGCCCAGGTTTTCTTTTCTCAGCTATGAGCACGTTTCAATTCACGTCATGCTCTCCATTTCATCATCTCAAAGACGGCGGCGATTGCCGTTGATTTTCTTTCTTCTGCTATCGATTCTCGCCGTGCTCGTGATTTATGATCATAGCTCTCGCCGAGATCACTACCTCCCTCCCGAAATCATTCTCAATACTCGTCAATATGGTCGAGAGAAGAAGAGTGCGAGTGTGGATTATGCCGATGATGCGGAATTTGTGTGCAAATCCGTCGGTTTCACACCCTATGGCGAACAGCGCAAGGTCTACGATTTGATCATGTTCTCGACGGAATTGGATTGGTTGGAGATTCGTCTACATACTCTTGATCCTTTTGTGGATTTTTTCGTCATTATTGAATCTCCCACGACATTTACAGGCGCCGACAAACCGCTCATTCTTCGAGAGCATTGGGATCGCTTCTTACCCTTTTGGCACAAGATTATCTATCGCGAAATTCACGACCCACTCACTTCGATGCGCACCTGGGATCACGAAGACTACCTGCGGAACTCTCTGCTGTATGCCATTTTTCCAGATCTCAAAGGCGAAGAGATGCCTTATAGAGGAGATGTCCTCATCGTCAGCGACATGGACGAACTTCTCCGACCCGAAACCATGCTTTTGCTCCGCCACTGCAATTTCCCCGCCCGCCTCACACTTCGAAGCCAGTTCTTCTACTATTCCTTCCAATATCGCCATCGCGGCGAGCAATGGGCACATCCACAAGCAACCATCTACGGCGGTTCCGTGGAAAATACTGTCGCACCTAACGATCTCCGAATGGATCTCATCGGACCCGGTCTCCTACAATATCCCTATCGCTACTTTCGCCGTTTCTGGGACAGAGGAACATTGTGGAATGCCGGTTGGCATTGCAGTTCTTGTTTCTCCACGATTGCTGAATTCCAGATGAAAATGCACAGTTTCTCGCATCAGAGCTGGAATACCGAATACAATCGCCTTCCAGAGACCATCGCCGAACGAGTAAAGAATGGCGAAGACTTGTTCGGACGACCTGGAGAAGAATATGAGAAAATTGAAAAGAATGAGGATCTTCCGAGTTATGTGCTGCAGCAGTTTAGGGAGTTGGGAAGGTTTCGGTATATGGTGGATCGCAGTGATTCTCACGCGGGGTTTGAGGACTGGGATTTGCAAATGGGCAGTGGCAGTGCTGCCAGTGGTAGTCCGGGATGATGAGCGAGGAGCAAGAAAGCAAGCCAGGCCAACTTTTCCAAGCTTTCACTTCTTCACATGTGATTGATTTTTTCGGAATGACATTCCGCTGGAATTGGATCTCTTCCGTGGCCCGAGAGACGACATGCCATGGAGCTGGTCGATTCTAGGCGACCTTTTTGGCGACATTTTGTTTTTCTGCTGGCTGTCTGAGAGGCCTACCCATGCGGACATGTGAGAAGCCTGTTGGTCTATGCTATACGGGACAGTACCAACGTCCCCGTCGTTATCAGCGGGAGAAAGTGTTGTTGATACACTACGACGTGTTGTCGTCGTCCCATACTCTGAATTTGGTAAAACTACACCAAACAGCTCATCGGCATCGAGTACAACACCCAGAGAGTCGATTCGATTCCGATTCCGATCCGACCCAGACCGACTTCTGGACGCCCTTTTTCTTTTCTGGAAGGCTGCGGAACACTCCAAGCCAGGGTCGCGTGGTCAAATTATCAAACACGCCATCATTTTATTACTCGTGTCGAGTCAGAATCTGGATCATCTGGTGGTGGGGGGATGTGAATCTTACATCAGCAACCCTTTCTGCCATTCTGGGGGGGCCAAGCGAAACAAAAATCCTCCTCTTCTCATAGGCTCATCCTACGTTTTCTTGCTTATTAAGCGATCCGTAGGCCGGGATATGGACAATTGGATATCCTGGCTCGGATATCCCTACGTACATGAATGATTTCCCTTTTGTGGATGTTGCAGAAAGGCGGCTCCTTCAAGGGCCGTATCGCCGCTAGGGAGGTAGCTATGGACGAGCTTTGGGGGATTATTTATGTGTTTTTTTTTATATTAACTGGACTTCACTTCCGTTGTATGAGAGAAAGGAGAGAGTTTTGTTATATTTTATTGTGGGAAGGATAGAAGGATCCTTTTTTTTTGAATCAAGACACTAGGAAAAGAAGATATACGAGTTTTCACTGGAGTTCATTCATCTCTTTTTTGCGCAAGCGGAGAGAGAATCATGATGCAAGTGAATTCTAAGAAGAACTATATCCACCACCAAAAACAACAATCTTCTTCTTCTTCGTCTTCTTCTTCTTCTTCCTCTTCTTCTTCAACATTATCATCATCATCAACCTCCTCATCCTCATCCTCATCCCCCCCAAAACTCCCCCACGAAGACCCCGAACTCACCAAACTCGAACTCGAACGCCTCACCCACAACATGATCGCCGCCTTCAACGCCCAAGACTTCCACCCTCTCTCCCCCGCCTGGTCCCACCACGCCCCGACAGGCGATTTCAGTCTCCCCTCTGTCGCCGAAGATTTAATTTTCAACACCTTGAATTCCACAACCTCCCCTCCCTCAACCTCCTCCTCCACATCAACATCCACGACTTCTTCGACGACTACGGCGTCTACGACGACAATCCACCCCCTCCTAACCCCCCCAACCCTAATCCCCCTAACATCCCACCTCCGGCAAATGGAACTCAGCCGACAAATTTTCTCGCATTACGAATTACGCATCATCAACATCCTCTCCAAAGTGGATTTGAAAAAATTCGTGGCGAAAACTTGGTTGAATGTGGAAACTACGGGGTTGCCGGAGGGTGTGGTTTTGCATAGTGTGGGGCTGTTGGAGTGGAGGTTGATGCGGGTGGATGAAGTGGATGAGGATGGGGAGGAGGGGGGGAGGATGAAGTGGTTTTGTGTGGGGAGTAAAGGGTTGAGGGGGTTTATGGGGTGGGAGTGATGGGAGATTGGGGGGGTTTGGGTTTTTGGGGAGGGGGGAGTTTGGAGAAGGAGGGAGGGAAGGGGGTTTTGGTTATGGATTTTTATGTATTATTGAGTATTGGTTGGGGATTTCTCTCCTGGTTTGTTTTTCTCTCCTTTTCTTTTTCTTTCTTTTCGGGAGGGGAGGTTTGTATATTTGTATTTCTTTTCTTGCTTTTTGCCCTTTTTTTCCTTTCCCTTTTTTCCATTTCTGCCTCTTCTCTTTTCCTGACGAAAACCACCAGCGACTGAAGTCCGGAGCGATTCCATCAAACCATTGGGCGGGATCCGCAAAGGCCATGATAGTTTTGCGTATAGCTGCTACGTTCGTAGTGCCTTCACGCTCTTGTTCATTTGTCGAGAATTGGCCTTTTACAATCTCTCGTGCGAGAGTGTGGAAAAGTCTTTGACTATGCTTAGAGTTGCTCTATATGTCCACGAGGAAGATTAGGCGATTGATTGGATCGATTATCTAAAAATTGCCACGTCCGAAAATTCGATCAGAGATGCCTATAGGCCAGGCTATAAACACAGCCAGCCAGCCAGCCCAGCGACACATTTCTCATCACGCCCAGAAAAAAAAAACAAAACTCCCAATCTATCATATCACACAAACCCCCCTCCCTCCCAAATCCCTCCCCCCAAAATATCAAAATACCCAAACCAAACAATCAAAAAAAAAAAAAAAAA